TTTTCCCTGCAAAAACTTGGCTTGACGTATTTAGCCAGGCCAACGACAAGTGTATTAAGACAGGTTGGAAACGCCTTTCACTAAGAAAATCAAACAAGTAAGAGCAGGAGCAATTACTAAAGTGTAGATAAAGATAAAGATAAAGTATTAAAGAGAGTTAGCTTAAGTTAGACAAGCATTGTGATGCCGCAGGGAATTGATCTAACTTCCGTTGTTCCAGAAACCAAGAGAACCATATATGGATCCCTCCAACCCGAGGTCTTAAGTCAGCTAAAGGCAAGTAAGTTTTATGTATTCCATTTCAGCTTTTTCTATAGATTCATTTTGGAGTAGTTAAACGTAATTGCAATTCAAAATGCCCACAAAAAAACCAATTTATCTAACCCAATTTGAAGCTGTGAACCTTTTCAGTAGACGCAAAATGAAATTTGCAATAAATTTGCTTTCAAATGCAATTTAACAAAAAATTCTATTGAACAGTTGCATTGAAGGAAATTTCATTCGAAATAATTACATTTCCCCATATCCGTTGAGGCAAAGAGAAACAAAGCCTCGACCCGCTCGACCTCAGCTCTCCAGCCATAATCATTTTGAGCCCACAATATTCAATGGTAAATCACAAGTCGGCTAAATCCCAAATGAAAAACTTTATTACAATAAACAATTTACGTGGCAAAGGCCGGCCAAAAAGTTGGGCAAAACTTGCGGGCAAAACAAATAAGAATGAAAGTAAATAAAAGGGTTGGGCCAACTGGGCCACGGCAGGAGGTAAATATTTCTTGGCTCTTCTTATTGAATAAGTTTTGTTGTTTTTTTTTTTGCTTAACAATCGATTTACTCTGACATTTACCGAACTGTCAGATGTATGCCAAATGCTCTTTATAATAAATGTGCTTTAACAGATTGGGAATTATAGTGTGCAAAGCATGCAATAAAGGAAGAACTCCGGCATATGGAAGAGAAGCATGTATAGAGAGATTGACTAAAAGGAGCTAAAGTATATTTATAAAAGCAATACAAAGTTTCCAAATTTCCAATATTCGAATGATGTTTCCTTTGTGGAATATATTTCCCTATATATTATAGCTGAGGAAAAAAGAGTGTGAGAACGACTTCAGGCTCTCGGCTTACAAAGGATTACCCCGAGCAGAACACTCTGGCATTGCTTTTGACCCACAATTCAGATCCCTGAAAGACTTTACTTGGAGCAGGACAAAATCCATATGCACATGTTCTATCAATACTTGGGCTAGGTGAAATAATCGGGGCAAGAAGTCTGTTTTCCCAGCTCTGGAGCAGGTAGCTCGTCTTTCCACACTTGCCTCTTGTCTCTTCCACTCTTTTGTGAGACTGCCTTTATCTCAATTTTATTATTATAAGTTTTATCTATTATTATATTCCATGTGCAAACGTTCATTAAGGCGCTTGCCATTTACAGGGTATCTCTCTTATGTGTATTGCCATGCTCTAGATACAGATTCAGGGGAAGATTAATGATATTAAGCATGATAAACGAAATATGCATAAGAAACAAAAAACTTGGCATATGCATAGATATAACTTTCTGGAGTAGCATACATTTTTGGCGGGCGTCTCCGTGGGGAGCGCGACCTTTGCTTGTTTTTGGGGCCTTCGAGTGCATTTGCTAACTACTTAAGCTGCCAAAGGAAATTTCAATGCCATTTGTCTTGGCGTCGCAGTATTTTTATATCTCCCTAGCTGGGAAATCAAATTGACAGCGACAGGCCACAAGTGGGCTACCTGGATGGTTGGGTGGTTTGGGTGGTTTGGGTGGTTTGGGTGGTGCAGCAAAAAGTTTGGCAGACACGTCTGCGGCAAGCACTCTGGCATGATAAGCGGCTGGCAGGTCGGACAAGACAGTTGCGACTCAGGTGAGACATGTCGTGTCACTGGGCGGCGCGGCGTACATAAATCTAAACGAAGATGAAGCTGTTAATGGAGCGGAAGCTGAAACCGAGCGCTGCCAGCTTGAGGCTGCCCAACAAAATCTGTGAACTTTTCCACCTTGCGTTCCTTTTGCCTCGTTGGGCATGTTGTGTAGCTTATTTATTTATCACAGCGACTGCCCACGCTGTTAAGGTGCAAATGTTGCAGATGATTTGGCCCAGATGGGCGGGGGCAGGTCGCAGTTCGTGTGGTCGCTGCAGCTTATCGAGCCGGACAGCTGACAGTTGTTGCAAATGCCAGCGACAACAATTTCAAACGCAGCGCACTTCAAGCGTTTCCTCTGATAAATGGCTGCCTGTCATTTGCCCGTGTGGAAGGGGCAGGGGCGGGGCTGGGGGAGCACGACTTTGCTGCCAATTGACGGCGCCGGCACGCAACAAGAGTTGCCACAAAGCGCATGGAGGGTCGTGTTGCCACGGCAACAAGCGGCAAGCACTTTAAAAATTGAATTATATTAGACGCCACGCCTCTAACTCAATGCTAATGTCTAACAGGGACTGCCAACTTGTTGGGTTTCTTTATTGGCACTGCCAACTTGTTGAATTTTAATTGACACATTTGACTGTTTTAGTGGAACTGCCAACTAGGCTGCTTCATATTGAGGCAACCAAGTGTTGATCTTTTCTTGGCACTGGCAACTTGTTTTTTTTTCTTATAATGAAACTGCCAACTTGTTGCATTTTTTTGCAACTTATTTGGTATTTCAGTGGGACTGGCTGGCTTGAATAGCACTGACAACTTGTTGTCTTTTTGTATTGGCGCTGCCAACTTGTTAAGTTGCCAGTTTTATTGGCACTGCCAACTGGGCAGCTTCTTAAAAAGACTGCCAACTTGTTGATTTTGTTGGGACTGTCCGCTTCATTCGTATTTTATTAGAACTGCCAGACTGTTGATTAATGCAGAGGACTGCCAACTTGTTGGGTTTCTGTATTGGAACTGCCAACTTGTTGATTATCTATTGAGATATTTGACTGTTTTATTGGAACTGTCAACTAGACAGCTTTTTACGATGAGTGTTGACCTTTTTTGGGACTGGCAACTTCTTTTGATTTCTACAATGGAACTGCCAACCAGTTGCATTTGTATTAAGCCGTCCAAATTGCTGAATCTTTTCGTGAGCTGGCAACTTGTTTCGCATTTAATGGGAATTCCCTGACTTTTAAGTGGGACTGCCAACCTGTTCGTGCTCATATTGGGACTGCTAACTTGATACTTTATATATGTTTTTTTCTTTCTTATTTTTTATTGAGTGGTTGTTTTATTGGGATTGCCAACTAAGCGGTTCTTGTTGAGACAGCCAGGGTTGGTCTTTTTTTTTTGGGACGGGCAAGATGTTTATTTTTATAATGGAACTGCCAACTTGCTTGTGTCTATACTGAGACTGTCCACATATTCATCATTACAGTTTTCAAAATACTATGTAACATCTGCTTTATGTCTGCAAATACGTATACTTCATTTTCCTTATACAATATTTTAATTGACATTCTAATATTCAAAGCCTTAAACAAGGTAATGGCAAATTAGTTTTTGAGTGGACTTTAGAATTTTACCAAAATGTCGAATTGCTTGAATAGACGGTTCTTGTAAACAATGCTGCTTTTATATGAGGCCAATCTGATTAAGTTCGCACCACTATATGATATAGCTCTCTGGGAAGAATCCAACGAGAAATGAGCTTTACCATTTCCACACATCGGCCAAGGCATAAGTTTAATGTCTGCAAGGGAATTAAAACTTCTGCTTGCCGCAGATCTGCTCGTTACTCAGTTTGATTGACTTTTGTTAATCATTTTTAGAGATTTGTTATTATCGGCAATATTTGTGCTAGTCTAAATTTGAGTGCCATGCTCTGGCATTTGGCTTAATTGCCAGCACAGTCTAACCTGGCCAAAGCCAATGCCCAAAAATGTAGTTAACTTGATTATCAGCTGTGGCCCGAGTCGAACCGAGTCGAACAGAGTCGGGCCGACAGACACTTCAAAATGGCCGGCAGGAGCAGAACTTGTGGGGCAAATCAAATTCGACGCTCAATTAAAATTCAATTTGTTGCGCGCCATTAATTAGATTCCCCTGCCACACGCCCGCCCGCAGCGGCCCGACGAACTTTGGCCAAACAAGTTTCAGACAGCGCCACCTGCGACAGACCTCATCCCATGACCCACCGCCCCTCCCCCCCCCCCCCCCTTCACACAGCCTAATGCAATTTTTTCGCAGTGATGCTTCATTGAACTGCAGCCGGGCAATTGTAGGCGAGGGGCACATTCTAATTAGTGGGCGGGGTTCAGCTCTTCGACACTTCAATTAGTTGTAATCTATGCGCATAAATTGCGCAGCTGATGGATGGCGCGCAACAAAAAGAACAAGTAAGAGGTTCTAGTCGGGTGCTCCCGACTAGGCGATACCCTGAACCCTCTTCTTCCAACATCAAATGCATATATATATATTCTATTTTAGAAGCTATATGTCAAGTTTGCTGACTCTAGCTCTTATTATTTATCAAAGTTGCCCAAAAGACAGGATATCGATATCGATTTTTATCGATTGCTTGGAAACGGAGTAAGTTATCGATGATCGGAAACAAACTCGATCTGCGCGGAAACTAGGAACATCTACATCTAAGTTTTAAGTCTCTAGCTCTTATAGGTTCTGAGATCCTTGCGCTCATACATACGGACGGATGGACGGACGAACGGACATGGCAAGATCGACTCGGCTATTGATGCTGATCAAGAGTATATATACTTTATGGGGTCGGAGATGCTTCCTTCTGCCTGTTACATACATTTGGATTTTCGTAAATACAATATACCCTTATACCCATTTTTAATTCAGGTTCAGGGTATAAAAAGAGAGAGCAGCAGCAGCAGCATGCAACATGTGGCAAGGTGCCAGGCACGCATAAATTACGCAACCCTCGTGGGTTACACTAATTGTTTATACAGACCTCGCAGCTGGGGCCGCCCTTTCCCCCCTCTCTCTCTCTTTCTTTCTCTCAATGGTCAATGGCTTTTGGGCACAACTGTACTCACCTGCTTCTGCAATGTGCTGGAGAGCTCCTCGAGGCACTCCTTGCGCTCGAAACGCTCAAACTTGAAGCTATTCGAGCGATAGAGCTCATTGTCCTCGCGTCTACGATTGCGGCACAGGCGACGTGTGATTATGTTTCCACTTCCGCTCAAACGGGGGCTAGCAAATACAAGAGAACACAGGTGGGCGGGGTTAGGTGAGCGGAGTTCTTATTAAGATAGCAAAGGCAAATTGTAATAAAACGATTTGTATGTCATCTATTGAAACTTTTGTTGGCTTTCGAGCATTTGTTTTCATTGATCGATATATGTGTTATTCTTCGATATATTTGTTGTTGATCGTCATGTATTTTTCATAATTTCATCGATATATCTTTGTATTTACCGATATTTTTCTTATCGGTTTATGTCGCATTTATCGATACATTTTGTATCTTTATATTTCTAATCGATCGATATATTTCTTTAATGATAGATATATTTTGTATTGATCGATATATCTTTTATTTGTCAATATCATTTATTTGGTCGATATATTTTGCACAAAACCTAAACTCAAACTAACCTTAACCCAACCTCATTTAAGCATCTAAGACACAATATTTTCCAAAGAAGTTTAAAACTTTCTTCAATTTCATTTAAGTTTTCTCAATATGAATTTGTTTCGCATGCCTGGACTTTGGTATAGGTTGCCTTAAATACGAGATTTAATCATATATTTAGTAAAGAACTAATTCTCATAAAATATAATCAATTTCAAAGATGGACTAGCAGTTTTCTAAGCTGTAGAACTAATATCAGTGTCAAATAGTTCCGATTTCGAGACTATACTTTCTGAGTTCTGGAGTTCCTTTTAAAACTAGTTCTCATGGAAGAGCCTGTTATGTAGAAACTGCTGTAATATTTCAAGCGGCCCGCCCATCTCCCTCCCCCTTCCACTCCCTCTTTTTTCGCCTTCATATGCCCAAAGTTTACAGTTTTGAGCTGGTTTTTATTTTTTGGTCTACCTGCCCCCCGCCCGAATGTGTCACATCATTAACTCAGCCGCTGGATATTACTTGTCAGCACGGGCCCAAAGCTTGTCATTGCCCCCTCCCTCACCCCCCCCCCCCTCCCCTCAGGCCCCGAGGTGCCTTCCGTGCCCACGCTTTGGGGCCAGCACCTAGCAAGAAGCTCGTTAGGCGGCGCTTCATTAAAATTTGACACATTTGGGACGGAGGCCGAAAAAAAAATGGAGGAAGAAGGGGAGATTCTCTGTCGACCTGGTGTCGGGTTAAAGCCGCAACATTTAAAGTTGCCAACACGGAAAATGTCGTCGACCCAGTTTTGCATTTACATTTGGGTTCATTCAACGAATGACCCCGCCCTCAGCCCTGCGTCCGCCCTCGCAGCACTTCAATGAAACCAACTAACCGACTCACCGACTCCAGAGTCCGTCTCCAGACGAGTCGAAAGCGTTTGAAGCAGGTGAGAGTACTCCAAGCGGAAGTGCTCAACTGCCAGATACCCTGTAGTCAGCTCGAAGTCGGGAGTGACTCGTTGGAGCTCAGCCTGGACTTCGAGAGGGTTCGAACACAAGTCCAGAGAACCTGACAAGAAGTCGAGTGTGCCCAATAAGAAGATACCCTGTATGCAGCTGAGACAATAAGACACCCTGTACTCATGTTCGAGTCTAAAATTACAGGAACATACTTTGTACCCAGAACTGAGTCGAGTAGTCAGAAGAACCTAGCCTGCAATCGAAAGGACTCGACATGGAAATACCCTGTACGCAGCTGGGAGCAGCAAAGGCATATTTAAAAAAAAAAACTTTCAAATTCGATAAATATTGATTCAAAAGTATTGGTAGAGCTATCGAAACTTATACGGAATTGGACATGCCTAGCTTAACAAATCTACAAATCGATAAATTGGTAGGCAATCGATATTTATCGATTATATCCTAAGATTCCCAATCGATGTTTATCGAAGTTTGCCAAACTCTAAATATACTTGACTTAGTGTACGCTTTGAGTGAAATCAAGCATCAAAATTTGTAAAATATGCTTTAAATAAAGGTAGAGACACTTTAAATCGATATTTATCGATTAAGGAAGAACTGGATGGGTTATTAAAATAAATGCTTATATGCCTAAAAAAAAAAGTATTTATTAAAGCTATCTCTCTCTCTTTCTTTAGGAAGAAAAAAAAAAGAGAGACGGACTTAATTGTTCCGCTGATCAAATAGATATATGTATGACTTTACGAGCTCGAAACCAATTTCTTCGCCCGACTTCAATACACCCTTTGGTCTCGTTTTATGGGTGCTGGGTGAAACAAAAGGCTAAAACTCGACGCCCAACAAAAGCCACAAGCCACTGGAGCAGGCTCAAGTGTTGGCCACTTGGCCACTTGTGACTGCAACTTCAACTACAACTTGATGCTGAAGTCAACCTTCGGTTGGGCACTTACCCGCAGGGCTTGCAGTGCGTCATGTGCAGATCCCAGTTGAGGTGAAAGTTGAACATGCGCAGCTTGGCCACCGCCCGCTGCCTCAAAGAGATGTCCGGCGCCGCCTGTGCAGCACCCGCACCTGTTCCCGCCGCTGCTGCTGCTGCTGCTGTTGGATTACCGCCCGCTGCCAGCACCGGGGCACGCTGTGCATTCGGATACATCATGACGGTGCCGCTGGGCGCCGAGCTGGCGAAGAGTCGATGCGAGGCGGACACGGTGCCGCTGCCATGATGCCCATGGCCGTGTCGATAGTGCTGATGGTGCTCCTTCAGCGTGTAGAAGCCACCAGAGGAACTGCAAGCAGGAGTTCATGTTAAAGCGAACGTTAAACTACAGGCTAAAGTTGAAAGTAAAATGAATGCTCAAATCTTGCTATTATTAAAATATACCTATCTCCCGGGTTTGCCGTGGCACGTACCAAATAAATTCTCTCAGAGATCTTTGAAAATGAGTTCGAAACCGATTGGACGGCAAACCAAAAACTTTCATGCAACCGCTTTCCGCCAATTTACCACTGTTACGGGTGGAATTTCCCAGATTGCTGAAACCCGCATTCATTGGGTTCTTTGAAAATAAGTTTGAAGCAAATGGGACAAAGCCAAAAAACAGATTGCCAGATTTAGATGCCAAGCCATGAACAAAAATTTCGACATATGTCTATGCAGGTCAGTCAGTCAGGATTAACAGTTTTATATATAGAGATGAGTGTAAATGTATGTATGTATGTCTGTCTGTCTGTATGTATGCATGTATGTATGCATGAATGCATGTATGTATGTATGTATGTATGTATGTATGTATATATAATGTATGTATGTATGTATGTATGTATGTATGTATGTATGTATGTATGTATGCATGCATGTATGTATGTATGTATGTATGTATGTATGTATGCATGTATGTATGTATGTATGTATTAATGTATGTATGTATGTATGCATATATGTATATATGTATGTATGTATGTATGTATGTATGTATGTATTAATGTATGTATGTATGTATGCATATATGTATATATGTATGTATGTATGTATGTATGTATGTATGTCCATATGCATGAAAATACATATGTATGTATGTATGTATGTATTATGTATGTATGTATGTCCATATGCATGAATATACATATGTATGTATGTATGTATGCATGTATGTATGTATGTATGTATTAATTTATGTATGTATGCATGCATGTATGTATATATGTATGTATGTATGTATGTATTATGTATGTAGGTATGTATGTATGTCCATATGCATGAATATACATATGTATGTATGTATGTATGTATGTATATATATACATACATATCTATATATGTATGTAAGTGTGTATGGATGTGTGTAAATATACATACATGCATATATGTGTGTATGTTTGAATTCATGTATGTATGAATGTATGTATGGATACGTGTATACGTGTATATATGTATGTATGTGTGTATATGTGTATGCATGTATATATTATGTATGCAATTATATATGTAAATCAATGTATGCATATACTTTGTATGTTTGTGTGCAAGTCCAAATTTACCCCAAGCTGCGCTTCAAATTTGTAAAAAAAAATGTATTCTTCATAAATGTCCTACTACTCGATTCTCATAAATTCAAGTAAGGCTTTAATGTTGGAGGAGGCGAGTTCAACTGTGGAGGAGTCGGCGGCTGCTTGAACAAAGGAGGAAACGGCGGCTTCAACTATGCAGGAGGCGAAGACATTAATATTGGGAGGAGGAGGCGGCGGCTTTAATATTGGAGGAGACTTCAGTAAAAGAAGAGACGGCAGCCTTAACTATGGAGGAGGCGGCAGTTTGAGTAAGGCAATGACTATGGCTCTGGCGGAGGCCATTGAAAAAAACAGGTTAGTATTTCAAACAAAACTATGTCTTAATATAGTTAACATAAAATTGACAACTAATCCAACTTGCATGTATTTGAATACATACATACATGTTTCTATATTGAGTTGAGCTTAAAATGAACAAGAATCGTTTTTACACAAATAGCTCTACTATGCGATTCTCACTAGTTCAACAAGGTTGAGCAAAAGTTAATAAACATTATCTCTGCTTTTCTGTTCTTTCAGTGATGTGTTCATAAAATAGTTTGTTTCCCGCCTACTGCTAGATGATGATAAAATAATCCTGCTTGGGAATTCACAGGTGAGTATGTTAGTACAAATATATATATTTATGTCTATATAAAAATCTATTCTGGTTCAAATTCATTTCCAAGGATCTTTATGTACATTTTTTTGAGACGTGTTTCAAGATTATTTTTCTAGCTGATTGATTGAGTGAATAGCTTGCTGATTGACCGACTTTTTGATTGACTGATTGGTTTCTGATTGGAGGACCACTGTATTATACAGTTCTCTTTGGTTTGTTTGGCCGTAAAATAAGCTTTGGGCTAACTTTTTAAGCTCTCACAAAACGGAAAACTATATAATATGACTGCTTTTGGATCAATCGGTCGAACTTGCATGCTATAAATTAACGGGAATTTTTACGGTTTGTCGCTTTAGCTAAGCATCTTCTACAAATTGATAATATGGCACGGTTTAGTTGAGCTACTGGATTTGAACCGGCTTCCGCCAAATCTAGCTCTTCGTTTTAAGATTTGATTAGGCTTAATGGATAATGGTTGGCATTCAAAGGTGTGTGGCTGTACTTACGACATGTTATCGCCACCGGCATCGCCCACACAGCTGGTCACACTGGCCATGCCGCCGCTGCGTCGCGGGCGGCTCTTGCGCCGACGCCGCCGCCGACGCTCCGAGGAGGCGGTGCGCGTCTGCAGCACATGCTGGCTAAGCGATTTGTGGCAATTGGACGGCGGCTGGCCGCTGCTGGCCAAACGTCGCCCGGTCGCATTGCTGCCGCCGGCTGCGCTGCCGCTGGCTGCGCTGGCGCTGGCGCAGGGCAGACCCTGTACGGCGACCACAAGCTGCGCATCCCCAAAGCCGCCCGCCGAGCTGATGGTGTCGCTTGACTGCGGCGTTGCGGCGCCGGCAGCAGCGGCGCCGGCAGCGACGCCAGCTGATTGGCTTGGCTGCGACTGCGACTGCGACTGCGATTGGGACTGGGACTGCGACTGGGATTGGGATTTGCTGTTGCGCAGGCTGTGATTCACTTTGCGCCACATGCGTTCCATGGCGTCCGATTTTGTGCGTATGTTTCTCTTATTTTTCTATATTTATAAATTTTCTTTAGTTTTCTTTTGTTGTTGTTGTTGCTGTTGTTGTTTTAACTTTAACTATGCAATTTGGACTAGCTACAGGGGGCGGCTCTGGGCAGGAGCTAGGAGCTGTAGTGGAAGTTATTGTTGCTGTTGTTGTTGTTGTTGTTGTTGTTGTTGTTGTTATATTGTTGCGAGGTGGCAGTGTTTGGCTGTTGGTTTGTCAGCTGCGGCGCTGTGCAGCAGCCGCGACATGCCTGCACACACACAGGCACACACAGACACACACTAACGCGCGCACGCACACAATAACAAAAAAGCTACTCAGCAGGAACTATGCATTATTATTGTTGTTTTGTTATTAGTTGTTGTTGTTGTTGTTGTCTGTGGATTGCGGAAGCAGAAAACGAAGAGCATGAATTGAGTTTAACCAAACACACACACACACACATGCAGAGCGTAAAGGCGCTTCATATATATATATATGTGTGTGTGTGTGTGTTTGTGCAAAAACTTTTGTCATACACTTTTAGGTTAAGCACGCGCTTCACTCATTTCGTTAAGTCCCGCCATTGTTATTGTCGTTGTTGTTGTTGTTGCGCCTATTGCACTTGTGAATGAAAATGGATTGTGAATTGCAGAGAGCAATTGAGCGAGGCGCATACAGACACACACACGCACACGCACACACACAAACTAACTGGCTGCTTGCACAGCTCTATTTTATTCAATTTTCCTTTTCAGCTTGATAACTGTTCACTTAAAAAAAAAAAATAGTGAAATAAATAGCAGCAATTAGCAGCAGCGAAAAGCAACAGCGACAACTGAAACTGCGAAGATGAGTAGCACAACGAAGACGGCGACAGCGACGGCGACGGCGACGACACACATTTCACGTTTTGTCTAATTTTGCGTTAGTAATGCGCGGAGAGCGCAAAATAAAATACACCAACAGCAGCACACACACACACCAACACACACGGACATAGCAGGAAAGTAAAACAGGAGAGTTGAACGTCGCGTTGGCAACCCAAAGCGCCGCATTTGTTGTCGCCAAGCTGTTGTTGCTGCTGCGCTGCTGCTGCGCTGCTGCTGCATACAATTCTATGCTAGAGCTCTCTATGCAAGCACAGTGGGCCAAAGCTGCTAGTGGAGCTTTTGTGAAATTTGCATTAAGCGGCTTAAACCTAGGCAAGCCTTCATAGTTTATTTAAGAGCTTAAGCTCGCGAGAGAAATGGCATCTCTGTGTGGCTAAAGCGAGAGCGAATGCTCTGCAATTAAGCAAAAATTGGCAATCAACAGAGGTTTGGGTAATTTGAGCAATTTGCGCCACTGTGCCTGCACAAACAGGAGCTGTCCGAGTGCGCTCTCTCGCTCTCGCTTTTCGCTCTGCCGTGCGTGGGCGCAAGCCGTCGTTGGCGTCGTCGACGTCGTTGTTGTTGTTGTTGTTGTTTTTGTATGCTGTGTATAACACAAACAATTTGCGCTTGACGCTGTAACGGAATTCCTTGCGAGAGAGCGCGTTGGCAAAGTCATCAATTGATACATTTGCGAAAATATGTCTTAATATTCTTGAACACTTTTCGTTGTCTACTTTTAGGCACACACACACACACGCACAGTCAGCGGAAACGGAAGTCTTTGTCAATTTACATTTTATTTTATCACAAACAACGAATTTCGCTGCGCCTTTTTGGCCAGGAGCAGAGGCCTCTGCCCGTTTATTGGCAACGCGCACGCACAAATAAAGCAGCCACAGCGAGCAATGCTCAACACTGACACGGCACATTCCGTTACTCGCGCTGCCTGGCTCTCTTGCGCTCTCTTTCTCTCTCTCTCTGTCACTGGCTCTCTTTGCAAAATGTAAACATTGAGGCTGCTTTCTAAGCCGGGCAACTAATTAACACTGCGAGTCGTTGAGAAAAACTTTAGCTTAATTAGCCAAATTTATTGTACTCTTTTATTAACTTTCCAGTTTGCCTCTTGCATAGTTTTTTTTTCCACTTATTTATACATTTAATATCGATAGCTATGCTGTTGCTCCGTCGCCAAATTATCGAGTTTTGTGGGAACACAAACGGGACATTTTTGGGATATTTCAAGCGGCATTTGTTAACCGCACACAATTGCCCCCTGTTGTTAACCGGCGGCAACAGCGTAAACGAGCGCCAGATGGCGCCAGCAAGGTATTTGTGGTAACGCAGCCGCTGCCTGCTGGGATATTACGGTAAATATGGAATGTACCGTAATCAGTTGCTGGAATGTTCGAAGCAGCCGCCATTCGGCGGCACAGTGGAACGCCTTCAATTATTAATCTATGAAAAATTTGATGTGAAAATTGAAAATGTTTTTATTTAAATTCCAGTAATTTCTTAACCGATTCCGTTTTTACGCTAAACTGAGCTAGAAAAACAACAGAGAAATTGCAACCGTTTTACTCAATACCAATTGTTTATTGTAATGGTAAATACAATTTCATTCAAAAATCGCCGCCCATATTAAAACTTCAAGTTCTATTTTATATTTAAGTTTGCTTCACTTTTTTATGTAGTATTTTTAATTGGTTTGCCAGTTGGCTGCCATATTCATCAGATCTATCGTAATCGTTATCGGTTACTTTATCTTTATCGTTATCGTTATCGTTATTCCTCTATACTCATCCTTTGCCTTAGCTCTTAAAGTGTGGCATTGAACAGCTTGAAATAATATCGATATACTTTGTATATACGCGCTATTCGTGATGGTTATCGTTAATCGATATATCGACATATCGATTGTGCTGCACACATATATATATATCTATGTATATATCTATTTTATTTGATCTTGATCTGTTAGTTTAAACATTTAGTTGACATCGAACATACACACACAAGAAATGCCTTTATACGTTTGTTTTTTTTTTCTTTTTTTTTTTGTTTTTTGGTTTGTTCTTCTGCTTAGATAACTTGACATTATATCTGATAACTGTATCACTACGTTTTACACACAAACACACACGCACATCAACTTTTACAAAGGAAATTTCTTTAAGTTACAGTTACGTGCGCTCGCTCTCGCTGCTTTTCCACTGCGCTCTCTCTCTCTCTCTCTCTCTCTCTCTCTCTCTTTGACTTACGATTACTAAAACATTGGCCTATTGCTCAGTTTTACAAATTACAAATTTCTCCACAGTGAGTACTGCAACTGCCATAGAGTTGCCCCACTGTGCGCTGATTGATACCAAAAATGTACCCAGTTAGCAGGGTTGCCATATAGTTTTGAGAAGAGTTCGTTTTCGTTTTTTGTTTTTGTTTTTGTTGCTTGGCGTTTTATCACAAAAAGTGTTTACAAAGTTGTTAAACAAAAGCTAAAGCCAAGAAAATAATAATTGAGAAATGTTAAAGAAAGACAGACAAGACGGTAGACAGTCTGTTTGAGTGTGTTTGGAACGGGTTCGGGCTGGAACATGGAAGTGGAACAGCGCCTGCCTCGATTACAGCTATGCATATAGTCTATATATAAATTGTATATATATATATATATATGTTATGTATATGGCTTGACTGATTTAATATAATTATTTCGCTTTTGATGTCCATTTAGTTTGTATTTGATGTGTGTTTAACGTTAAATCTAGTAAAAAACGCTTGCGACTGCAAAAAATTGTACAGCACACACCTAACCTCAAACTTTTGAATGTGGTGTGGCAACTCTGTTTTACTTCTTTTTTTTTCTATGCTCTTTCGGCTTTTGATTCTACAAAATGTGTGAGTTTTAATGTTTTTTTTTTGTTTTTTTGTTTTTTTTTTGTGGCACCTTAAGATTTGCTTGATGCTGCATGTGTTGCGTTTTTCAACACAGTGTTGGTCCAGTGTTAGCAGTGACCACTTTTTTTCGCTTGTGCTTCTTCTTCTGCTGCTGCTGCTTGTTGGTTGACAAAAAATCGCTTGCCCAAAGTTTGCGGCACATTTTTTTCTTTCTTTCTTTTTAAAGAAACAAATTCGTGTTGCGCTGTTGCCGCTTTTCAGCGCACTTAAATTTGGCAACCGCGCGCATATTTTAATGCCGTTTACTTCTGCTTCTTCTTCTTTCTTCTGCTGCTTATTGCAACTGTATTTAAATAACATTCTAAATGCTGCAGCCCTTTGACCCTTTGACCCTTTGACCCACAATTCTAGTTACAATTTTTGTTGAATTTTTGGTTTTTCTTGTTTTCAGTTAAAAATCGTTTTGTTAAAAATTTACGTTTTGTATTTACGTATTAGCCAATTGAATGTTACCAATTTCGTGCTCTTCTTCTTCTCTTTCTTCTTCTTGTTCTTCTTCTTCTTTTTGCTCAACATCAAATATAATTCTATTTATTTCGCATACACATATATGCACATGTATACATGTATACACATATATATGCATATGTATATGTATTTGTGTATGTGTATATATATATATATATATATTTGTATTTGTATTTGTATTTGTATTCCGATTATATGTACAATCTTTAGCATAAAAACTGGTTTTAAATTAAAATTACAATAATAAAAAAAAAATTAAGACATATGTGTATGTGTGTGTGTGTGTGTGTGTGAATAAAAGTTTAAAAGTACAAAAAAAAAATTCAAAAAAATAAATTAATGAAATTAGTAAAAAAAAAAAAAACTAAACAGGCTTAAGAAATTTTTTTTCCGTTTTTCTTTTGCTTCCATTTTTTGTTTTTTTTTTTTTTAATAATTTGCATGCGTTAACAACAAAAATCAGCTTAATTTGTAATTTAGGTGTATCAAAAAAAATTTCTATTTCTATAAGCATGCACACACACACACACACATATCATGTATGTGTATATGTATGCATATGCATACAGATATATGTATGTATGTATATTACGTAATGCCTATCGAAGTGTATCTCGTTCCTTGTTTTTTTTTTTTTCATTATGATTTAGTATTTGTTGTAATTCACTTTACTCTCAATTACATACATACATACATATATATATATATATATATATATATATATATATATATATATATATTTAGTTTGTTTATTTTCTTTAATTTAATATGCTCTTCTTCTGTGTACTCTTCCTCTTCTCTACTCTGTTCGTTTCTTTCACTTGGCTAAAATTAGAAAAAAAAAAAACAGAAAAAAAACTTCTCTTTACACGCTTTGTCGCTCGCAAAAGTATGCTACAAATTATGCTTTAAATAATTTTCTCTTCTGATTCCGCGCTCTTTATCGAATTGTGTTTTCTCTTCTTCTTCTTCTTCTTGCTCTCTTGCGGCATCGATTGCGAGCTTTTGGTTTTTTTTTTTTTTGTTTGCTTTAAACTTACAAATTTGTTGTTTTTCGTTTTCAATTGTTTTTTTTTTGCCATTTTTTTTTCTTTTATGTGAAACAAATTGCATTTGTTTTTGTTTCGTTTGTTGCTTATGCCTACAAATGTTGCTGTTGTTGTTGTTGTTGTTGTTGGTCGTCATGGACAGAGCGCCAGCCAGTTGCAGCTGCTGCCGGCGACGCCGGCGTCGCGGCTGACACAGAAAAAAAAAATTATGTTTTGCCAACGCTCGCTCAATATAAAATTGACACGACTGTCAGAGACAGACATATACATAGTTGCTAGAGAGCGAGCGAGCGAGACAGAGTCGGAGAGAGAGCGAACGCGAGCGCGCGCGTGTGCTGCAGCCTGCGATCTTCAAGTCACACACATACACACTCACACGCACACGCGCACTCTCTCTCACTCTCTCTTCACCACACTCTTTCGATCTAACGCATCTCTCCATCTACCGCTGGCTGGCTGGGTCAAAAGTGCTCCAAAGCTCTACGCAGCTTTTTACAATAAAATGGACATTAAGACTCGCGCTCCTTCTTCACCTTCACCTCCTCGCCCAATATGGTTGTGATTTCACCTTGCATGAATGCCCACGGTATGGTGGAATTGGCCAGCGGACAGCGCTCACCACTGGGACAATACACCTCATTGCCCAGACCCTGCAAGAAAAGATGGAAAGAGATAGCATTAGTAACATTCGAGAAACTTTGCACTCTCTCTCTCGCTCTTGACTTACATTCTGACGCTTGATGCTCTCGCGACTGCAGGGAAAACAGAACTTGTGAATGTTCACCGATGGGCACTGGACAAAGTGTGTGTCCTCCAGACGCTCCTGGCACAGGGTGCACTTAAGTGTGGCGTTTTGTGCCGCTGCCGCTGCGGCCGCCGCTGCCGAATTGGGCGCCGCGCTGCTGCCGGGCGCACCACCAAGGCCACCACCTGAGCCGCTGCCCCCGCCGCCGCCGCCGCTGCTGCTGCTGCTACTGCTGCTCATGCCTGGCGCACCCTGGCTGCCGCTGCTGCCAGGCCCGGCGTTGACTGCGCCGCTGCCATTGCTGCCGCTCGGCCCGATCGAGCCGCCATTGCTGCCGCCGGCTGCGCTGCCATCGCCTGCGACCGCATTCGGATTGGGCGGCAGCGAGGAGGGTCCCGTGTTGCCATTGCCAGATGCAGAGCTGCCGCCAACACTGCTGCAGCTGCTCAGCTGCGAATTGCTGGCACCGCCCGGCCCGCCCATTGAGCCGCCGCCGCCGCCGCCAGCGCCGCTGCCCGGGCCTAGGCCAGCCCCAACGGCGCCCGCTTGAACGGAATTCGAGCCGCCCACCTCGCTGCTTGTGACGGTTGTGCTGGAAACATGGCGAGAGCCCGAAGAGCGTCGACCCGACGAAGAGCCTACAAAAGTAAGAGAGAAAGAGAGAGAGAGACGGAATTAGTCTCGATTCAAGCTCAAGGCTTTACAGTTAACTCATTTACCCGAGCTGTTGGGCGAGTGGACACTGCGCGGGGGCAACGGCCCCGAGGGCGGGCTGGATCCATTGCGTCGACTGGCTGGGGACAAGTGTTCTGTAATGTAATAAGAATTGGACATGGATTAGATTTAAGGTTATGTTAAAGAGAGAGAGAGGGGGGGGAGAGAGGGAGAGGGGGAGAGGGAGAGAAAGAGAGGGAGAGAAAGAGAGAGAGAGAAAGAGAGAGAAAGAGAGAGAGGGAGAGAAAGAGAGAGAGGGAGAGAAAGAAAGAGTGTGTGAGAGAGATGGAAAGAGATTTAGCTCTCAGCTAATAGTCTGTTTCAAGTGGTACAGTACAGTGTTTTATACAGATTTAGTGTTGAAAAACGCAAGTATTAAAGTCCTACTCTACTATCAAAGATGCCAAGAACGTGAGAGTTTTTATACTCAAGCTTTAAATCTTCTTAACTTTAAGATTTTGTTCAGTTTCATAACTGTTAAAACAGTTATGCAGATATAGTGTTGGAAAACGCACGTCATAAATTTGGTAAAAAGAATCTAAATTCAATACTATCGCCCTTTAGATGACTGAGGTATGCTCAGGAGCTTTTAAGCGCTCTTTGGGCATTGTGCAACACTGTCAATGTTGTCAATGTTGCACAGAATGAAATTGAGTCGAATGCAAAATTGTAATATATTTATTATCAGGCAACATTAATGCCTTTCCTCTTTTTTTTTTAATATAATATAAAACAGATTTAATTTCGGCGCAAATCAAACGCATGTTTCCCCGTACTGAGAGTTTACTGTATATAAAAAGTTGCACAAAATGCCAAATCAAGATGCAAATACACAAACACACATGCGCATATACATATACATATATGTATGTGTGTGTGTGTGCATGCACATATATGCATGCTGTGTATTTACTTAATGAAGGCTGCTTTCGATTTTATAATTCGAATGAATCAAAAAACAAATAAATAAAGATTTTGCTGTTTATGTTGTTGTTTTTTTTTTTTTCATTATTTTTTTGAAGCGCAATGTTTGTAAATTTAGAACTTGGCACGAACATTTCACAGTTCATGTGCACACAGACACACTGCTGTATATGTATGTGAAATATATGTATGTATATGTATATGTATAACGTGTGTGCGTGTGCTTGTTTGTGTGCGTTGGCAACAGCAACGACAACGTTTTCATTCACCAGCAGCGGCAACGTGACGTCACAGCACACTGTGCAGGTTGGTGGCCCCACTGTGCCGCAGCCAAGCGAACAACAACAACAACAAAAGAATCTTCAACCAGCTGGTTTTTTGCAAACGCTACGTCAAAACCCAACGTCAGTTGGCAAAGTGCCAGAAACAGAAACAGAGGACAGCGGCAGAGGCAGCGGCAGAGGCAGCGGCAGCGACAGCGACAGCGAAACAACAAACGACACGAACAGACACGAAACAAGTTTTTGTTGCTGCTGTTGCGCATACGTCACAAGGCAGCGACGCATGCAGAGCAACGTGAGAGCGACCAAGCCAAGCGCAAACGTGCAGAATGCAATTGACAGGACCGGTTTCTATTTTAGCTTTTCTTCTTCTTTTTTTTTTTGCTCTTTACTTTTCGTTTCTTCCTTTTCGTTTTCTGCAAGCATGTAACGAGACGCCGCACTGAGACGTTATGTATGTATACCAGGTACGGGCACACACTCACACTCACACACACACACACGCGTACACATATACATGCGCAAGCATATTTGAAGTTTTGTTTTGACTGTTTGCTTTGGTTTTTTTTTCTTTTTTCGTAACGCAGCCGGCACGGTTGCCGCGTGACTTGCCGAGCGGCGGTCACGCCAATTAACATACATACACATATAATATACATATGAAATGAATGTACATATATATTATATATTAAGTATACATTTATATGTATATATAGTTTTGCATGTACATGACATGCGCAATTCCGCTGCCAGTCCTAACAGGTCGCGTCTCTGTTAACTCTTGCTCTGTTAACTTTTTAATAGGTTTCAACACATTCAATGCACGCGCACGCGTAGCCACAATTTACTTTTGCTGCTGCTGCTGCTGCTGCTGCTGCTGCTGCTGCTGCTGCTGCTGCTGCTGCTGCTGCTGCTGCTGCTGCTGCTGCTGCTGCTGCTACTACGGCTGATGATGATATTGAAAAGCTAAAAAAAAACCGAAAAAAAAGGCACGCTGAACTGAGCTGGGCTTTAATTTGTATGCTTAGCGCAGCCGCGCACATTGCTCAAATGTCGACGACGCTGTCAGCGGCCGCACAGTGGGCTGCATACCAAATGCTGCCGTCTGCCCCGGGAGTGCTGTTATGTTTATTTATTTGAAACTGTTGCTGTGCTGTTGTTGTTGTTGTTGTTGTTGTTGTTGCTATTGCCTGTTCCTGCAGCACGTTGTTAAATTGGCAAGTCGAAAAACGCGCTCAGGCAATCGCAATTTGGTGCGTTGGCGTCGCTGTCGCCGTCGACGTCAACGTCGAGCGTTGAGCGTAGAGCGTGCTGTGTGTGTGGCCTCACCATAAATGAAATTTGTTTATTTATAGCATTTGTTTATATTTTGCACGCAAATGTGTAAAAATAATAATAACAAAATAACAACAACAACAGCAACAACAAAAATGACAGCAGCAACGACAATAAATACAAGAGTAGCAGCGCAGTCGGCGTAGGCGTCGGAGCAGCGCAGCATTCAGCAGAGCGACAGAGAGAGCGAGAGCGAGAGAGCAAGGGAACGAACTGTATGCAGGCGCCATGTGCACAGTGGATGTCAACCGATTTATTTGCAATTTCACAATTTATACTGAAAAGCGCAAAAAAAAAGAAACACTTCAGTTTTTATCAATAAATTATGAAGAGTTGCCTTCATATTGTATTATTGATTTTTGATTAGAAATCAACATTACAAAATAATCAATTTCAATGTGAATGTGCTTGGAGCGCGCTCTTTGGGCCAATCTATTTATAGCTTCAATTCTTTTTATTTCAATTCTATTCTAATTTCTTCTCCTTTTGGCACATTGTTTGCACACAGCACAGCGAAAACATGAATCATTTCTCGATTCCATTGCAAATACTTAGCAGAAAGAAATGAAACAAAAAGGCACCATTTTGTCGAACAATTTGCCCATTTGATATGAATGAAAGGGGGCCACACCCCAAAAGGGGGTGGCCAGCAAATGCATGAATATATAAATACATTTATAGATATGTATGTATGTTGTTTAGATCTAGAAGAATTTTTAGAATTGTTTAAGCATTGTTGTTTACGAAACAAAACAGTTGCGCCTAATTCGTAATATCTAATTTATTGCCAGTGTGTGTACCTCTCCATTTTACGGATCTCTTAATTGATTTCCGTTGAGATAATAACAGCAAGGGAAAAGAAAGTAGAAAAAAAAAACCCAATATACAACTCATAATCAAAAATAAACAGAAGATAACGCCAGAGCGAGGCAGCACTTAAATCGTGTGATCTGCCTCCATCTAGAAGTATACCCCATCCACACACACACACACATAAACCGTTCGCTATCAGTCATAGTTGGCCATGGCGATAAGATAGTAGCCCCAATGAGGCACCTCTCACGATAAGATACGTAAAACAGCTGTGTGCACAAACCAGCCAAAGGCAAACGAAAGTGGAGCCTTGCAAATACAGAAAACAAATTAATACTCTCATGTATGTAAATGATATGTGTATGTATATATATATAGCGCACTGCCCGACCAATATCGTAGGAATGCGGCATATATAGGAACACAAAAAATGACGTCGCTTTAAATAGAGCAGCGCCTCAACGAATCTGACTGTAAAAATATCAAAGGCAAGGCACTTATCGCCAGTCGCTATTTGGGCATTGCCTTAAGTACTTTACTCACGCCCAGCTTATCTGCCAAGCATTTGAAAAGAGAGAGAGAGTGAGAGAGAGAGAGTGAGTGAGAGAGAGACATAGAGAAAAAGAAACGCTTGAAAACTCGCATTGCATCAAGAAATAATGCAACAAAATGCATTTGTCTACATTCATGTTATTGTGACATTAACATATGTTAATGTGACTTATGTTAATGTGACATTAACATTTGTGACTTTATGCCGCATTTGGTACAGATAAATTGGTTATTTATTTGGCTTAACCTTCATTTTCTGGTTATAAATGATCCTTTTTTTTTTGTTTATTGAGTGTTAAACTAAATTTTAATCTAGGCTAACTTGAGGTCAGTCTTGATTATTTTATTTGAAAATTAATAAGTAAACAAACAACAAATTATGCGCTTGTGTCTCTGTGTATTTCAAGAAGCTTCCAGTTCTATTTTTCCCTTCCTTTCCTTTCCTTTCTTTTTTGGATAGGTTTTTTTTAATCTATTGGTTTTAAAATGTGTCTAAGTGTTTGTATAATTGAAATTTAAATGTATATTTTCTATAAATAATTGTCGTTTTGAAATTTGATAATATAAAACGTTTAACCATATCAATCGAGATTCTATTCGAATTTAACCTCAAAAATTAAGCTTTGCTTGAAATTAAAAAGTTTGAAATACTTTCATAAATAAGGTATACAAATAAAAGCTCCTGTCCCAAAACGGGAGCTTCTTATATTATTTATCACATCCGATACACATATACATATATGCCTGATTGTGTGACCCGGGGGAATCGATATATCATTGATAATACAATATTTAATCTTAATTATCAAAAAAAAGAAAAAAAAACTAACTTCGCTTTATTGATAACATTCAATCGTCGCAATGCATACATAATGAATGTGTTACAAAAATAGTTTCACAACCACAGTACAGTGTCGCTTATCGAGCAGTTACCTGCTTATCGCTTCCACTTTCGGTGATAAGGCATACTTGGCTGATAGAATATAAGGTAAGATAAGATATGTCAACCGCATGATATGCGTTTTATTGTCGCTTATCGTTAGGGCAAGTGCCTGGCCAAAAATAATATAAAATAAAAAAAAAAAAACATTTCAATTTATGCAACCAAAACCATTGTCGCTTTCATTCACACGTATTGCGTTCGTTTGTACTGGTTGGTCACACTGTGCACTGATGCATCTAATCAGCAGCGACGTTGCCTAGGTTCATACACACACACACACACACAGAGAGAGAGAGAGAGACACACAGCGACACGCAAACACATGCATGGGCTCTCATTGCAGTATCTCTGCATGCCGCTGTTCACGTGTTAACGGTAAAAGCGCTGCACTGCATGCTGATGATGAGATGCTGCTGTTGCGGTCGCTTCTGATTAATAGAAGAGCGTGCCTAATTATCGCCTAGGACAGCAGAGAGAGACAGAGACAAATAGAGAGAGCGAAAAATTCCTGACTAACGCGCGCATTGGAATGGTCACACTACACTCAATAGTGAAGTTTTGCTCTCAGTGCAAGCTGCACTGCAGCAGCAAAAACCAATGCGACGAGCGCTGAATGAAGATGACGAGACAGTAAGGCGTACAGTAGGAGAGCGAGAGCGAGAGAGCGAAAGAGTTGCACAAGTGGGCGGGCGGTGGGGCGGGAATGGGGCTGGAAGCAGGCTCGCACGTTGTGTGAGCACACACACAAACATAAATGTGTATGTATACGCATGTATGCATTATGTGTTTAGTTGTAAAAGACGCTAAAGCTGTTGATGAATACATACATACATATGTACGCATGTATGTGTACAAATTGTGTATGCAGCGTTATTGTGTATGTACACCAAATTGTTTGTTATATTTTTAGTATACACACACACACACACACACAAATGCGAAGAGTTTGATGTTGGTAATGAAACACAAATACATACATACAAAGCACAAAAGTAACGTAAATAAACATAATAGGCAATAAACGGCCCAGCCAAGTAAAGCGTAAAAGAACAGTATGAACAACAACAACAACTAGAGAAACAGCAACAATAACGGCGACATTCAAACAAATCACGCACATTGATGCCAATATGATTTGCACAACGTCAAAAATCAAACAAATGTCTGATTATTAAATGACTCATGATTAAATTATGCTTCTTGCAGTTTGCATTGCGCTTTTTATAACATTTAACACCATGTTAAGTTAATATTCAGTTCAAGTGCAGCGATCATCAATGAAAACATGCTTGGGCCCACTGTGGGGAGCAGCAGATGACGGCATCGGCATCGGCATGCGCGAAAATTCTCTTTATTTTGTTTTTCATTTCTATTCGTTGAGTATTCAGGCATGTATACGCATACATACATAAATATGTATATATGCACATGAATATATATATACACATACACATATGTATATATACAATACAAAGCTGCTGTTGCAGTCCATTCTGTATACTAACTAAAAATTTATCTACACTGTTTGCTGTTCTGCGTATGCGCGCGTTTCTGTGTGTGTGTGTGAGTGTGTGCAACTTGTTATCGCATAGCGTAAAACAGCAAAGAAGAAGAAATAAAAACCAAAACAAGTTTAATGACGTTTTGCGCGCGCACACATACACACACACACACACACTCAAGCATAAATATAAAACGAAAAGAATACAACTAAAAAAAAATCTCACAAAAGCAGAACCCAGTAAAGCAAAAACCCGTTTCACCCAGCCAGCAATATCAGAGCGAGAGAGGCACAGTTACAGCAACAGCACCGGCCGCTTTGGAGAGCGAGAGAGAGACACAGTTACAGCTAGCCCAACAGCAGCAACAGCAGCAGCATCAGCGGCGTTGACTTTTTGCACGTCTGTTTTTATTACATTTTTGCGGGTCGCGGGCCGTCCTTTCGGGTTACGTGTAGCCGCGTGGCTTGTGTGCGTGAGTGTGACTCTGTGTGTATGTGTGTGTGTGTGTGAATGCGTGTTATGTATTTCAGCTTTTTGGCTCTGCGCATGACAGGCAAATGCCTTTTTATGGCAAGGGTTGGCAGCAGCAAAAGGTGCCGCCGTGTCAACGAGGGTTGCGTCGCCGTCGTACAAGTCATTTTGCAAAATGCGTGCGACTTGCACAGCAAGCGCCTATGTGAAGGCGTGCGCGCTCATGCATGTGTGTGTGTATGTGTGTGTGTGTGTGTGTGTGTGTGTGTGTGTGTGTGTGTGTGTGTGTGTGTGTGTGTGTGTGTGTGTGTATGCGTATTTGTGTACGTGACAGTTCGGTGCGCCCGAAAAAAAGACAACAAAAATTGGTTAGATAAATGCAATTTCTACAAGGCGCCCTCTCTCTCTCTCTCGCTCTCTCACTCTCTCCTTTTCTATCTTCCGCTTGGTCTGTCACTGCACTCGACTCCTTCCACGCTTCATGTTGGGGCACATGTTTGTGCGCGTGCTTTTTACATGCACGCGCGCACACACACACACACACACACGCACGCATTTTCGTTGTGGCCCAGAGCCTGGAAGAGCTCACGCGTTCCAAAAACCTGCGTCAAGGCAACCACCAACTGCAGCTGCTGCAGCAGCAGCAGCAGCAGCAAACGCTGCAGCGCCAACAGCAGCAGCAGCAGCAGCAGCTCAGCGACTTGGGCTCTGCCCGATAAGCGCATTGGTGATAAGAATATGTGGCCGCCTGTTCCGTTATCTAATCGCTGTTGGCGAGGCGACGCTGCTGCCAGCGCCGCCGACGTTGCTGCTGCTTATCAGAGAATAGTCGGTGCTCGACTGATAAGCGACAATAGCACAACTCATGTCTTCCTATCTACTATCTCTTCCTGTGCCCCCACCACTCCCTTACGCGCGCTCTCTCCCACTCCACTCCACTCCATCTGTCTCTCCCTCTCTCTCTCTCTCTCCCTCTCTTTTGCTCTGATAAGCGACAATCATGCTCGTTCACTCTGCTTGGGATTTGTGCCAGTTTGCAGCGACTCTTATCTTCCAACTGCGCATACACACTCACGCACACATATATACACATACACACATACACACCTACACATGCACACATGTACGTACACGGAACTGAACCTTTTGCATGTTGCTGTTCCCATTGGAAACTTTTCAAAAATGTTAACATAAAACAAATCAGACTTTAGCTGTATGTTAACTAACATAATGTAAAGTAATTCTAACGGAATTTCATTTGCTTTGGTTTCTGGAATACAGAAGATGACAGAAAAAAACCAATTTAGAAAAATATGCCAAATATTTATAACAAAAATTTAAATATGCATATTTAAGGAGTGAAACTTTCCTAATGAATGCTGTCTGTTTGTTTTTACAGCTTCTCGACGATTCTCTCTTTCTCTCTATCTTTCTCTTTCTCATGTTAACATTTAAATTCATATACAAAAATGAAGCAAAGTTAATAACAGAGTTTATGTTGCTGTAAATGTCACCGTTAGCTCTGTTACAGTTACAGTGAATGCTCGTCTAAAGCGAAATGTGTGTTTTGTATATCAACCATTTACTGTGTTTTTAGTAAATAATATATACTTGAATATTTCATTATTTTGAAAACCATAAATGAATTGTTTAATTTCCCCTTTTTTAAACCTAAGCTACAAATAGTTCCAGTGTACCTTGGGATGCAAAAGGTACAAATGTTGACCCATTTGTACCCAACAGTCTCTAAGGTTAATAATCGAAGACAATTTGTTGCTCAAAGTGAAAAACAAAGTTATATAAAAAAAAATAAAATAAATATGAAATGGTACGTTGTTGCCCTAAAAAAGTACCTTATATGTATGCATATGGGTACATAAAATAGGTACATTTGTATTTTTAGATTTGAATGTCTTTTAAATTAAATAAATGCCTTTGTGTTCTTTCGACAAGTGATAGGGAAGTAGGTACTTCAAGATACTTAAACAGGTACATTTGCATGTACCTAGCACAATTTTTTATATTTGTGCAAAAAGTACCAATTGGTTAACTAAACTATATACATATTGTACCAATATATATAATGTGCCATTTCACTAATAAAGTACTCTAGAAGGTATTTTAAGAATAGGTACATTTGCCTAACCCTAGTGGGATAATTAGGTATTAGTTCAAAAAGTACCAATTGGTTAACAAAACACAATATTGTACCATTGCACTAATATTGACACTCTTTGGGCAACACTCTTTCTCTATATATACAGGGTATTGTGTAGTCGGTGCCTGAGACAAGATAAAATTAGCAAACTCACCGGCTGCCTTGAAGGTCGACGCATCGAAGCTGGGCGCCCGCACGGGCTGCTGTTTGTCGCGCAAGTTGAGCTGCCGCTCGGGCACGTAGCTGACCGCGGGCAGCGATTCGCCGCGGGTGAGGGGGGGCCGGACGCCGTTGGGATCGTCGAGGGCGCTGCGCTTAACGCTGGAGGGGCCGACGCCGCTGCTGCTGCCGGCGGCGAGTTCGGCAACGCTGACGCAGACGCCGACGCCGACATGGGGCGGGCCGTGCGGCTGCTGTGCGCTCTCGATGTCCACATCCTCGGAGGGCGGACGCTTCAGATTGACGGAGAGCGCGGGCAGCATAGCTGAGCCCCCGCCGCCGCCGCCGCCAGGTGGCTGCTGTGTAACGGGACCGGGTCCGGGTACGGCACGCTGTCCGGCCGTGGGCGGCATATGGTGGGGCGTCATATGGGAGATGCGCACCGGTCGCACATCCGGTGCCGATTCCAGTTTAACGGGAAAATCCATAACGCCGCCGCTCTGCTGCTGCTGCTGCGGCGGCGGCGGCGGCGGTGGTCCAATGCGTGGCATTTGATAAGCGGCCGCGACCGCATGATGATGCGATAGCGATAACGGGCCGGGACCGCCCGCTGCCGATGTGCTTGGCGCGCCGCGATGCTGCGGCCCGCTCAGCTGCTGTTGCTGCAGGCTCTGCTGCTGCTGCTGCTGCTGCTGTAGGACGACGACTTCGCCGTTCTCGTGGGCGCGCTTGCTGCTCGGATGCAAGCGCTTCAGCTGGCGTGCGGCGTCGAGGACGACTTCGATGCGATCGGCGCCCTCGTAGTTGACGCAGCCGCGGCAAACCGCCTCCGAGAAGTCATTGATCATGGCCCAGGGCATGCGGGGCAGATCGCAAAGGTAGCAATGTTGCCGTTTCGTTTGCAGCGACATGACGATGGCTGCGGGGGGTGCGGGGTAGTAGTAGTAGTTCAACTGGAAGTCGAATGGAATGCACTGCGACTGCGGCGGCGACTGTGACTGCGACGTTGGCTGCTGCGACCCAAATTTACGCGCGCAACTCGACCCACTTTTTGGCGGCGTCAGCGTCGCTGCGTCGCGCACACATGCACAAAAAACACAAACAAATGCGCGCACACGCACACGGACACGCACGCACGCACGCACACACACACAGACAAACGAAATTTGTTCTGTTAATCGTTTTGATTAATTGCGTGCCGATAACATGTATCGATTATTGTTTAATAATGGCGCCGCTTCTCGTTCTCGTTCTTCTTCTTTTTGTTGTTGCTGTTGTTGTTGTTGTTGTACCGGCAATTTGTTGTCGTTTTTATCATTGGGCTCTGCCTGCTGCTGCTGCTGCGGCATTTTATTTATTATTATGAATTTATTTTTGAAAAATTCGTTTCAAGCACAACGAATATATATTCTTGTTCAGCGCGACAAGCTGACAGGCTATAGCCATGTCCGTCTGCGAAACTTGTTTTTTTTTTTTTTGTTTTTTTTATCTGCCGTTGTGTTAGCGTCTTGCGCTTTGTTATTGATTTTCGCTGCTGCGCACACACACACACACACACTGGGCATAAAAACAATTCTTTTTGTTTTTTTTTTTTTGCGTACACTGTCAAAAAAAATTAGTTATATTGTTTTGCTTATTATTTTTCTATTGCGCTGCGGCGCACGACAAGGCACGCACACAAGCACGCACAACTGCATATGTATGTATGCATGTATTATTATACATACACGCACGCTTTTCGTATGCTCTGTCGCCTGCACAGCAGACACACAATACACACATGCAAGCAAAGCGACAGCGGAGACACGTACACGACCGACGCTAAATATATATATATATGTGTGTGGGCAACAATACCGAAGAATATTTAGCGTAAGCGTAACTTGACGCGGCAACGTTCGGCTACAGAATGATGAAAATGAGCGGTGCGCAAAGCAAAAGCAGCGTAAAGCAAAACCAAACAAAAAGAAGAAAGAAAAAAAAACAGGCACGTCAAATAGTCAGCAGCACTGGCGACCCAGTGGTAAATGCGCACAACTCTACACACAAACAAACATGCACGGGACATGCAGCTAGCAACTGCAGCAGGGTTGTTTGTAGTTTGAAGAAAATAAACAATTTCTTGTTATAGACTGAAATTACTATTTATTACAAAAGTACATATTCACAATTAATGGTAATACCACGACATAGTGTCTTCAGTATATGTATCTAATTTAATATGGTAAAACATTATTAATATAAGTTTTTAGAATACAGAAGTTTTAAGTATTCTCTCCTATTTAAAATATAAACAATTTTTATATCAGCCAATTTTAAATATTTTTAAAATGAATATCAAGGCTTATTAGCACCAACTAATTTACAATTTTCTAACTCGTCATAGACTGGCCAATTGGCAATCGGGCTGCTTGCCGTTTGCTGTTGTACACATTTTTCAGTTCATGCGCGCACGCTCTCGCTCTCGTATGTATGCGTGCGCCTTTTGGCGCATACACACACACATATATATATATAAGCATTCAGTAGTACAGTGCGAGCTCTTTATTAGCAACCACTGTCCACATCGAATTCGTTATATGTTGTGCCGGCAACAATTCAATAGATTCTGCGTTCAGCGATAGCGAGCTACCACTGTACCGCTACACACATATATGTATATATATATATATATATATACGATGCGATACATACACACACACACACAACAACAACAGTTGTGCGTCGCGTACGTGCGAGCACGTCATAAGCAAAAGCAAAACGCAAGGCAAGGCGCTGACGCTGTGACGACGGGGCATGGCATGGATACGTCGTGCAAAAGGGGCGCGTTCGTGTTGGGGGTTGAAAAGAGAATAGCGACCATTGCTCCAGTACACTAGCGTTGCTTGTGTGTATACTATGCGCGCATACACACACATGCACATACACATACTTACATGCATATATATGTATGCATGTGTGTGTACATACATATGTATGTAAATATAGTATGTACATGGGCAGGCGTATACACACGAAATTGTGGCACATTCACATATATATGTATGTACATACAAACGTTCGTGTATCGATACACAAATGTAGACCTTGAATACGTAACGGCGCGTCGTCGCTGCCGCAGCCGGCGTCGCTGCTACGTCACGTCAGTGGCGCTCGCAGCAACTGCAGCGGGCAGCGCCTGAAAATGATTGCGGTTGCGCCCGTTGCCAGCGCAGCTGCTTCCCACATATCGTGCCCCATGACGTTTTGCATGATGTTCGCGTTACGCACTTCTTGAGCAGTTATTCCGGGGCAGTTGCAACAGCAGGCAACAAAAAAAAAAACAAAAAAGCAAAAATAAAACTAATTAGCGACAGCAGCTGTTTGGCGCGAGACCATTGTAAAAACAGCTGACTTAACAGCTGTTAAGCGGCAGCCTGAAAACTGGCAACGTTGCAACGCTGTTAACAGTCAACAGCACTGTTACGCACATTGTATGTACATTATGTAGCTGGCATACGAATTGATATTTACATAATATGTAAACTGTATGTTCCATTTCGGGACCAGGAAACGTCTCCACTGCGCATGCATGTATGCTTGTATGTATGTGTGTGCATTTATGTGTATATCTATATACATTGTGTGTATGTACTTGTTCAATATGCCACGCCCCCTGCCACTGCTGCGTGCATGTACTCCAATTGTCCTGGGCTGTTGGCCCGGCCGCAAACATACATACATATACATATGTATGTATGGACATATCGATCCATATTCCGACCATGGTCTGGGACAAATTCCACGATGGATACAACCTGTCGTATTGCCCTTTATTTTGTGTGTATTCAACATCGTTTGCGGAGAGGCTTCCTGGAAGCAACATGCGGAAAAACCAGATACACACAATCTGAACTGGGGCCCGGATCCCAGCCTGGTACATTTTATCGGCCGAGGGAGTTGGGAGGCGGGGCTAGCTGCTCCGGTAAATGCAACCAATTTAATAATAATTAGCTGATATTATCCGGAAATGGCTGGGCCAAGTGTTTTCCTAATAAAGTCTAATATAGGCTTTTCACCCGTATTACGGGTGAATTTCACAATCTCACAATAAAACACAAAATAATTCAAGTATTTGTTGAAGAGCTGTAGATATATGTTTAAATTGTCTAAATCATATACATATATAAGAATAAATCAAAATGTTAACTGTTAACGAACTTTTACAGTCATTTTCCACCTGTTTTCGTGGATTCCAAAATGATGGTTTTTAAGTTTTTCGCCCATTTGGAGTGAAATTGACTGAAAGAACAAAAATATTTGTTAGCTTTTGTGTAGAAATAGAATTTCCAAGCCTGGAACTAATAATCGAGATCCACGCATTTTCCACTCAGATTGGGGGATTTGTAAACGAAACATGTCTCACGTCGAATTGTAGGTAGAAAAAGGATATTCAAGCTCAACTCTTTTGATCCTGTTAACAAATCCTTGACAAAATATTGCCCAAAAAAAATGTACATATGTTAGGGTTTGATGGAATCAAATGTATTTTTAAACATAATCATTTTCAACTGCATACAAAAATATACGCTATGTATTATGCATAATACATATTACTAAATTTATAATGTATTTTATGTGTGTGTGTGTGTGTGTGTGTATTTATATAATTATGTATGTATATGTTGAGTTAGTTGAAACATTGAGAGGCGCACATTTACATAGTTTAACAGAGAGCCAACAGCTGTTATGCCAGCTGTTAGACTAGCATAACAGTCAGTATAACAGCCACGTCTGTTAGCCTAGCATTACAGTTAGTATAACAGCTAAGCAAATATTCAGTTATAATATATATATATGTATGTAAATCAGTTATTGGAGGGCTGAGGGGGCGTGTTCGCGGTATAGCAATTAATTGTAAGCGTTTCTTATTTGTTTTTGTGTAATTTATGCCTAGTTATATAAAGTACAATATAGCGTTGTATAACAGTTTTTTCTTGTTTGTTTGTTTTTTGTTTTTAACAGCATAAGTAATTGTCATCAACGTGTGTTTGTATAACAGTTAGCACTGTGCTACTTACGAACTAATGCCGCCATTTTGAGCAATTGCAAATACAAATATTCACATACGTAGTACAATTAAACATATAAGTATACGAGTATAAGTTAGACTTTCGGTTGCTCGATCGATCCCTATATATAGATATATATATGTAAGTAGTATATAAATTTCTTTGCCTTGGCTAGCGCAACATTATTGTTTAGTTCGTAGTCGTATTAGTTAATAGGAGGGTATAAAGTTTTGTTAATATTTTGTTTCTATATATAATAAATTAGATTTAAGCACTAACATGGAATATATGTGTGTATGTGTGTATATGCATGTATGTATATAAAAAAATAATTTTCTTTTTGTCTTTTATGTTGTCAGCTTGTTTTCTTTTTAATAATTTCCCATCCTAACACAGACTTGTCATTATTATTATTATTATTATTATTATTTTTTTTTTTTGTAACAGCTTTTGTTGCCTGTCTCTTTCTCGCTTGGGTGGGCCATGGCACTAGGTTTTCTCCATCTCGTTTCTATTCGTATTCGTTATTCGATTTGTCATCTCTCTCTCTCTCTCTCTCTTTCTTACAGTTTCGCCATAGAGCGACAGAAAAAAAAAATTGCTTTACTTTACGTTTATGTTGGGAACTGTTAATTTAATGCAAATATACCCTGTAAACTTAGCTGCTAGGTTTATATCGTTTTATACAACTTGTAAATATTGCAACATCTGTGTTTTTTTTTTACAGGCACTTCACCTTGGTTTAGATTGGATATACTCTAAGTATACGGAGATATAAGTTTATTTAATAGATACAACAAAAAAATAAGTTGGATTATTTTAACAGAATCTTTGAACTGTTAACTAACGCTGTGTAACAGTTGTTATAATTGAGCATAGCTGTTATATGTTATACCGCGACGCGTTAGTTGTTTTTACAATTGCTTTTGCTGTCATTCAAGCTGTATAACAGTTGGATTAGCTGCACTGATTATAAGGGCAAGTTTCGTAACATTTTGCTTTTAACTTCGTTAACAATATCTCTCTTTCGCTCTCACTCTCGCTCTCTCTAGCTCATTCTGACTGGCCTACTCTTTGTTTTTTTTTTTTTACTTTCTTCTGCTCCTCTCTTTCGCGCGAGAGTGCTACTTCTACTACTACAGTCGGACAGTTTTGGCAACCGCCGTCGCTGCGCTGCCGCTGGTTACCGCCAGGTGGCAACGCTGTTCGCTTCGTTTTCTGTTCGTCGTCAGCTTCGTTGATTTGTCGTTTTTGGGCTTTTTCATTTTCGTATTGCCAATGCAATGCACGATGGAATGTTTGCGTTTGTGGAATGCGTTGTATAACAGTTGTGGGAATGCGTTGCTGCTGCCGCTGTTGTTCTTGTTGTCGTTATTGATGTGTTGCCGGGTATAACAGTTACTGTTTATAACACTTTCTGGGCTACTGCGCTCATCAGCTTTGGCGCATAACAATGGCTAAGTGAAACAGCTGAAATATATAACAATTGTTGCGTATAACAGTTACTCACGAGCTGCTGTATAACAGCCAATAAAAGCGCCGTATAACAATCGTGGAAGAAATTTGAAGCTGTTGTTGTTTATAATGGTTGGCCATTGCTGTGTATAACAGTTGATACCCAGTGCTGTTGCCAGGCGTGCTTAACAGCCACTGATGAAGTGTATTACAGTTGTGGGTATAAGTTGCTGTTGCTGTGTATAACAGTAGTCGTTTGTAACAATTGCTGGGCTTGTGCGTCTGATGCGTATAACAGTTATGGAAATTTCTGCACAAATTGACAGTTCACAACACAATTGCCACGCGCGTATAACAGCCATCGAACATATAACAGTTAACAACGTGTATTAAAGTGCGTCCGCACCGGCGGCGGCGGCGCTGGCGCCGCTCGTCTTCTACGATCTACGGTCACACTGTTGCCCGCTCCAGCCGCTCCCGCGCGTCCATGCCCCGCTCCAGCATGGCCATTGCTGCTGGCGCCCAAAGCAGCAGCAGCAGCAGCCGCCGCCGCTGCTGCTGCTGCCGCCTCCTCGCGCATCTTCTGCTTCTGGTCAGTGAGACGGGCGCCCAGGCGATGCACCTTCTCCGGACTGAGTATGCTGAGGCGAGTGCTCTTCGAGAGCTGATGCTGCTGCTGCTGCTGCTGGGCTGATGAGACTGTGTGGAGTAGAACGTGAGAAGTTTAGAAAAGATGAGCATGATACATATATCGGGCAATATCTTAAGTAATATTTACTAGGCAGCTGGGCTAGCGTTTCAGATGGAAACTGTTATAATCCACAACTTGTTAGCTGTTATAATTCGAAATATTTGTTATAACAGTTAGCTGTGCTACCCTCTCGGTTGGCAAATGTTAAACTCTTTTTTAGCTGTGCTGCCGTTTCAGATGGAAACTGTTATAATCCACAACTTGTAAGCTGTTATAATGCGAAATATTTGTTATAACAGTTAGCTACACAAGCATCTTAAATGAAAGCTTTTGGAATCCTGAATATTTGTTTTACTTATTAACTGTGCTACCATTGCAGATGGAAACTGTTATAATTAGAGATATTTGTTATACTTGTTAGCTGTGCTAACCTTTCAGACAGAAACTGTTATAGCCCGAGAAATTTGTTATACTTGTTAGTTGTGCTACCCTTTCATATGGAAACTGTTATAATCCGAGATATCTGTTATGCTGGTACGCAGATTTTTACATTAGCTTTATAATAAAGAATTCAACTTTTAATATAACAGACCCCATATCTGTTTTTATTTTATTAGTTTAGTTATATTTTGCTTTTCATATGCCAAAACCCAAGATCTAACGTTTTCTTTTTAATAGTCTAATAATACTTTGTACTTTGTCTATATACCAGACCCATGGTCCCATTTTGATAGCTCTAGTTGTAAATGTACCCCCTTGTCTATGTTTATATGTATTTCCCTACCGTATTTAAATGGACTTTACAAATGGAATAGTTTATCTGTGTAGATCTAAACAGTACCAGATCCAATCTGGCCATACATCTATTTGTCTCCGTCTGCTCAATTTGCATCTCGAGCACAGCTTTCATTTAAGTTCAGCTTTAACCAGTTGCGAATTATAAGCGCAAACTGGTCTAAAAGCTGCCCGCTGTCAACTTTCCTGTCTTTATTTTTGTCCTATTGACAAATCCTAGAGTTGGGCAAACACAGCGCTGGCCAGACCCTCGCCCCAAGCTGCCAGATAAAATGCTCTCGAGGATTTACCATGATTGTTGCTCTGTCGCTGCGCTGTCGCGGCCGTGTGTCGTTGTGCCAGATGCTTGCCCGGCGAGCCGGGTCTGTTGCGTGTGGGCGAGACGCAGCCGGCGCCGCCGCTCCCGTTGGCTGCGGTCTTCGGCGGCTTGGCCTTGCTGGGCGCCTGTGCAGGACGTCGCTGCTGCGGGCTAGCGGCCAGCGGCAGCGTCAGCTTGTGCTTCTTGGGCAGGCAATCGCTGGCAGCTGCTGTCGCCGCGGGCGCTGCTTGGGCGGCAGCTGCTGTTGCCGTTGCAGTGGCATGCGGCTCGACAACGGCAGCGGCAATGCTGGCGGCCGCTTTGCTGCGCTTGGGCGCCGGCGTCTGCTTGGCCGACGGCGGCGTTGTTGTTGCTGCTGCTGCTGCTGCTGCCAGATGCTCCAGCGACTCCGCCTGCTGCAGCTGTGTGTGCGGCGCGGGCAGCTGTCTGCGTCCAAAGATGGGCGTCTGATTGATGCGCTGCGCGGTCGCCTTGTTGCCGTTCAGCGAGGCCTCGTGCTCGAGACGCTGAAACATTTTAAGGGCCACCGGCGGCGTTTTGAAGAAGTTGCGCATCGAGTGCTGCGATTGACTAAAGTTGCGTCGATTCGCCTCCTCCAGATGCTCGAATTTGCTGCGGCATTGATGCAGACGCGTTCGCATATCCTCAAACGCCAGCCGATGCTCGGCCGGTGGCAAAGGCGGCGGCGTGGGCGGCGCCACCGGCGGCGGCGTCGGCGTCGGCGTTGTGGCATTCACCTCATGGTAATTGAGGCTCGTATCGCAGCTGGAGTCCACGTCCGAATAGTTGTTCAGGTCGCGCACATCGTTTAGCTGCAGTTCGGCGCCAGGCCGCAAGTCCACGAGATAACCCTTTTCGCCAAATGGCCGGCATTTCTTGAGCGCCTGCTTGAGCGCACGCTCCGTCGAGGTTGTCTCCGGCGTGAGGCCGCGCAGCTGGGCGGGCTGGGCGCCCAGGAATCGTTGCCGGCGACGGGCGCGCATGCTGTCGCGCAAACGTTCGCCGCTGGGCGAGAAATCCTTGCCCAGGTGCGGCGATTTGGGTATATCCTGCGGCCGCATCACCACGTTCTCCAACAGCTCCACGTTCTCCTTCTCCTCCAGCTCGCTGGCGGGCAGCGTTGTCGCCGTCGCCGTCGTCGTCAGCGGAGTTGTCTTTTCGGATGCGATGTCCGTCACGTTCAGGTTGTCCAGACTGCGCTGCGAGGTGGGCGATAGGGCATCCTCGGAGCTGATGTAGCTATCCTGAAAGTTTTCGATTTCGTGCAGCAGACGCGCCGGCGGCTGTTGCTGTGCATCCAAATGCTGGCGCAGCTGCTCCAGCCAAATGTACAGCGTCTCGAAGCACGGACGCATATCCGGATTTAGGTCGCAACAGACGAAGGCCACCTTGACGAACGCCTCCGGGCACTGGGCGCAGAACTTTTCGCGAAACTCCTGCTGATTCAGGCTGAAGTCCGAGTTGCGTGGCATATAGTCCGGATCGGCCTCCACGCGACCAATGATCTGTGGTAAAAGTACGAGAGACATGAATAAGCAAAGCGAGCTTTAAAGAGCGAGTAAAATAAATATATATATATGCCAGGTAAACGTTTACGAATGCGGCAGAAAGAGGAATTGAAGAATAGTTAGTTCTAGCAAGAGAGTAAGAGGAGATTGTAAGAGACAGTTAAGCGTTTACGAATATGGTGGAAAGAGGAATTGAAGAACTAAGTTCTCTTAAACTTAATAAGCATAAGAGCAAAAGAAGCGTTCGGAAACGATTAAACGTAACATATATGCCAGTTAAACATTTAAGAAGTTAGCACAAAACGGAATCAAAGAATTATAAACTATTAGAAGAGAGCATAACGCCTAGAGAGAAGATATAAAGGAAGAAAGAATTTAAAAAGCAAGTGAAACATTTGCACATGGCGCATGAGAAAACTAACGTCAGCAGCCAGTAAAACGTTTACGAAGAAGGCACAAAGAAGAATTCAAGAATTATAGATTAATAAGAAAGTTGGCACAGCTACGAGATTCCGGGCAACCCACCTCGCATAGCATTATGCCAAAGGAGAAGACATCCACTTTCTCGTCGTACTTGAGGCCCTTCATCATCTCGGGCGCCATCCAATAGGGATTGCCCACAACCGTATAGCGCTGGCGTCGCTGTCGACTCTTGCTGCGCCTCAGCGTGCCGCTGGGCGACATGGCGTTCGCGTCCATGCCAGCCGTCGAGCTGGCACTGGCGCTCGACGTGGGCATGGCGCCCGGCAAACGTGGCGCATCGACGCTGCGTGCCAGGCCAAAGTCGGCAACGATCACCGAATGATCCTCGCGCACCAGACAATTCATCGAGTTGAGATCACGATGGATGATGTTCATGGAATGCAGATAGCTCATGCCGCAGGCAATGTCCCTGGCCAGGCAGACGCGCTGCGCCCAGCTCAGCGTCTGGCACGGGTCATGAATCAGCTCCTTGAGACAGCCGCCGGCCACATATTCGGTGACCATGTGCAGCTTCTTGTCCTTGTAGAGCACGCCAATGAACTTGAGCACGTGCCGATGGTCGAGCAGACGCAGCACGGCGACCTCTTTGATGAAATTACGCTGCGCCTCCTCGTCGGCGCGATGCAGCTCCTTGAGCACCATCAGCTCGCCGGTCAGACGATGCGTCACCTTGTACACCTTCCCAAAGAAGCCCTCGCCCAGTTTCTCGCCCATGACCAGATCGGAGGCGCGAAATATACGTTGCGGCTTCTGGACAACGCGACAGCTTTGGGTGCGCGACAAATCGTAGAGCTGCGGATGCGCCGAATGCTGTTGCGCCGTGTGCTGTTCATCCAATAGCTTGGACAGGCTCGAGCAGCGCTCCTTCTCCTTTAGCTGGGATGACAGTGCCGGCTGCTGCTGCTGCTCGACGGGCTGCTGCGGCTGTTGCACGTTTGACTTGGACGCTTGCAGGGATTGCACCGTTTGCTGACGCATCTTGCGCATCTTGCCGCTGGGCTCGGTGGCGGCTGCCTTGTAGAGACGCTCGCGACCGCGTCCGCCTACCTCGACGCTGGAGGCGGATGTGCTCAGCGGCAGCACCAAGGTCGTTGCGGAGCTGGCACGCTGGATGTCCGCCTGGCTGCAGCTGCGGCACACCTGCACCGGATCATGCTCGACGGTCAGCTGGAGCATCTTCTCGTTGCTGCGTATCAGCTTGTCGATCTGGTCCACGGACGAATTGCTGACCGGAGTGCCATTGACCTCCAGTATGCGATCGCCAATGTGCAGATTCGTCAAATTCACATCGATCCTGCAAGCCGAAGACAATGCTCCATTAGTTGACATTGAACGTTTAAGGAGTAGACGATCGGATTAGTTAAGTGGTTTTTTTTTTCATTCGTTTACCTATATGAAGCACAACAACGATCCGCCACCGAGGTAAGCAGGGAGAAGGCGTATTTGCCCATGCGACCATAAAATTTACAAATTAAGCTTGAAAAGCGACACAGATAGAAAGAGAACGAGAGAGAGAGAGAGAGAGAGGGAGAGAGAAGGGAGAGAGAGAGGAAAGTATGAAACCAGCACCAGGCATTAAAATTATTAATTCTTAATTCTTAAATAATTTATAATAATTGAAATAAAAGCATTTAATTCAACTGCCAACAGCTGCAGTTGTATTTGTGTGCGTGCGTGTGCACAAGTATTAGTGCGTTTCTTCTACACGCTCTCAAGCTCCAGCCAGCTGCTGTGTATGTGTGCGCCGTATGTGAGCTTCAAGCTATCGAGATGTGTGTGCGTGTGCAACTGTTATACACTTGATTTAAATGCTTCTATTTTCGAAAAAAAAAAAAACTCTCATAAGAGTGCATAAATATTAATTTGAATATAAATACTTTGCCTAAGCTTTATGCGTAAATCATGTTCAGTTAAGAGGAAACTTTTTTGGGTTATATTTTGGAGCTCCTGACTAAACTGTATTTCTGATTTTAGTATTTTTTAGTTTTAAAGTATATGTTGTGAGTTTTTTTTTGAGTAATAAACAGTAGCAAGAAACTCTCCAATATTTATATAAAATAGTATTTAAAAAATACTAAACAAATACTATTTAAAAACGTCAAAAACTTTAATTTAAGTGTTTTTTCATCGTCTTTTTTTGAAGGCACTTTTCTGAGTTTTAACAAGTTCAAAATACTTGCTTTTCTTTATGGTATTTTCAAATGTTTCAAAGCGATATTTAATTAATACCTTCAAATGTATTTTTGATCAAAATGTGTCCCGAGTCTTTTTGGCATATTTTAAGGTAGTCCTTTTTTAAAAGAATTTAATTTTTTACTATATTAAATATTTTTTAAAATACATTTTAGTACTTGAAGCTTGTGGCTACTTTTTTGTTTTGCAGTATTTTAATTAATTTTTTTTTTTAGTATTTTAAGCTTGTATTTAAAGTCCCTATTTTGTAGGTTAGTTTTTAGTATTTTGCAGTATTTTTTTAAATTACGTTTTTTTTTTTTGTGCATTTCAAATAAAAAATCGTGCGCAATGAGATTGGCCGTGGAGAACTTACTCGGTTATCCGCACCGTGGGACAACCATCATCGAGGGCGCCGCCGTCCACACGGAGGCCGGGCGTCGCATCCTTGGGTATCTCGACGAGTCGTATGGAATGCATGGGCTTGCCGGCATTTGTGATGCGCGCCCGGGCATCCACGGGCAGGCGTTTGCCATAGCAATGGCCGCAGTAGAGCTTGGAACGTTCGACCAGGGCATAGGATTCGCCCTCGCCAATAAATGAACCGCAGGCGGCACAGCAAAAGCATTCCGGATGAAATTTATGCTCGCCGGCAACCATTACCGGACCCGTTATAACCGCCGTACACTGCTGGCAGGCATCGCCGAAACGCGCATAATAATCCTCGCGGCAATACAGCAAATTCTCGCGCTCAAAATACCAGCTATGCAAATGGGAATCGCACACCGAACAGCGAAAGCAATCGCAATGCCATTGCTGGCCGAGTGCCATAACGATCGGCTCATCGTTGTGATTGTGGGCGAGCAGGGGGCAGAGGCAACTGGCGCAGGTTGGCAGCACGGCTGCTGTGCGCTGTTGTTGTTGTAGTTGTTCTTTTTGTTGATGCATGGAAATGTATGTGTGTCTGTGTGTGCATGTATTTATGCGTCGCTTGCTGGTAGAAGAGAAGAGGAAGAGAGAGAGAGAGTGAGAGAGAGCTTAATGTTGATGAGAGCAGGCTCAAGAGAGTCAGTTGCCATGTGTGTGTGTGTGTGTGTGTGTGCAACGATCTGGCAAGCCTTTGTTTACCGAACCGGTTTTGCGAATGAACTACTCAATTGCATGTTCATAGCCAAAAGCAAACACAAGCATGTGTAATCCAAGTCGAACTACTTATTAACTGCATGTGGCCATAGAACTAATCTAAGCATGATGTCATAGCCGGCATATTAAAAGAAGAAAAAAAAAACAAAAATATGTTTTTAGGTAAAACATATTTGCAACAACAATAGTTATTGCGGAACTAGCCATGAAACTGGTTCAGTTGAACTGCAGCGTTCAACTCTATGGGAATTCGGGATACGCTTGACGGATGACGCGCGGGGGGAGGGGGGGCGTGTTGGTATGGGAATCTATTGTTATTGGCAGCGTTGACCCTGAGAAATGGTGTGACTTATTCTTGCACAACAACAACAATTGACTGCATATGGTTTTTTTTTTAGCAATAGTATCAGTGCTTAATATAACTAATGAAGCAAGCAGCTGACGCAGCTGTATTGTTATGCACAGATAAAAAAAAATAAATATAAATAACATACACAAAATGACGAATGCACGAACACGAACACAAGCACACGCGCGCGAGCACACACACACACACACACGCGCGCGAGCACACACACACACAAGTACACGCGCGCGCACACAAAGATGAATACAAAAAGCGCAAAACACAGTTGAATGTTGATTGAAATGTGTGTGGGGGAACGGGAACAACAACGACTTTAGCATTAGCAAATGGCAAGCTTGTGCTATTGTTGTTGTTGTTGTTGTTGTTGCATTCTTACTAATAGTTGTTACTGCCAAAACTAAACACAAGTATACACAAACACACAGGCAGCCACTCACACACAACAAACAACACGCACGCACACTAGCACACTTACATAATTTTTAGCTTATATTTTGATGCTGTTGTTTAACGCGCATCGCAAATTTTCTTGGATACGTTCTCACACCATTTTCCGCAAGCGTTCGCACGTTTGGGCACTTGTATTACTCCACACAGTTCGAAAATAAAAAACAAATGCATTTGTTTAAAAAAAAAAAACCAAAATGAGACTAGCGTTAGTCGTTCAGTGTGACCGCGAGCGTCGTATGCGCAAAATCCACAAACGCGTTAAATACCAAAACAAAGCAATGCGATAAATACCGCAAATACCACACTTTTTGAATTGATTCAATTATAACGTGTTTTTTTTTTTTTTTGCTTTTCCATTCAGTTGGCAAATGAAAATACGCCTTCATTGTTGTTGTATATAAAAACAATGTATTTGTTTTGCTTTTATTTGAACATGAACACCAGCTGTTCCATTTACCTAAATTATCTGTCAAATAAATGTTTAACAAATTCTCCTTGAGGCGAGCCAACAATTAAATAAATAAAATGTATGTACAGGGAATCATATATGCGCTATATGTTAATATGTTCTTTCGTTTCGTATTATTGTACTGTGTTCTGTGGCAGGCTCTCCTCCTCCACGACGACCTGGCCTTGGTCCTGGATCTCGCGTCGCTCCTGCTGACGCACTAGCTCGAAGTACAGACCACGTCGCGCCATCAGCTCATCATGCTTGCCCGTCTACAGGAAGAAAGGAACACAGCTTAGTAACAGGCATATACATTTACAAAGGGATTCCCTCCTTGACTAACCTCGACTACGCGTCCCTGATCCATGACCACAATCAGATCCGCGTTGCGTATCGTGGACAGCCTGTGCGCGATGACCAATGTGGTGCGATTCTGTACGGCAGTGTCGAGGGCCTTTTGCACCTCCGATTCGCTGGTGGCATCCAGCGCACTGGTCGCCTCGTCCAGTATGAGGATGCGCGGATTCTTGACCAGGGCCCGGGCAATGGCAATGCGCTGGCGCTGCCCGCCGCTCAGCTGTGTGCCGCGCTCGCCCACATGCGTATTATAGCCATCGGGCAGGGCGGTGACAAAGTCATGGGATTGGGCCAGCTTGGAGGCATCATAGACATCCGTTTGGCTGGCATCCGGTTTGCCATAGCGCACATTCTCCAGGATGCTGGTGCCAAAGAGTATGGGCTGCTGCTCGATGAAGCCCAAAACATTGGCGCGCAGCCAAAATGGTGAGATGTCCGACAGCTTATAGCCGTCCAGCTTGATGTTGCCGGAGGTGGGTTCATAGAAGCGTTCGAGGAGTGCGGCTATTGTGGATTTGCCGGAACCGCTGGCGCCGACCAGGGCCACGGTCTGGCCGGGACGCAGCGTCAGACTGAAGTCCTTCAGCACGATCTGCAAGAGAAGCTAGAGAGGCTGGCGAGGCTGGAGAGGCACACACTCACATGATCTGGTCGCATCGGATACGCAAAGGAGACATTCTCGAAACGGATCTCGCCATGCAGACGCTCCGGCGGTATAATATAGCCACGCGACAGCTCCACCTTCGGCTGCAGCGAGAGGAACTCAAAGACTCGGCTGCCGGCCGTCATGCCGCGTATCATGGTGCCCAGCAGCACGGATCCCTGCGACAGGGAGCGCTGCACGCCCTGCGAGGCGACCAGGAATGCCATTAGGGCGCCGGGCGTTAGGCTCTCCGTGGACATCAGATGGCCGCCCATGAAGAGCGTGGAGAGCACAAGTGTGTTGAGGAAAAAATTGGTCAGACCCTGGAAGACAGCGATGCCATAGCCCAGCTCCTGGGCGAGGCGTGCCGCCTCGTTGGTTTCCTGCTCGAACAACTGCATCTCCCGGTATTCGCAGGCGCTGGAGCGCACGGTGCGTATGTTGGATAAGGCCTCCTCGCAGACGCCCGTCGCGCGTTCCGTCTAGAGAAGAAGGATTCGATTAGATCTTGGTTTAGGATTAGGCAAACTTCAAGCACCTGAGCCTGTGAGTTTTTGCTGAGCGCGCGCAGCTTGCGTCCCAGATACGACATGAACATGACCACGCACGGCACACTGGCCAGCGCTATGGCGGCCATATGGGGCGAGATCATGAACAGGGAGACGCTGCCGCCAATAAGCTGGGCGGAGCTGCGCAGGCCGTGGGCGACGAATTGTTTGAACGAGGTCTTGAAGTCCTGGACGTCGGCGGTCAGCCGGTTCACTAGCTCGCCTGTGCGGTTCTCGTCGAAAAACGAGATGTCCTGCAGGACGATTTGCTTGAACAGATCCTGACGCATCCTGGCGGCCATCTGCTCGCCCACGCGACTCAACAAATAGATGTACACAAACGTGAAGCCCGACTGCAACAGATACAAACTAAGCAAATTGCTGGCCGGCTTGCTCACATCCTTGACAAAGGAGTTGTTGATCGGATCCATCACGTACGTGTTGGCATAGCGCGCGAGGGTGTTCACCAGATCCCCCAGCAGATTGGGTATGCGTATATTGATGAAGGCCACAATTAGCGCCGCCTGCAATGTGCAAAGTGCGGATGCAGTGCATCGAAACGTGATGACAGCTGGACTTACCAGAACGGCGCCTATCAGCTCCCAGGTGTGCGGCTCCAGATATGTCCAGAGACGCCGCCAGTCAAAGTTCTGATCCTCCTGCTCCAGTGTGTGCTGTATGACGCCCGCCAGCCGATTGCCCTCGCAGTGGGCGACCAGCGAACGCGATGTCCAACAGCTGCGCATGGCCACGCCCACGCCCAAAGTGGCGCCGCCCCAGAGCAGCGCCCGGCTCGTCTGCAGCTTGGCCCGGCAGCTGCCGCTGCCGCTGGGCGAACCATGTGGACGCCACATGTGCTGTTGATGCTGGCGCATCAGGCGACTGGCGTTCTGCAGGCGCGGACCGAGCTGCGACTGCGGCAGCTGCTGCAACAGGCTGCGGCTAGAAGAGTCAGAGCAGCGATGACATAATCAAAGACCAGCAAAGGGGGCAAACCTTTTTTATCATAAGTTAGCTGAGGCCCCGCCCCCACGCCGTCGCCGCTTTCCACTCTTCGCACAAGCCATGCGTGTGTTATGTACGATCGTGGGTTAGACGCGCCGAGGGGGAGAGGGGGGGAGCGCTGGATTACCTGAGCATATCGCCGCGACTGCAGTTGGTTAGGAGTAGGCGCAGCATCTGTAGCTTCTGTACGTTGCACTTAACTCATAAAATTAACTAAATACGCAAGCTCTTAAGCATTTAACTAACTTGTTGGTTAACCTTAACAATAATAATAACACACACACACACACACACGCACGCACGCATACACTAATGAACGCCAACACCAGCAACAGCAAAGGCACATGCCCATCCACTCACACACACACACAGTCTCACACCTACACGCACATGCATGCACACAGGTCAGTTGAGTGCCTGACAAATGCTGATTGCCATGCTTCAAATGCGCATTTGGTATTTTTGGGCAGCTTAAGCGCTTTAGAGTATTTAATACCGTCCTAATGTACCGTTTTGGTATTTTTAAACCTTTATACACACAGTTAGCTTGTATATACTTTATTTGTTTGTTATATTTGACGCTTAGCTTGGAAAATGAAAAATAAATATTAAATCTATTTAAATTTATGATAAAAATTATTATTAACTACTATTTTTTCTCTTAACTTTTTGTCTGTTTTAGGGTATTAAATACTAAAAGACATTTTTTGTGCTTAGCATGTTTTAATATAATTTTTGTAGAATATTTTTTTTAATGTGGATACTCGATTTTTTTAATTTAGTATAAAATACCATCTAGTATACTTTTTCTTAAAAATACTGAGTTTTTTTTTGTAAGACCGTATATAAAAACCTCTGGAATTAGCCTCAAAAAATTGCCCAATTGAAATTGAAATATTGCGCACACTAATTTTAAATGCTTCTATTAAATTTTAGTATATTGCTGTAAATAATACGATTTCGGCAACGCTTTATCATTCAAATTCACGCGCAATTTAAGCAGTTTTCATGAACCCTGTTTATGTTTTACAAACAATTTCATATTTATTGATAAACAGCTTCTTGGTTTTAATAAATCAATCGGTGTCCATATCCGAATCGCCATCATCGTCGTCATCATCATCATCGTCGTCGTCGTTGGAGCACTCCTCGTCGGAGCTGCTGCTCTCGGTGTCATCAATCCAATCGTGCGCCTTCTGATTGCTAGCTATGAGAACCTTCCACTGATCAAGCTTATGTAGGTCCAGCGCATAGAAATCGTTAAGCGTGTGCTGTTTCTCATCCTCCTCGTAGAGGCCACCGAATAGATACAAGATGCCTTTGCAAACACACAGGCCGGGATTCATGCGCGGCGAGGGCACATCTGTGCGTCTGTGCCGGGCAGCCGGAAACAAACTGGGTATATTGGATACATAGGCGGAGGAGGAGGATGCTTGAGTGGAGCCGGGTCCACCAACGGTCACCGTAAAAATGCCATCTGTGCTGGTGGTCACAGTCTTTTCAGCGGTTGCCGCATCGCCGGCCATTTCGATATCGTGGGACTTTTCGTTGTCCTTCTTGCTGCTGGGCTTGGTCTTGGCCGCCAGCTCAAGCAGGCGCCAGGACTGTGCGGTCAGGTCAAAGGCCAGCAGCTCGTCGCCGAACTGGCCCTGGACATTCTCGTCATCCTCATTGACGTCCATCACGCCGCCAAAGCAATACGCCTTGCCATTTGGTGCCACGGTGCAGCCGACGCTGTTGCGCGGCTTCGGACGATAACCGCCAGCTTTGACAGATGTCCATTTGTATTTGTTGCCGGAGCCGGTCTCTGGAATTAATAGATTGGATAGTATTAATAACGGCATGGATTAGAAAATGGTTGCTTACTGTCCACATCGAGCGCAAACATGTCCGTGTGCGTGATGCCCCGATCCAGATCCTTCTTCATCGAGGTTCTCGCGTAGCCGCCCCAAACGAAGATTTTGCCATCCGGTGCGGCGGCAATGCAACAGCCGGAACGCACAGCCGGCGCAATTGTGCCGGAAATTTCGATTTTCAGCCATTCGTACGACTCCAGGGAGAAGACATGCACATCGTTATAGTAGTGATAGGATTGATTATTATCATGAAAGCCGCCAAAGATGAACAGACGCTTCTTGGCGGCGACCATGCGATGGCCGCTACGCGCACTGGGTCCATTCGGTGCCGCGATCTTCGACCACTGACGCGTCCTGAGGCTCATCGACCAGAGGTCCTTGTAGTGATAAAACTGCAGCTGCGAGGGACTGGCGTGCTCGCCGCCAAACAGCTGCAAAGTGAATCAGTCAAACAATATCCATATATCTATATAAGGATCATCATTTACCCACAATTGGCCGCCATCGCTGGCAACGGCGACCATTTGATGGCCGCTGCGCGGCGTTGGGCCCGACGGCGAGCGCAGCTGCTTCCACTCGTTCCGGGGTATATTGTAGAAGAACATATCGTTATAGACGGAGACTTTGGCGCCGTTGTATAGCTCGCCGCCGAACATGATTAGCTCTTCCTTTTCGGGATGTGTTACCAGCGAGAAATTGGAGCGTGGCGTTGGTGCTGCGCATACTTCCTCGGTTATGGCCTTTATGCTCTGCTCCTGATTCTCCAGTTTCTTTACAATTTCCGCTATATCTGCCTGGAAATGGGAAAAACTCGTGTGAGAATTTTGCCGGGACGATTGGAGCATGCCTTACCTCGCCAAGTTTTTCCAGCATTTTCTTTTGTTTGGCTGCCAGCTTTTTGTCGGTTTTCATTGCTGTCTTCTCGGCGCCTTTGCCTTTTTTCTTATTCTTGTCCTTTTTACCCATTATTGTTCAATATAAAATATATAAATATAACTTGACTATTCAAAGATGGAAAGCACGTTTTAGTGACCATATGCGCTTAACAAAAAATAGCCCAGCTCGTGCTCAAGATGAATCACATTTTTTTCTAGTATTTTCCATATTTTATTTGGTATTTTTGCATTTGCCACGGGTGGTTACACTCTTTCGTATATTGTGCATCGCTGACAGAGCTGTTAAAAACTGTGTGACCAATTTACGTAAGGCTTAGCAGCTGTTGTTTAACATTCTGCTGTACTGCAAGTTAAAAGAGTCAGTGTTGCGCTAACAGACTGGCAACGCTTGCGAAAAGTCGAGTTGGCATTTGTACTCGAAAAATTCCATTTAATCAAAGAAATAACCCAACCGCATTAAAATTATTAAATAAGTAAATGGTAACACATTTCAAGTTCGCGTAATTAAAAAACAGTTTCGTGTAAGTGTTTGTACCCTTTAAAGTATTAGAAATTGGGCAACAGCAAAAAACAGAAAGGCACAGAACTGACACCTTGTGTTTGTGTTGATGTGCGTGAGAAGGGGGCCCGTGTGTGTGTGTATGTGTATTTTTCAGTTGGCTCACGAACGGATTTTGCTTTTGTTATTTTTACAAAATTGATGGACAGGCGCCTATCGGCTAATCAGCTGCTTTATGCCTAATTATGCGAAATTATCTGCAAGTGCCAGCAACCCCCTCCTCCAGCACCCGGGGCACTTGCTGCAATTACATTTCAGCGGTAACAACCCTGTGTGTGTGCGTACTATTTGTTTTTGCAGTTCGCCTGAAACTTTACTTGCTCTCTGGCAACGTTCGCTCTCTCTCTCTCTCTTTCTCTTCCACTGCCTGTCGGGCATACAACCACTGCTCCAATTTGGCTGTTTTCACTTTTGACTGAACGTCTGACGAACGTCTCGATAAATAAGTAATTAATACATATAGTTATTAAAATTATAAAAATGCAAGTGTAAAGTACATTCGCTGCATACTAAATGCAAAACGCCGCAGACGAACAACTACAGAAAACCTGCTGTGTCAAGCAGCACTATAACAACAACAAATGCCAGAGCGAAACGGTGGTAAAAAAAACGACGAAAAAGATTGTGTGTGTGTGTGTGTGTGTGAGTGATGGGCAGTAAGCGGGTATAGGGGCGGGCACAGCAAACGTCCACGTAAACTTTTAGCTCAGCGTGGTTATTGTTGCTGCCGCTGCTGTTGGCATTGTCATTGTCGGATTATACAAAAGTGTACACAATAATAAAAGGAAGAAGAAAGAAAGAAAAGAAAGGAATTTAGAAAAAACGTAGCGAGGCATAAGAAATTGGCAAGTACATATAAGTTGACTTGATTCGTTTTTCTATCTTTATTATTTTGTTTGTCAAAAGCCAAACCAAGCCGAAAAAAAAACATGTCATGGTTGAAACAACGCGCCCAGAGCCTGCAGCTGGCTGCGAAAACCAATTCAGATTTACAAATAGTAATCAATCAGAATGAAAACCACGTTGACAAGGCTCAGGTATCGTTGCATTTAGTGCATTTTATTTTATTGTTTTTTTTTTTTTGTAAGTCCAAGGCGAATTGAGCACAGCTGTCACCAGAAAGCTGTGTGGCAACTCTGCTAAAGCCCACACACGCACACACAAACATACGGGAAAATAACTGTTAATACTCGAATGAGCGCCTGCCGCCAGGCTTCAAAACAAGTCTGTACGTTGCCAGACAGCTCGAAAGTGCTTGAGCAAAAAATGGCAGCGCATTTAAGTGATATGGCAATTGTTTTTCTTAAGTGCCAAAAAGTTAACTGTTCTTTTTTCTATTGGGCTTTTTGTTTTTACAGTTTGCCAAGCTAACGCACTGCGACAACATGTTGCACAATAATGCCAACTGGCTGCCACCGCCTCAGCAGCAACAGCAATTGCAGCAGCAACAGCAATTGCAACAGCAACAGCAACTGCAACAGCAGCAGCAGCAGGCACCTTCGCTACATCACGCTCAAGTTCCGGCCGCAACGCAACCGTCGCAGCCGCAGCTATATGCCAGCCAAATGTTTCAGCAGCCTCAGGCGCAACCGGCTCAACAAGCATATTGGCCAATGGAACAGCCGGGCCTCAGCTATCACGACTTTGCCAGCGCAGCGCCGCCGCCGAGTTATGCGCCTCCCGCGTCGCTGTCCTATGCGCCGGCTATGTCTGCGCAGCAATTTTATCAGCCAGCGCCAGGGCAAGTGGAGCCACAGGCACAGCTGCCGGCTGTCGAGTTGGTGGACAATAATAACAGTGGCAAAAACGATGGCTGGGGTGATTGGGGCGATTGGAATGATGGCGGCAACAACAACAACAGCAACAACAACGGCGGCAACATCATGAACCACAGCGAGGCGCCGCCGCTAGCCAACGTTGTTGAGGATTCCTTCAATGTGCAGGGCCAAAGCAGCTGGCACGCGTTTAGCAACAACAGCAACAACAGGAGCACCAACATCATAAGCAGCAGCAGCAACAACAACAACAATAACAATAATCCTGAAGCCGGCAAATCGCTGGAACTGCCGCCCTTGCTGTCGCCCGCCACGGAGCAGTTGTCGCCAGCGTCCGAGCCGGAACTGAATGCTATTGTGCCGCCGCAGGCTTTTCAAAATCAGCCACCACCACCAGCAGCAGCAGCAGCAGCTCCTCCTCCAGCGGCAGTTACACTACCACCAGCAGCAGCACAGGCAGCTCCTCCTCCAGCAGCAGCAGCACTTCCCCCACCACTAGCAGTTGCTCCGGCACCGGCTCCCGTTCTGCTGCCGCCCGCAATGGAGACTGCAGCTGGGAATCCCTTCAAGCGCGCTGGAGGACTCAGCAAGCGCGTTAATATTTTGGCTACGCCAGGCACAGGAGCAGCAGCGGCAGCAGCAGCACCGGCGCCAAGTGTGCCCGCCGTGGCTGCCGTAGCGCCTGTCCAGATGTTGCTGCCCGAACCCAATCCGGAACAGCAGCCGTATGAGAATCAGGAGGTATTGCTGGCGGCGCCAAATGATGAGCGTGCTCAGTATCTGCAGACGAGTCACCTGTCCGAGCAGCCCGAGGAGCTTAACGAGTCCAACTGGGAGGCTGATGGACTGTTCCCGCCGCCGGGACTGTCACGTCTGGTGCTCGGCCAGCCGGAGCTGGTGGAGCAACAACGTCTGGTCACCGGCACCGAGCAGCCGCCCAGTCGTGTGGCCAATGCGCTGCACATGGCTGAGCGTCAGGCCGATGGTGAGGACACCTCCGAGGGTGAGCAGCCGACGCGCAACGATCTCTACCAGCAGCAACAGCTGCAGCTGCAGCAGCAGCAACAACAGCAGCAACAACAACAACATCAGCAGCAGCAGCAGACGCCACCGCGTCGCGTAGTGACTGGCGTGGAGACCCAAGCGACTGTGGTGCTATCTGGTGAACAGCGCGAGGTAGTCTTGGATGGCGAGAATCTGGAGGATCAGCGGCCAACGATGCCGCCGGCGCCGCTGTCATTGCCAGCAGCAACGGCGACGGCAACGCACGCAGCCGGCGTGCCAACAGGAGCAGCTGCTGCCATCGATTTGGACAGCGAGTCACATCAACATCAACAACAACAACAACATCAACATCACATAAGCAACGACGAGAACGAGGCAAACTCCTCCTCGCTGCCAACTCAACAACAGCTGCAGCAGCAGCAGCAAACGCCGCTGGAGAAGAAACAGGTGCGCGGCAAACCGCGTCCAGTTGCCTCGCTGGATCTGGAGTCGGAGGATGAGTCCGAGGACGAGTGGCTGCTGAGCGACAGGCATGAGCCGCCGCGCCGCCAGCCGGACGAGCGCAGCATGCGCAGTCTGCGCGGCAGCCGGCGCCACAACAACAGCAACAACAACTACGAGGGCGAAACGGAGGATTCGGTGCGCGGCGGCGTCGCTGCCGGTGGCGTTGGCAGCGCTGCACACACTGGCCACAACGACAGCCACAGCAGCAGCAAATCGACGCGCGACGTGAAGCGACGCAGTCGCGATGCAGACAACCAGCGACGACATGAACCGGAGCGCACGGGACGCGAGCGCAGCGACAGGGAGCGGGAACGCGAACGGGAACGTGAGCGTGAACGTGAAAGGGAGCGTGAGCGAGATCGGGAACGCAATCGCTGGCGACGCGACGACCAGCAATACGGACGATCCACGCGCTACAGCAACAACAACAGCAACTATGATGGCGAGTCGGATGCAATCGAGCTGGCGGCCGGTCAAGCGGCAGCCAGCGATGGCGGCGGCGGCGGCGGAGGCGGACGCAATAGCAAGGCCAGCCGGCAGAGACGCAGCGGTGCCGCTGACGATGATTACGAGGATTATGAACAGCAATCGGCGCCACGTGGCGGCAGCCATTATCATCGGCCACGTCGCGACAAGCAGCACGCGCAGTCGTCGCATCAGCAATCGCACGAAAAGCCGCGCAGCAGCCGGCGCAGTCACGAGGGCAGCGAACGGACGCGTTCCCATCATCCGGACTGGCAGCAGCACTGGGATGCCCGGCAATACGAGGGCTATCGCAACAAGAGCTCGCGCAACAGTGACCTGGACAAGGAGCTGCTCAACGGAGCCGGCACCGCCGGCGGCGGCAGCAGCAGCGGCAAGCGTCGCAACTATGATCAATATGCGAATGCTGCGGCCAGCTACGATCCGTACGGCATGTACGAGCAGATGTCGCGCAATCCGCACGCCTACGCGGACATGTACGCCAAACTGTACGGCCAGATGATAAACTCAATGACGGCGGCCGTGAACGCTGCGGCCGCATCGAAAGCGGTGCCACAATTGCAGGCGCAGGCCCATCAATTGGGCGCACCTGTTGCCGGCGTGGATGAGGCAGCTCTGCTCAGGGAACGCGAAAGGTAAGCCAAAAAAAGACAAACAAAAAAAAACAACAACAACTGCAATTCCCAAACGCTAACTTTGCAGATTGTGTAGCATTTCTTGAGTTAGTTTTTTAAATTAGCTGCTATCAATTAATTCATGGGCACACACAACGTTTCCAGTCACAAAGTCTCTATTAATCTCATTAAAAAGAAACCCCTAATGGAACGAATGGAAATGGAACATATGAAAATTATATATAGAATATGATTAACTTGCACCTATTAATATTCGATTAACAAGTGAAATGAAGTCACAGACTAAAAAGAAGCACTAGAAACATTCGAAGTGTGTTTCGTTATAAACACTTCTTTTTTGCACGCCTTGTCAAAGAAAATGTTCTAATCTTTTATTTAAATATACGCGCGGAAAGGCATTTTTAAGGTGATTGAATGAAAAAAAAAGCGTTTGACATTGCAATTCGTATTTCTGAGGGTTAACCTACTCAGAAATTCATTTTTTCTGCATTTGCGACTGTTTTTTTTTTTTGGTTGATTTCTGTTTCAATCCACCATTCCAGCCTAGCCTGCAAATTGCAAAATTATTTCGTTTTACAATAAAAACTAGATTTACATATTAAATTTTGACCCATTTGCAAACGTTATCGAATATCCAACTGTTTCATTCCATCATTCCCCAAGCAAAAGTTGACTTTAGTTTAAATATCATATCTTGAGATCTTCGAAATAGCCGTAATTCGCAAATACCAATCATTTGGAAAGTTTTGGAACTCTTGTCTTAAATATTATTGTAGATAATTGTGTTTTAATTAATATGCTCACTTCTGCAGAGTTGCTCTTCGGCTTTACCGAAGTAAATGCTCGTTACTCGTTACTTTTACTCGTTGCTTTTACTCGTTACTTTTACTCGTTAATCTTACTCGTTTATACCTTTTTGTTGTTTGTTAATTCTCACAACTTCTTGGGCATGTTGTCGTAGCTAATTATCCTTACCTCAATTCACCTAACTTACTCGTTGATCTGCCCTCGCTCTCGGCTGTAGAGTTGCTCTCTCCCTCCCTCTCTCTCTCTCCCATACACACTCTCTCTCTCTGTGTTTTCGTTTAGTCGTTGGCTTACTCGTTATGTTAACTTCCATGTTGAGCTAACATTGAGCTAACAGCGCTGGCTGCCAGCCTAATTTGTAGCTAATTCCTATGATTTTAACATCAACTTGTCTTAGCGATTAATCAAATTTCCCCATGTGTCGCAACCTAAACCCGATCCGAATATCTATCATACACCTCGCTCGCCCTGTCTGTCGACTCGCTCGCTGCGCTTTTGTGTAATTCCCCTAATACTACTAGAAACCAGTACAAAAACTTACTCGAAGCTGTTGGGCTGTGTCTGCTACTAACAGCAACAAAAAATAACAACAACAAGCAACAATAAACAAATAATGTTTTACCAAAATGTTTCGTTTTTAACAACAACAACAACTCGAACAACACACGCACACACACATACACGAAACGCCGCCATGTGCTTCCTCTTTAGGTACACACACGCATACATAACACAAGCCAATGAATTCCATCGTCGTCGCCAACAACAACAACAACAACAACTCAATCTCAGTCTCTACCAACAAACGGATATGTTGAACTCAACACTGGGCGATGACGGGGCCAGCCTCTTGGGCAGCGATACCCACAGCAGCCGCCGGCTCTTGGCTCCGTATGGCGGCATCTCGAGTGCGCGTTCGCTCAGCAATTTGAACTGTGAGGATGCCTCCTCGGCAGGATATGCACGTTACTATGCTGGCTCGGAGTGCAACGTTGATATCAGGTGGTCTCTACAAAAAAACAAAAAACAAAAATACAAAAAAAAAACTCACTCCTCATACATATGTAGCTCATCTAAAACCTAAAAGATCTCTTCTGTTCGGCCTGCCGAAGTTTTTTTTACCCTTGCAGTTGTCATATTCAACAATTTGTCAGAGCTTTAATAGTAAATGATAAAAGTAGTTCCCTATATTAATATTAATATAGAATGTGCTATATATAGAAAGATCCTATATGAAAGTAACAATATATGTTAGGAATCTTGAGGAAACTAGAAACAACATCAGGCAAAAAAGTTCCATCTTCGAATAAAAAAAAACTATTTTTTACTGGTCCGATGCTTTTCAAAAAGAAAACTAATCTACAAGTTGACATAGTGAAAAAAAAAGAAAGCGAGACAGAGAGAGAGAGGGCGAGAGGGAGAGTCAATCAGAAGAACATGACTCGGCTTTTGTTGCTGATCAAGAATTTATATAGTTTATGGAATCGCTTTGATTAAGTTTCACATCTCCTGACAATATTTGAATAGCCACTGCAAGGGCCTGAGAATCACTGTCAAAATTCAAAATTCACTTTCCATATAGGCTCTTCTATCCTAAATATGCTCGCAACATGGTGCCAAGTCTCTTGTAAATCCATATATACACACACAAACACACACATTTACATCTATATACCATCAAGTGCTATACTCTTGCCCTTTCCCAACTTGAGCTTCAATGACTTTCACTTTTCGAAAAAAGAAAAACCTTTTGCTGTTCTTTCGCTGTAAGTTGCGCTGCTCAGACATCAACTATGTAAATATGTCATTACATTGGGCAGCAGCTCTCAAAAATATATGCAAATTTTTACAGCAGCCAAAATAGATCTATCTCAATTTAGAAATATTTTATAAGGAGCTGTGAAGACGTTTTAGGCCCTCAGTTGCTTAACAGAAAGAAGCTGTACTTAAATGCTTACCAAAATGTTATCTAATGCTGTTCATAAAAGCCAGCAATGTTAATGTGACGCTGTTAATGTTAACTTTTATCTGCTGCGGTTGTTTTTATGCTTCAAATAGGCGCATAACTTGTAATGGCTTGATCTAAAGCCTTTTACACGTAATTAACAGCAATCTTTTTATTGTATATAACATAAAAATATTAGTAACAGCGGGTCATTAACAGCTTACAGCTGTTTAACATACTATGTAAGCAGAACAGCGTGAATGCATTTTTTGCTTATATTATTTAATATTATTTATATTAAATGTTGTTCATGCCCTTGTGTTCTATAGTGAGACTCCTTGAACATAACATTTACATGTATATAAATAGAATATATATATCTCTAGAAATCTGGATATATCTCCACTTCAAAGCAATCTCGATAAGTTGCCACATAATAATTTAAAACTACGATCTCTTTTTATGCTTCTGATATAAAACTTGAGTCTCATTAACATTTTATTATTTTGCTCAAATCGTTTGTTATATTAGATTTTTCTCCAATGGAAACGAGCGCCGGAAAATGAGGCTTTTATTAAAAAAGGGTTGCTTTTTTTTAAAGAAAACTTCATTGAACTACGAGTTTTTGTTTATATAAGCAACATGGTATATATGTCATGTGTCCAATAGGAAGATTTGATATGCTATAGAGCTATCACATAGATTAGTTAAAGATGGCACATCTCTAAACTTTAAGCCAACCAACTAAAACAAGATGTTATGCTATTTGAAGAACCTTCAGCTTATTGCTTATAAGCAGACTTTGCTACTAACTCAAGGCTTGCAAGCGCTTATCCCCTTTGCGAGACTAAAACTAATTGAGAATTATAAGGAAGGATAGCTTTTTTATATGTCTGCAAGGGCAGCTAATCTGCGGCTGGTCGAGAACAATCTTTTTCTAGGAATGTTACTATCTAAGATACTGGAGTTGGGTTTATATATGCTTATATATGCGTATTCTCTCAATCTACGACATTTTATCTCTTACATAAGTGAGGTTAATTCCGTTTATGGCTTGTGCTTATCATCAAAGCTTTGGTCCATGCTATTCGGCAATGAGATAAAGATTATTAACTGAAAAACATGCGACTCTGCTTCTAACACCCAAACCCTGAATATATGCTGCCAAATCTTGGCCCGCCTTGTCCATCAATTTATGCATGCATTTGATTTGGATCTATTATCTATTTGATATTATTTTTTTGATCTTGAATTTGATTTTGATTTCGATTTTGCCTGCGTTGAGAACTCGAAACCATTTGCCAGCTCTTGACTAATCTCTTTCTCTTTCTACTCCACACGCTTGCACGAATAGAGCTGCTGCTGCTGTTGGGCTTGGTGCTGTGGCAACAACATTTGCCGGCAATGTGGATGCAACTGCGGCAACAACAACAACAACAACGGCTGTGGCACGCCCACCAAGACGTCGCACACCGTTGCTCTACAATCGGCCACATTTGGTGGCCTCATACTCGATGAGTCTGCTGCTGCGCGTCCGTCCCAAGTACGCGGGACGCGGTCGTCTGCGCAACGATGTGGAGGTGTCGGCGCCACGCATTAAGGATGCCACCAGCAGCTTGCTGCGCGCCTATCCTGGTCCGCTGCAGGGTCGCAAACTGCACAAGGACAAGATCATTAGCTTCTGCAAGGAGCAGATACGCTTGGGTCCGGCACGCGCCTGCACCGTGCTCTATGCCACACAGAAGAAGCCGCTCGGCAGCGTGGACAAGTATCGTGCCTCGCATACGCTCATGTGGCATCTGCTCATCCTGCTGCTGCGACAGAATGGGGTAAGAGAAGCGAACTGTCGAATAGCCAAGTCGCATTCCTAAGTCTTTTTCATTTGCCAAACTCAGGTCATTGCCGATACGGATGTGGGTGATCTGTTGCTGGAGAATCAGCGCGAATATCCCTATGCACCAGACGCTGAGGCAGATGCCGATTCCGCGGATGCACGTGTGCACACTGGCGAGTCCCTGAACGACTCGGATGCGGATGAGGCGGTAACAGCGGGCGGCGCGGCTGCTGCAGAGACTGAACCAGATGCTGATGCAGAAGCGCCCATGTCGGAGCAGGCGGCAACCGATCAGTTTCGCAGCTATGTGCTGCGCGGCAATGTCGAGGAGGCACTGCAATGGGCCACCGATCACAATCTATGGACGCATGCGTTCTTCCTGGCTCTCTACGAGGATCGCTATGCCCTCACAGATGTGGCGCAAAAGTTTCTCAATCGCGCCATCAAAGCGAACGATCCGCTGCAAACGCTCTATCAAATGAAGAGCTGTCATACGCCCGCCTGCGTCAGTCAGTTGCGCGACGAACAGTGGGGCGACTGGCGTTCCCATCTCTCTATATTGGTGACCAACAAGTCACGCCAGCCGGAATACGATCGCAGCTCTGTTGTTGCACTGGGCGATACTCTCTTTCAACGCGGCGACATCTATGCGGCACACTTTTGCTATCTAGTCGCGCAGGAGGAGTTCGGACGCTATGACAGCGCTGCCACGGAGCTGACCACGTTGACTGGCAATGTGCCCAGGTGAGCAGATCAGATTATTAGCATGGCAAGCTCTGCTAATTCAACTGAGTTTCCTTGCCCCGTCTTGAACAGATTGATCCTGCTGGGCGCCTCACACTACAAGCCATTCAATGAGTTTGCCAGCAACGAGGCGATCATCATGACGGAAATCTATGAATATGCGCGTTCGCTGTTCGATCAGAAGTTCAGCATTGTCAACTTCCAGCACTACAAGTTCCTGCTGGCCACACGCATCCTGGACTATGGCCAACACTTCCGCTGCACCAACTATCTGGAGCAGATAGCCAAGCACATTGAGCTCAAGCCGGACAGCTATGATGGTGATTTTATACAGCGCGTATGTTCTGTCCCTATATAAATAGACGTGTGGTTTATATAACAATATATTTCTGTGTATATGTTGACGGATAGGTTTGCTGTCTGGCGGAACGTTTGCGCTATCACGATCCCATACTGATCAATCGCGTATCCTTCGCCAGTCCGCCAACCGCCACAAATGGCGGCCAAGCGGCACCGCAAGGCGCCACCGAGGAAAAGGAATGGCTGCGTCAGCTGCGCACGCTGGCCGATCAGGTGAGTTCAGCTGTTGGAGCTGTTGCGTCTAAACAATTGCTAATGCATTTACGCTCGGCGGCAGCCCCTGCAGGATCAACAGTTGCAACAGCAACAGGAACAACAGCAACAACAGCAGCAGCAGCAACAGCAACAGAGCGACATTGATCAGCAATTTGTGGATTTGAGCAAGCAAATGCGCGAGCTAAACATGCAATATGAGGATACCATGCAGCGCGAGCTGGAGGCGCAGCAGGAGCACCAGCAGCAGCACCAGCAGCAGCAGCTGCAGCAGCATCAGCATCAGCAACAGCAATTGCAACAGCAACAGCCGACGGAATACTATGAGCCGCCGCCGCCACAGCCACAAATACAGGCGAGTCATGAGCAAACGCTGAACAGCCATATCTATGCGGCGCCAACAGACTACGTTGCCAATGCGGCACAGCAACAGCAGCAGCAACAACTGTATGATCCCTCGCAGCAACTGCAGCCGGGCACAGTCTATGGGCACATTGAGCCCGCCAGCGAGGCCTATGGCGCCCAACAACCAGCGACTGGCTACGACTATTGGCCCGGCGGTGCACAACAGCCGTATGGCGATGAGGTAGGTGGTACAAGGGCAACAGCAACTGTTGCAGCTGCAGTCGTTCAGGTCGCGTTTAGTTAAAACTTGCTCAGAGGCCACTCTTTGGTTTTACATTTGTATCTCTTGTGTATTTATTGATTTATATTTGTGTTCGACTTTTGCTATAGTTGTAGTTAAGCATATGATTTATTGTAGTATTATTTTTGTGATCTTTTTGTTATCTTTGTTATGGCTAAAGAGAAGTGACAAATTGCTAAACGCGTTGCATGTAAATTAAGGCAATATGTTGCTAACGTCTAATCTAATCACACACAAACACACGCACACACAAACACACATGGAATGCAGCTGGCGCAAATGGAGAGCAACGAGCTGATTGCTGATGACAGCAACAACATCAGCAACAACAGCAACAACATCAATCTAAACAAGAACAACAATAATGCAATAGCAACATCAGCTGAGGCTGAAGCTGCAGCAGAAGCTGAGCAAACACAGCAGCAGCAGCAACAACAACAACAGCTGCAACAAGAGGAACAATTGCAGCTGCTAGAGCCAAGTGCGCACAGCAGCAACATGGATAACGGCAACAATCGCTTTAAACACAATGCCTTCAAGCTGCCCGCTGCTAGCAATGGCAAGCAAATGCACTACACAGGCCAAGACAAGGACAAAAGCAAACAATTGCCACGAAAATTGCAATTTGCCAACAGCAACAACAGCGACAACAACAGCAGCAACTGCAACAACAACAGCATCGGCAGCAATATAGAGGAATGTATAGCGACAACAACGGCAACCACAACGAAGGCATTTAATTTGAATGATGTAAGTAGCATTATAGCCATAAATAAACATCATAATGCTACCAGCAACAGCGGCAGCAGCTGCAGTAACCACAGCAACAACAGCAGCAACAGCAGCAGCAGAAGCAATTATGCAAAATTAACAGCTATCGCTAGTCGCGTGAATAGTTTTAAAAAGTGCAACAATTTAATCAATGCTGTGCCCAAAACCCTAACCACGCCCACACGCTTCATACCAGCCAAGCCGGTGTTAGCCAAGCCTGCAGCCAGCCTAGCCACAGCAACAACAACAGCAACAGCAACAACAATGGCAACAGCAGCAGCAGCGGCAGCGACAGCAGCAACAGGCGGTGTTAAGCGCGTCAATTTTGACCTGCCCTCGACAATCGATGAGGTGGCAGAGCAGGAAATCGATAACGATAACGATAACGATAACAGCTATATCCTAGCCTTGGCACGACCCGGCCAGAACAAGTACAGCCGCAGCAGCAGCGGAAGCATCTGCAAGCCGCATATTGTATTCAATGGCACCTATCCCATCGATATGCCGCTGGGCGCAACGCCGCCGGCGCCGCTGGCGTCACATCATCGCAGCAGCTATGATGCCGAGGCGAATGCGGATCGCAGCGAAATGCAGCGCTATCGTTATATGATGCATGATTATGTCATCGATGAGGATGCCGAGGGCGAGGAGCTCGCCGAGGAGGATGACTACGATGACGATGACGACGACGATGAAGATGCCTACGATGACGATGCATATGACGAATATGATGATTATGATTATGTGCTGCAGCAGAACAATGATTTTCTCAGCAAATTGGGCATCATCAAGCAGCCGCAGCAGCAGCGGCAGCAGCAGCAGCAACAACAACAACAACAGCCGGCGACAGCGCCGCAAAACGTTTGGTCCATGCAGGAGCTAATCGCCAATCCGGGCATACCGATCAATTATAAGAAAATGTGCACTGAGGTCGAGCAGAGCTTGAGCAAATTTGAAGCTTATTTGGATGCCAAAGGTCAAACAACAACAACAGCAACAACAACAACAACAAACACAACACCGGGCGTGGTGCGAACATATGATATCGATGCACCCACCGATGGCAATGGCAATGGCAATGGCAAAGGCAGCAGCGCCGCCGGCTTGGCTCTTAGCACTAAGAAACAGATTTAGATAATGTCATTAACAGTTCATTTTCCTTACTGATTTCCTTGTGAAAGCACGTGCGCAGCGTTGCCAGACTGTGCAGCAACAGCAGCGACAGCAGCAAATGAGAGTGTTGTAAAACGTGCGGCGCACGTCGCTTGTTTCGATTAGAGCAGTGCGGAGCTGCCTATCTATCTCTATCTCGCTTTTATGTACCTGCAATATACAATTGTAAACTAACTGTAAAATGGCACTCTGTGATTTCGTATGCATAATAATGTGTTGTTTAGGCAATATGCATATATTATATATAGAAAAAAAAAACCAAACAAAACAAAACAAAACAATGCAATGCAAAACAAAACATATATAATGTAAGCTTAAGCTATATATTTAAATGCAATTGAAGAGCGAGCCAGTTGATATTTGATTTAAGATATGTTTTTGACTGCGCCAGTTAAACCAAGAGCTATATTTTCTTTTTATGTATTTGCCAACACTAACAACTATCTATCTATCCAAATAATATATACATGAATATCTCTATATATATATATATATGTATATGTATATACTTTATGTATGTGTGTTTTATGCACTATAACTAATTTCTTTGCTTTTCGTTTGCCAATAACCGAAACTAATCAACTGCCATTTCTCCAAATCCCGCCCCCAACCGACAATTTGAAATTTTCATGTCTGAAAAACCAAAACCACACGCACTTGAATTAAAATACAAAAAAACGAAAACCAAAAACAAAAATCAAACGCAAAAAAAAAAAACAACAACGACAAACATGACCAACAGCAGCAACAAATGCGACCCACCATTTCGATGCCAAAATCAAAGAGTTACGACGACGACGATGGAGCCACTGCAACAGGTGGTGCTGCATCCTCAGCTGGCCATGCAACATCCGGAAGCGCAGCCGCAACGGCGGGCAAGCAGCAACAGCAACAATCCGGCGCCGGCGGTTTGCCCGGGTAAGTTCATCGCGTCCCCGTTCCCAGAACTGGCCATAAATAAACTCTCGCATCATTTTGTTTTCGTTTGGTCAATAGCGCGCCGGGCAATCAGAATGCCGGCTGGTTTGGCGGACTGTGGAACAAGTTTTCGCTGAAGCCGAAAAATCAAATGATATTACCGGATGACAAGAATCCGACAATTGTTTGGGATAAGGAGCGCAAATGCTGGACCAATACCGAGGGCAATGCCGATGAAACAGAATCGTTTAAACCGCCGCCAAAGATGAGCGATATGGGCCTGGGTATGCCAGCAACGGCGGCGCCACCAGCACTCAATACATTGGGCACCGTGCCCACGCCAGTTGCCACGCCCAATCTGTTGCCACAGCAACAAAGTGCGCACGAGCTGCCAAACAATGTCAATAATGTCTACGAGAATCAGCTGGAGTACGATTATACCAGCTATGCGGCACCAGCAGCATCGCCAGCGCCTGGTCTTGGCCCAGCGGGAACAGCAGCAGCAGCAGCAGCGGGTGCAACGCCGCCCGGCGGCGCACAGCCCAAACTTCAATCGAACATGTTCAAAATTAAACGCAATCGCAGTAGGTTTAACCAATGCTAATGCACAGAAGCATATTAATGAACAACATAATCATGCTCAATTGCAGCGCTGAAGAACTCCTATGTTGATGTCTTTAATCCATCGGGCGCGCCCATGAGCTCAGCGCCACAGACTGTGCTGGCGCCCATTATGGCTCCGGTGGCCGTGCCGCAGGGCGGCTTCTTTGTGCCTGGCGCAGTGCCCACACAACAGCAGCAGCAGCAGCAGCAGCCCCAATAGGAGTAGCGAATGTGCGTGCTTGAAACTCGTTTTATATATATATATATATATATATAGATATAGTAATGTATTTTATATTTGCAGCATTTCGAGTAATACGTAAACTTAACATATAACTACGTGGCGCGCACAACGACCGCAACAATCAACAGCAACAGCAACAACACTCAAGCGAGCGGACAACGACAACGACAACTACAACAATCACAATAACAACAACAACAACCAACAACAACAACAAGTGCTACTTTCTATTAATTATTGCATGCTGCTGCTGCAAAACATGTTGGGCAGCTCCTCTGCGTGTGTTTCGTTGTTGTTATTATTTTTCGTTATATATATATATATATATAAATATATATATATATATATTTGTTTTTTTTTTCTATCTCTCTCTGTTCAAACTGTAATTGTAAATGTGCGCGTTTAGCGAAATTGATAACAAATTTATGTACGATTAGTAAAATATATGTATATGTAAATTTTTTCTTCTCCTATATAAACGATCAGCCCCCCCCCCCCCCCCCCCCCCTTGATAAACCAACCCAAAAAAAATATCCATGCGCAACAAACCCAATATGATTAAAGCAACAAGTTTTAAGTTCAATTATGTTTTTTTTTTTTTTTGTCCATGTTGCATCGTTTTTAGTTGTATATTTCATAAAGACAGGCAATAATATTGTTTTTGATTTAAATACATATATATATTATTATTATTATTTAATAATCTTCGATTAGTCTGTGAGAAGAAGGCGCAAACGCATGGAAAGGGCAAAATTGGCAAATTAAATAAACATGGTTTAAACACCAAAAATATATATATATACATATATATTTATAAACATAGTTAATTAAACAAAAAATAAGTTGAAAGCAAAACTATTTTTTTTTTCGTTTCTCAATTGTCCAAGTACTACTTTCTATATCTAATCTGTGTTGATTTTTGTTGTGCACATAAATATTCCAATTAATTTGTAGAGCAAATGTTTCAATGTTTTCTTTGTAATGCATTTGAAAAAAACAAAAACAAAAACAAAAAACAATGTTAATTTTGTTAGAGTTGTGTCAATGTGTTTATTATTATTATTATTTTTTTTACGCGTTAATTTAATTTTTATTTAGCCTAAAAACAAAAACTGGTGCAGGCAAAAAACAATAAACTCTAATATAAAAAATAAAAGAAATATAATAGATACATATATAATTGAGATATATATACATATACATATATATATATATATATATATGTATGTGTATTGTGTACTAGCGCACTTATGTATTATGTACAAAAGCAACTAATTGGTATATCGAAACTGAATTGTTAACTAGAGTTGAGCTAATTGCGTTAAATCTATGGCAGGCATTCAACAAATTCTAGCCCAACAAAAACAAAAACCGAATTGTACACAAATAAAGCATACACAGAGATGATATATGATTATGCCTATACAGATACATATATATGCGGCGTTGATAATGTGCTCTGTAATTGACGTCCCCCCTCCTGCTCCTCCGTGACCACCCCCAACTGCAATGAAACGTTAACGAGAGCGTGGTATAATTCTTATCATTTAATTAGCCCAAAAAAAAAAAAACCGAAATAAATAAATCAATGGTAAACAAATTTAATTGTTGTATTTGCAAAACGCGAGAGACAGTTGAGTTAGCCTAAGATAGTTTCCATATAAACATAGCATCTAACTCTAAGATGCATAAGATCTATCTTAAGTGTATATCTATAAAGTTATATCTATTGTCAGTCGAATTTAAATATCAAATTGATTCGTTTAGCTTGGAATGCCCGACTGGCAGATACCCTGAATGCAAAAGACAAAGTATACAAAATGTGAACTCGATTTCGTGCTAGCTTTTTATCGATTTCATGGTAATAACTCGCCTGCTCTAAAGATCTCTGAGATTCGACGGACGGACAGACGGACTGTACAGAAATATATATATTTTATGGATTCGAAAATGCTTTTGCTTGACTCTTTATACAAGTTTTTACCCATTTAGGATGGGCTCAGGGAATGCCTCATCTTTGGGCTTTGCCTCGAGCAATGCTTTGTCGCTTTTTACTCAATTTTAAAATCGACAATTCAATTTTCTATTAACCTTTATATTCTGTTTGGTTGCAAAGTTATATTATTTTGAATGAACTCTTGTCAGTTCTCTTAAAACTTAACTTGGGGTTGAAGCATGGCAAAGTGTTGCTTTATAATATTATTTTGAATTATTTGCTTAAATGTAATTCGCAGCATTTGCTGGAGAGTTCAATTAGGTTGCGCCTCCTGGTCGCTGCTGGAACTGGAGCAGGAGTTGTCGTCCGCGCCGAAACTGCCAGCCAGCCCATAAATACCGTGCAGCTCGGACTGCTGCGTTGACTTTGCTGCAGCCTTGCTGCGCTTGGCTGCGGGTTTAGCTTCCGGATCCTGCGGCTGCGGGCTGCGCTTGTTGTTGGACTTGGCAGCCTCCACTTCCTCATCTGCAAAGGAGGTTGGATTATAGAAAATGTGATGGTTGTGGTGGACGATGCCGCTTACCGCTGTCGATGAGGTCATAGCCGGCGGGCGGACGCGCCTCGTAGCTTATGTAAATGGCAGGAAACTCAACAATTGTCTTGCCCGCAAGATTGGCGCGCAGTGTCTGATGTGCGGCCAGTCGATAGCAGCGCTGGCCGCTGCGCTGCACACCCTCAGCCCGCAGCCATAGGCTGAGCTGCCCAATGCCGGCTGTCTGATGATGCTGCAACAGTTTGCGCTGCTCGACCGCCTCCGCCTGCAACAGATCGAGGTACTTGCTCAACAGATCGGCCAGTGTACGCTCCTCGTCGCAGTGCTTGTCCACAAGACGTGTCACCGAGCTGGCTGTGGCGTGCACAAACAGCCACTCGATGTGCCAATAGATGCGTCGCTGCTTCCAATTCAAATACGTTGTGTTCTCCTTGTGCCGACTGAAGTTGGGCAGCAGCAGCTGCAGGCGTGTGCCCCGCTCCTGGGCCGCCATGCGCAGCCGATGCTGCGGCAGCGGCAGCTGTCGCTGCTGTTGCGTATAGCGCTTGATCTGATCCCGTTTGCGATCCTCCGTATAGCGTGTGCACTCCTCCAGAAAGCAATAGTCGCTCATGAACTCGCGCTCGGTCATGGCGCTGATGGGCATGAACTTGGTGCGATCCCGTTTGCCATCGCAGTTCAGTTCGCGCTTGTGGATCTGCACGCAGGCCACACAGCAGGTCTTCACCTCGCACTTGGGGCAGGCGTAGCGGGCCGCTTGGCTGGCGCATACCTCGCAATTGCCCAGACGCGAGGGCCTGTATCAGAAAAACATGTTAATAATAAGTTACTAATTATTTTTATTTAATGCACATGCCTGGCAGCTTGACTGTTCGTTTCAGTCATGCTTGTATTATTGTTGTTTCACACACAACACACACACGCACACGCACGCGTACACACACACACACACATACTTATATACATACACATAACAGCAACAGCTGCCTCTAAATTGTCACATTTTTTTTTTTTTTTTTCATTTTCATTTTACTTGGCGCTTTTGTTTTGCCATTCACACACGGACGGACGCAAACGTGCGGCAGTCTCAACGCGGTTTCTCTTTCGGCCACATTCTGTGTACAATTTATACATGTATTTTGTTTGTGATTTAACCGGTGGCATCCTTTGGTGACGTCGGCGCCACAGTCCCAATTGTGGACGCCATTGGGCGCGTGTTTCAGTTAACAGCTGCATTTCGCATATTTCATTGATATTTATGTTAAATTCGCTGTTAATAGCAAAAACTGTAAATATAATAGCGATGCGCGTGTGTGCGCCTGTGTGTGCCTGTGCCTGTGTGTCGTGTACGTGTACGTGTGTGCGTGAGTATGTTTAGTGCGCAGGCTAATCAGCACATGTGTGCCCATTGTGTAAGCATTGCAAGGTTGCCACCTGCCACTTATTTATCGTGCATTTATCGTAATCGCTCGTATCGTATCGATAACAAAAACGCGCGCGCGTTATATAATTACCGTTATCTGTTTGTGTTGCATGTTCAAATTTGATACGCATTTATATAAGCATGGAAATATGTTTGTCATCGTTGCGTGCACGTTTTATGGTAAAAATTGACTATCTTATCACCTGGTGCCCGCACACGCACTTCCTTTATTTATATTATAAATAACTCAATTCAAATTACCTATTAATGTTTACTTTTGTTTTTCTTGTTTCTCTTTTTTTTTTGTTTTGGTTTTCTTTTCGTTTTTTCCACCTTTAGTTCACCACACTGAAAAGCGATCGCTATAAATATTAATATGCGCAAACATCTGCGATCAGTATACAAAATCACCACACGCTGCTTAGATGTGCGTAAGGCGTACAGTTCCAGACGTATGAACGAGATTAAGGTGCGCCTTGCCCCGGGTCCGCCCATGCCCAAGACCCTGAAGCCAACGATCGCCTGCAATGGCTGGCCAAAGAGACGCGACGACGAACGGAGGCCGTCTTTTGCGGATCTGGTATTCTATCCGGACGGACGCCCAGCTATGCCCAACGACCAGGATGCCAACAGTATTGCACGCGAGAATGCAGACTACAATGTGAGTCATCTATAGACATTGACGGTTGCATTGGGTGGCATTTGGGTGTTTCGTCAGAAATGTGAAATATTTGTGTGTGTAATTTCAGGCAGCGATTGAAACGCTGACCAAGCTACAGGGAAACGGAGACAGCATACGAAACTCCATTTCTGACAAGAAGCTGAATTCGTTGGTGCACACGCTCAAGTATCTGGAGCGCAGCGGACTCACATTGGAGGATGTGGAGAAGCTATCAGTGATACATGTGGCGGGCACCAAGGGCAAGGTAAGTACCGATATTTATTTTGATTTTTGCACGCAAATAACTGATAATTAACAAACATAAACAATTAAAAATACACGACAACAAATAATTGCGCTAGATAGAAAAATGCGTAGAACGTGTCGTGTGGTCGCCCAAAACTGGTTTACTTTCAACCCAATTCGTTTTGTTCAAAGAATGTTTGAAGTACCTAAAAACTGGTTTGTTACCAACTCAAAGAAGGTTCAAATGAACGCATATTATTAAAAAGACATTTTTGTAGGCCCCTAATTTAGATTTGTACGAGCTGTGCTTATTATAAGGTCACATTGACTTAAAGGAAGTTGAGCAAAAACTTTTAAATTGAGCACATTCTGAACTTTAAGCATAAAGTGAACTTTTTATCTGTTATATTTCTTTATTTTATCAAAGAATAACTTATAATCAATATTTATATATATCTTTTATGGTTTATTATGCCTATTAATTACAGTATAGATGCACTGAAAGAAAAATTTGCAAGGAAAATCTACTCTCTGAGAAACCTCAATAAATATAGAGGCAAAAGTTAATTCTTTAGGCTTACGAAAAGTTCTTTATTAATATATAGGAAAAATGCTAGGAAATATAAGGTCTATATTACATACATAATTCTTAAAAGCATTGCATTATATAGCTTACCCAAGATCGATATGTATCGATAACAAATCAAAAAAAAAAAAAACACTATAAATACCTGGAGCTTAGTTGGGAGTGGAGCTGACCGACCTACCCTTTGATTAAATCTAAGATATCGAAGATATTACAAAATCTGGTGCTATGTCATTTACAATAAAAAGCATAATTAGCTCAGGCACATTATGGGCTGGGTCGTTTCATATAACTAAAGTTTGTCTTTTTATAGATAACAAAAGATATAGCAAGAGATTGAAACGTAATATTGAATAAGAGGCATAAATTGCTTGAGCTAATAAAGATTTCCACTGTGAAATGAAGCTCCAATCCTTCTAGTCTAGTAATACTTCAATTAACCTTCCTTTTATGCAGTTTGTATATTTATTTAAATAGATTAGAAGCGAGGAACAGCTCGGCTAGTAGCCTGGTACTCGTACCTCTAATCTTCTCCATTTAATAGATATGCATATATATATATATTTACAGTTTCTTCATAAAAGATTAATACCTGGTGCTCGAACCTCTAATCTTACCCATTTAATGCAAACTAAACATATACAAACTATTTCTTTGTATATTAATATGCGATAATGGAATATGAAATGTCTGAAGTTCGAAACTCTGATCTTGCCCCTTTCATATTTATGTTATATATGTATATATATATCTATTACCAGAAGTTCAATACTTACCTTTTGAGTCGAGACTAAAAGAGAACTGAAAATGTTCGAAATTTGAAACTCTAAGACTTCCCGTTTCATATATATACACATATATATATATATATATTATCAGATTCCTTCCTTGAAGAGACTATAAAGTTATCTGAAAATGTCCGAAGCTCGAGCCTCTAATTCTTTACGTTTTATAGATCTTTGGCGCAGTTTGTTTGTTTACATATTTGTTTATTTATATTGGGCGTATCAGCATTTGCCAGTTATGATTGTTTATAGTCGATTTCGCTCAGTGTAGACGCAGCACCTTTGACTCTATCGACTGAATTACTGATAAGTGTGAATTGTATGAAATGTGTGCAAATTGGACTGAGCTTTCCTATCGCTGATTGCGTATTTGTATACATACTCATCTGTATATATATATATATATATATATGTATATGTATATATGTATGTGCCTACTGTTTATATAGGGCTCGACGTGCGCGCTGACCGAATCGATATTGCGACAATATGGGGCACGTACTGGATTCTTCAGTTCGCCGCATCTGGCAACGACCAATGAGCGCATCCGGATCAATGGGGATCCGCTGCCCAAGGATAAGTTCACCAAGTATTTTTGGCTCGTTTACAATCGGATGCTGGTGCAGCGCGAGCATGAGAAGGATATGCCGGCATTCTTTATGTTCCTGACCATTGTCGGCTTTCATGTGTTCATTGCGGAGCGCGTGGATGTGGTCGTGCTCGAGGTGGGCCTCGGCGGCGAGCTGGACTGCACGAACATATTGCGGAATGTGCGCACGGCGGGCATCACATCGCTGGCATTGGAGCATACGGCCCTGTTGGGCAACACGCTGCGCCAGATTGCCTGGCAGAAGGCGGGCATCATAAAGCCGGGCGCCCATGTCTATACGCACGTAACACAGCCGGAATGCTTGCAGGTGATCTATGAGCGCGCCGCCGAGCGCCGCGCCCAGGTCTTTCAGGTGCCCAGCACGGACGCGTATCTACAAAATGCGGACGGCTTGAATGAGTATGTGCGCCTGAATGCCTCGCTGGCCATCCAGTTGACGTACGACTGGCTGCGCCAGACGACGGGTCGACTGCATCGGGATTATCCGATCAATGAGCGGCACATCACCAGCGAGGTGCTGCGCGGCCTGAACGCGGCCAATTGGCCCGGACGCTGCCAGCTGGTCGAGTACGAGAATATGCGCGTCCATTTGGATGGGGCGCACACCGTGGAGAGTATACGGGTCTGCTGCGACTGGTACCAGAAGAGCATCAGGCACAGGTAAGTCCTGGACGCATCGCTTGCAACAATTGTTGATTAATTCATTTTTTTTTTTTGGTTTTCTGCAGTCGCAATCCAAATATTTTGGTATTCAATCGCACGGGGGATTCGGACACAAAGGCCATACTGCATGTGCTGCAGCAGGCGTGCCCCTTTGATATGGTCTGCTTTGTGCCCAATCTGGCGACCGATCAGCCCAACGATCCCAACCAGGCGAACCTCCACTGCAGTCCCGAGGCGCAGCGACAGCGCGCCCAGAGTATTGCCGCCACCTGGCAGCAGCTATGCGATTCCCAGCAGCAGCAGCAGCAGCAGCCGAATCATGGACAAATGTATAATACGGTGTGGGATGCGTTCGTTGCGATCCGTACGCGTTATCCCTATCACATTCAGCTGGATGTGCTGATAACCGGCTCCATACATTTGCTCGGCGCTGTCATAACGGTACTTAACGATTTCCATTTGGAGGCGCCGCCAACGAAAAATGGACACACCTGATGCCCAGTTGGTAACGGGCTCGGTCGATCGCCTGATATGTTATTGGAAACTATATTTATAGTACGCCCCTTCCCCTCCTAAACTAAGACTAGACACTTAATACATGCCCTTATATATATTTTGATATATATATATATATGCATATATATATATATATATGTATATGTGTATATTTTGTAAACATTTAACTGATTCTTTCTAAGCACACTTCACTTCCAAAGTTTACACACGCTGGAAATGCGAGATTCTCGTTTTACCAAGAACAAGGCTTCTATCGTAGGAATTATTGTGTCTAGCCAATGAGTTTCCATGGAAATATGTCTGAAACCTATCTGATTCATTTCGCCAAATAGTACTCCAATTGAGCTATGGTTTCTGAATAGCCTGGCAATTGCTCAGTGTGGCAACCCTGTTAGTAACTGTAACTCTAAGATCTTACCTCGCTTTATATTTAATGATTTAGTCTATATTCCAATTGAGCAATGCTGCCTTAATAGTCGGGCAATTGCGCAATGTGGCAACCCTGTTAGTAACTGTAACTTTTAGACCTAACCCCACTTATTTTTTACATTTAATAGCCTATGCAACGTTCTGTTTATATAGTAAAATAGTAAAAAATCGCTACTAATAACAATTGAAATATTATATTTCAATATTTCACTTGGAGTTTTTCTAGCAGTTTAGGCTCTGACGGATCAACGCAGATCTATTTTTCTTCAACTTAAAAAGCAATTAACGATCAGTTCTTTTTCTGCTCTTTGGGCTGCTCAATTTAAAAATTGCATTCACTGCTGGATTTCAAACTAAGATCAGAGTATGAATCGTGAAGTTAAAACAAGTTCTTGATTTAATAGAAACAATTATCTTCTTACATATAAATCGTAAATGATGCACTACATTTGACTATATAGATGGAATGTGGGTGAGCATAAATCAGAGTTGTTTTCGCTTAACATATCTGTTAAAAACTTTGCCATTCTAATCAGAAAGCTCGCAGCTAAAACTGTGAAACAAATCGTACTAGCGAGGATTTAACAGGTTAATATTAAGTGAACAAAAGCTGTTATGTTTTCTGCAGCCTCCAGGAACTCACCCATAAACGTGGCTAATGCAGCCGTCGGCAAAATCCACGTTCAGGCAGTGCAAAGACGACGTAAAACTAAATTTCTAAACACCGACGGCAACAGCTTTGGCGATGCGGACGTTAATTTCACGGCAGGCAACACTGGCTGAATGCAAGGCTGCCACCTGAGCGCAGGCATCTGGCTGCTGGATGGCTGCGACAGGGATGTTTGGCAATTGATGCACAGGGCTGTTGCTGTCGCCAGAGCCCGTTGGCCAATCAGCGACCGTCGCGGTCCAGTGTGCGAGCGAGCTGGCGCTAGACGTGTGCACAGCCGTTGCGCTGTATTGTAAAAACAAAATGGCTAACGCGTAGCGGAAGTAGGACTTGTCGCTGTGTGCGAGCGGGATGGCAGCACTGATGACTGATTAAATCACAGCTAAATGAGATGTTAACATGTGGGCTGGCTGGCTGGCGGGCTGGCGGGCGGGGGCGTGCGGTCCGGTGGTTGGGCGGCTGCCATTGCCGACTTTTGGGCGCTGCGACTGCCGGCTGTGCACGCTAAACTGTCCCGTTTACAGCAACAAATCGTGTAATTCACTTTTTTCCTAGTCTCTCTGCGCGTGTGTGTGTGTGTGCGTGTGTCTGTGTGTGTGTGTGCTGTGAGAGCCTTGCGCTACGCTAAAAGGATTAATAAACGTTCGCATCTCAGTTGTTCATTTGACTTTGCGCTTAACGGTTCAGCTGCCAGCGTTGCCAGAAATTTAATTAAACTGAATTTTATAGAACTACACAAATATGCAGCATATTCAATAAGTTGGCCCAGCTCCACCTGCCGACGGAAATAACTAAACGCGTTTAACAATATATTCTGTGCTGGTTCTTTTTTTTTGCTGTTGTTTTTTTTTTTCTATGGTCTATGCCAAGTGCTAGGATCTATCCAAGGATCTATCCAAACGCAATGTCAACTGCATTGCTATAAATTTTTGTTAACTATTGAAAATTTGTATTTAGTTTGCGTGTGTTAAAAGTGCATAAACCATTAAAATGCAAAGCTCGAAATCGTTTCTAATACGCGATCTACTGGGTGACCTAATCAATCGTCGACAAACGGATTCCGGTAAGCAGCGATTAATCAATGCAAATCATTTCACATACAGTTTTCCGTTTTCTCTGACAGTAATTGAGTGCTTTCTATAGAGGTCTCTCTTCTTACAGAAGTCTACACTTTATAGAAGAGTTCTTATTATTATTGGATTGATTTAGGCCAATTGTAAATTTGAATTTGTAGGTTAGGTTAACTTTATGGCTTGCTTTTAGGTTATGTTTGTCGACTTCTTATACTTTCCCATATTTAGGACTTAGGAACAGCAACGGGAGTATTCTATTTTCGAGAATCAATGAACAAATGCTTTGTAAAATTGAACACTATTACTTGAACGTTTTTATAGACCTTGAAGATGGCTTTCGATTAGCTCTTGTTGGACTGTTTTATGAATTTTGAAAGATTTTCTATACATGTTTATTTTATTGAAAAGTAAGCATTTTCAAGTAATGGAATTTGAAGAATTTTGGTACTTCTGGAATAAGTATACTCGCAATAGGGTTCGTCTAATTGGTATTCCGATTGGATTTTAAACTTCGAATCGTGCTTTAAAGATTGACCCAGTTCTTGCTTAATAATAAATGTAACTTTTGAGTTCGAGTCCTAATGGTTGAGCGCTTGGATCTTGAATACTCATGAATCACAACACACTCACACACACACACATGCTCAGAGCAATTAGCTACTAAATAGTTGTAATTGTTGAGCTAAACTTTATTTAATGTCATGCATAATTAGAGGACAACCCCAAACACACACACACACACACACACACACACATGCACACTCAAAAAGTATAAGTCATACAAATGAGAGAGCACCTGCGGCTATACGATACCCTGGACTTGAGATACGCAGTGTATATAAGTACTCAGTTGATATAAATGGAATCTATGTAGATATAAAAAGTTCTTAAGAAAATTAAAGAAAAAAAAACTTATATTCTATATGATAAGAATTTTTGGATTCAGCTGCTCTTATAATTTTCGGCAAATTCCAACTCCAACTGCTAATCGCCTCAAGCAGTGTGACCAGCTGCTACTTTAAATGTAGCTGAGTCCAGTGTTAAAAAACGACTACAAATAACCAAATTCGCTTGCTAAGGTAACACAGCAGAGCAGTAAATGCAACTGTTTCAACTGATACTAGCCAGTTTTAGCTAGAAAATGGCTGAAAATGGCAACACAGCTCCCAAGCAGCCAGAAAATAAGCATCTATATGAGTATAGCCAAAATGGATAGCCTTTTTCATAGCATACTTTTTGCGGCTTGCTAGCTACAGGGTATCTATTCGTCTTGATTGTCTTGCCTGTGATTTATTGTTAAGTATTTGCATAGCATTGTTTTGCCTTGTTGTTGTTGTTGCTGTGGTTGTTGTTGTTGTTGCGGTTCATACCGGGGCTAAACAATCAAAGTTGTTGTACGTGACAAATTGCTCGAGCGCGAGTTACGAGCAAAACAACAAGAACAACGATAACAACAGCAAAAATTAAATTATTGCCTCAAGCAGTTCTGCCTTCTGACTGAATGCACACACCCCCTACCCACCCCCCCTCTCCGCCTTCCTAGACTCCTCATTCGCCCTCTCAATTTGTTGCTAAAAGTTTTGTTGTCGTTTCTAATTGAGGCGAGGTGTGAGATTTAAATGCCCGCGGCCAGTTGTCAGCGGCTTGTCACACACTCACACACACACACACACACACACACACACGCACACATCAAAAGTGTCGGTGGGTGGTTGGTGCATGTAAAGTGCCGGCTAATTGGCCGCTGCGCAGCAAAAGTAATGCGAGACAATTAAGAAATAAAAGTTCAGTTAAAACGAGCTCAATTTGAGGTTATGTCGAGTGCTTTTTGATCAGCTCTTCCTCTTCTCGCTGCATACTTTGCGGCGCCTAATCAAAAATTACGAAAAGTAATTGAGGTTAGTTTTGAAGGCAAGTGTCTGGCATTTAGAACTGGAGCCGATCACATTGCTTGCTATAAGCTTAACTTATCTATTCCAAGCCGAGCTTGGACTTTAAATCTGAACTTATCCCTTGGAGATCTTAACTTTAGCCAACCCCTTTATATTCAACTTAGTATAAGCCTCTGAATCCTAACTTATCCCCCCTAAAATGTTTTTAACAGTCTGCTTTTAAAAGTTAACTTATCCCCTTTAATAGAATGTATTCCTTTATGACTTCTTCTTCCTTCTTCTTTATCTTTTTCTCTTTTTACTAATCGCATTATATTGTACATTTGTCCATTTAAAATCTTACTTATTCCCCAAAACATACCATCTTCTTGGTTCATAAGCACTCATCACAGGATGATTAAATGGAATCAAGCCTAACCTAACCTTACTTTTTTGAGGCTCGCTTTTGCATCTAGTATCATAATGGAACTTCTTTCGGTAACAGTTAGTACCAGAGACTGAGGTAATCGAGTGGGATCAAGACAACAGGTTGTTTAATTAAGAAGAAGATCCTTACCTAACCTCAACAATCCGTGTAAAAGCCGAAAATCACCTTAAGCTGGAATAAATCATATGAAATTGAGCCCAACTACCTTTTTTAATACCAAATAACAAGTAGAGATGTCTATAAATACCGTGAATACTGTATCAATTGCTTTAACCTAACCTAACATATTTTGAGGTTAATGCGCAAGAACCTTACCTAACCTCAACATTCAATGTGAAATGCAAAATGTTTTTCTAGCTTATCCAATTGAGACCAACTAATGAGCTTGCCTTCGTGTTTGTTGCGTATCAAATAAAAAATTGAGCTTTGAACACGCTGTCGATTGATTTAACCCAACCTAACCTAACATATTTTGAGGTTAGCTTTTTGATGTACCTGAAAACTGAACTAACCAACTGCAGAATAGATAAAATATCAACATATTCAGCTGAAAGCCAGCTATGGCTAACACTTATGGGTTATTTATAAGTTTGTCTTAGCCTGAAATAATCATTGTGGGTCGAAAGTTAACTGTAAATTGCCGACACATGCGAGGTTTTTTTCTTTATCCTTTTCTTTTTTTTTTAACTATTCATATCTCACAGTTCAAGTGCCTATTAAATGGCAATTGTGCCGCAAATTGATACGACGTGACTTTTCAGCAAAAAATAAAAGAACTCACTTGAGACTCCCCACGGGCGAGTGTGTCCACACACACACACACACACACACACACACACACGCACACACACACAAACGTGCATAATTGAATCATCATTCACATGTCGCCGTCTCCTTCAGCTGCTGCTTCTTCTACTCCTTCATAAATAGAAGTCAAACCCATTTGGGGTTAAAATACAAAAATAATTTCCGCAGGAAAAATATGATATATATATATATATATATATATATATATAAAGCAGATTCCATGCTGGGCGCAGACACACGTGAGCGCCTGTGGGCTGCTCCTCTCGTCCTTTTTCCTTTTTTGGCTTGGTGGTTGTTTTTTTTTCTTTTTTTTTTCTGTTGCTTCTTTTGCCAAATGCCTTTAAATTCCAATAGGAAAGAAGGCATTGAGCGCGCACTTCTCGAGCGGACACGTGAATTTAATCAGGCAGCCCCGTAGCGCGTCCAGGATATATGTGCATAAGGATATGCGCGTCGGATATAAATAACATATTGATTGCACAACGAGCACAAAAGCCAAATCGCCCGAATCCGTATTCGCGTACTCAACATGTGTTCGCCGCCTCCCGCTCCAGTTTGTCTTCGTTAATGGACGCGAACCGACGCCCACTTAATGCACGCACCATCCATCCCTGACCTTGTGCTCCGGCTGCTTGGGCGTTGTCTTTGCGGCCCGTGGTCGCCGCTGGATGGTAATGAGTCCGTAGGTTGCCCCAGTGCCTGGCCAAAGTGCCTGCACGCGCGCATCTCTCGCGGCCTCTCAGCGTAGGACGCATTAACGACACGCTGCGTTCAAAGCATGCCATATTCTATTTTAAGGCTTCTTGCACTCGTTCGCAGTTCTAAGCTCATGCTCGTTATCCTGCAAGCTCTCGTTGGCATACTGTGCTTCGTATTACGCCTTATCTTACTCGCTTTCGCTTTCGTACTCGTCGTTTTCTTTCTTCTCAACTCTCAATCGTCAGAAATGGCATGCTGTTCTTGAAAGCACGTTTGATTTGGCTTTTAAGAGTTCTCGTTTACGCTCTCGTTGCTTTTTTCTTACTCGTTATTCTGCAAACACTCGTTGATTAACTCATCATAAAGAGCGAGTTGCCTTAGCTTGTATTAAGCTCACTCGATATTGTACTCGTTGCATTTTTTTCATACCCGTTACATTTACAACTCTCGTTGGCTAGCTTTATAAGAGTCTTGGCTTACTTGCTCCCATTCTCTTTTGTTTTCTCTTTCAGTCTCGCTATCTTCCCAACTCACGGTCGTCAGAAATGGCATGCTGTTCGTTAAAGCCCGCTTCATTTTATGTCTCGCCTACGTTCTCGTTTCTATTTTCAAACTCTTGTTGGTTAGCTCTAAGTGGGAGTTGCGGTAGTCTGCCTAAAATCAAAGCTTGTTTTTTTATACTCGTTACCTTTCCAACTATCATTGGCTGGAAATGGCATCACTCGCTTCTATTCGTATTCAAACTCGTTAGCTTTCTAGTTAAAGCAGCTTAACGTTTTCTAATTAATATATCAAAATCAATCGCTGCTTTTTCTGTTCCCATTATGTCATCTCCTTAACAGTCGCATGTTTATTCCTAACGAGAGCGTCGCTCAGCGAGAGACTCGACTTACTCGCTCTCGTTAACGTATGCGAACTATTAACGAGAGCGTCGTTGAGCGAGTGACCCGATCTACCTTTACGAATGCTTGTTCTTATTATCTTACTCGCTCTCGTTGAAATATTTGAACGAGAGCCGAGCCTTGGGCAGGCTTTTGAAGTTTCTGAAAAATATTGAAATAATAAGCATCTTATTCGTTATGTTTGTCGAAGCAGAAATCGAATTGTCCAACGATGACTCGGACATAGACATTGAGGATCGCTCGACGCCCGATTCGACAGCGAATGGCTGCCAGCAGGAACTGCTGCTGTCGCACCACTACAACCACAACGAGGAGTCCAGCGTGGAGTCCTGCGGCACAACCACGCCCGGTCCGGGAGCCGGCCTGAGCGCTGCTGCCGCTGCTGCGGGCATGGCCGCGGGCCTGCTGGCCGCAGCTGCTGCCGGAGGCGCTGCCAGCGGCGGCAGTGGAGGCGGCGGCGGCGACAATGGTGGCGGCAATTTGGGCAGCGGCAGCTATGCGGAGCACAAGCTGCAGTTGAGCAAGAGCGGACGCAAGCCGCGACGACGACGCACAGCGTTCACGCACGCGCAGCTGGCGTATCTGGAGCGCAAGTTCCGCTGCCAAAAGTATCTGAGCGTGGCGGATCGCAGCGATGTGGCCGAGACGCTCAGTCTATCGGAGACGCAGGTCAAGACCTGGTACCAGAATCGACGGTGAGTAAAGCCACTTGGCCAGGTCCACGTCGCCCCAGCTTTAATGCCCGTCTTCCTCGCTTGCAGCACCAAGTGGAAGCGACAGAATCAGCTGCGCCTGGAGCAGCTGCGGCACCAGGCCACGCTCGAGAAGGACTTTGTCGTGCAGGAGAATGCCGCCGGCGGCGCTCTCGGCTGCTGCCCCAGCGGCCTGTCCAATTCGTTCAGTGCCGCCGCCGCCGCGGCTGCCGCTGCGGCTGGCAATCCGTGCAACTTCTTGACCTCGGCCGCGGCGGCGGCCATTTTCCGCAACGTTGGCTACGTCCATGGCTGCCCCATGTAAAGGTCACAACGCCAGCAGGGCTTCACTCCGCCAATCCAATTCCACGCTTGCCTATGTAAATACGATGAATGCTTTATGTGCAATACGAAACTCTTTTCCAGCTCGATCTCTAACCGATGCGCGTAATCGAACTATCGATTAATCGGTAGCTGTCTGTCTACACACCTCCCACCTCTAAGCTCCTGATCGAACGCCTGCTCCAATTATAAACCTTAGGCTTAGGCGAATTAACTGTAACCGACACGCACACACACACACACACACACACACACACAAAACAAATTGTACTCATATGTAACAGAAAATAACAACAATTGTGAACTTTGTGCACTCGAAAAACGATAACTTTTTTTTTTGTGAAAATAAACATTGAATTGCATATTTGATAAAGTTCGTTATGGAAAACTGAAGAGTATTATTAAGGCTTTTCATTGTTTAAGGGCTTAGTTTAAGGTGCGTATTTGTGCTAATTAACAGGTAAACTAAGTTCAAAAGGATTTCGATAGGTTCCTTTCAAATGTTTTAATACAAATCAAACATTTTTGAGCCTACTTTTAGGTTATTCATGAAGGTTTTTGGAATAGATTTGGGCTTTTTTTAAACTATGTATGTGGCTATATTTCGATATGTTGTAAGAACTAGGATACTAAATGATGTACATATGTGAATGTTGGATGGTTAATGGAAGATAACTTCAAGATAACTTAAGGGATATTATGGAATAACTTAAGGGCTTCGTTCGAAATGAGATTTCTGCAGCACTCTACAGATAAAGATCCTGATATTTAGCCGACAAAAAGACTTAAGAAATGCTATAGATTACTTTTGATATGACCCTGTTATCTGTTTTTCATTCAATTTATAAAAAAGTTTTGAGCTATCTTCTAAGAAACAATTGGTTCTAGTCGATTTTTGATGGTATATTTCAGCAGCAATACAGATTTCTTTTATTTGTTCAGCGTCTCCAATAAGAATCCAATTGGACAACATGCCGTTTATATACATATTTAGCTTGGGATTTGAAACGGCAACGTAGACAGTTCATTTAACAGCTCATCAATCCAATTGGGTTTAAAGTCTTGTAAAGAAAATATCAATAATTGACTAGCGTCAGGTAGACATGTACCGTTATTCAGCAGAACATTGGCAATCTCGTTGCAGTTGCAAGTAAACGTTGCTGCTGCATGCTTAAAAATCAACTTGAGCGAATGATACAAAACGATATCAATTTGTCGCTATATAGTAGTAAATGGTAAATGGTATGCTATGTGCATGCACAAATACATGCATATAGGTTGTTATATAAATGTGAGGTTGGGTTGAATGGGCATGGCATGGCAGCCAACCGGAAAACAAGCAACAGCACTGCACGCAATTAAAACGGGCCACAAGCCTGCAACGACAGCCAGCATATGGCCAAGCGCATGGGCGAGGGCGAGACAGCAATAGTAACAGCAGCAATAGCAGCGGCTGGGTAGAGCAGCGAGCAGCGGGCAGCGAGAGTGGGCGCAGCAGCGACGCAGCGTCGCAGTCAACTTTTGTGGTTAGATTTTCATGCACATTTAGCTCGCGATGATGGGGGCCAAAACACAAAAAGGACGAGAAATGTTTAGCCACAAATTGAATCTGCGGCGAGTCAGTTAACAAGCAGCAGCTGCTCCATTGAGTGGGAGAGAGATGCACTGCACATAGGCGACTGTACAGCGAATATAGTGTGTAGGAGTGGGGAAGGGGGAGTGGGTAGTCATAGTTCGAGTGGCCGCAACGGAAGCAGCGCAGCGGCAGCAGCACAGAACGCTAATTAAAAAGACACTTGAGCTGCATGCGACGGCGACGGCGACGGCGACGGCGACGGCGACGGCGACGGCGACGCTAACGGCTGCAAAGCAAGTTAGAAATAAAATAAAGGAGAGGAAAAAAGCCACGTTAACTTTACCGTTGGAGCGCCACAGCATTACAGTTATCCATGAAATTGTCTATGAAATGTGAATGTAATTTAATGAATAAAATGCAGGCAGACTTCAGACCGGTGTCGCCCCCCCCCCCCCCCCCCCCCCTTCTCCCCTCATTCGCGCAGCATTCATACAGTTTGTTTGGCTTGATGAATTTATTTTTGTTTGCGGTTCATTTGCGCAGCCATTGAAATTTCAATTGCATTTTTTAATTGGTACATTTTACGTCTGCCATCCTTTGAGTGCAAAAGGAACTGGCAACTGTTTTCAGTGCCGTTTGTGCGCGCTTCCACTTTGATTTGTATTTATTTAATGAGTTATTAATTGCATTAAGCTTTCAATATTCGCAATTAAATGCAAAAGCAATACACACACACACACACACACACACACACACACACACAAAGCAATTCTCAAAGGGCCATAACGGTAATAAAGATGGTCAAAGTCAAAGAATCGCAGACTGAGAAGAAGTGGCGGCCATTCAATTGGTGCAACTTTTGCTTAAAGCCCATCCTTCACGCTGATAGATCACTGTAGCACAAAGGCTGAGTGGCACGGCACTTGTGCTGTGCCTGTCAATCAAGCTGATTGATATGACACGCCAGGCCTCTGATTTATTTACTTTTAAATGTATTTTAGACGATATCTATATTAGAAATCCGATCGGTTTCTAACCAAAAATTGATATATTGATGGCATAACAATATTATTTGAAAAATAATAACAATAATAAATAACCTAAGACCATAAATTAACGCTTGTCAGATGCTTCATAATATGATTGGCTTAAATGGCTTAGGAAGAGCAGCAAAAAATTAGCTTCAAATAAAAATCATGTATTTATATTAAAAATATAGAAGTTATCAGATAAATAACAACGAATTTTTATGCGAGATAAAAGGAGGGAAAAACATAAATAATAATAATACAAAAAAATGTGAAACGTTTTAACAAAGTTAAAGCTATACAATAAGTCAACAACTTCAGTTGTTTATTGAAGAACTTTTCTAACCTCGAAGAGTTTTTGCAGATTAACGACAAAGCAGTTTAACGGTAAATGCAACGCACACACACACATACACACATAGAGAACAATTAGCGTTTCACAACGCGGGTGACATCAACAATGAACAACAACAACAACCACCACCGAGACAAGTGTCAACACGCCCCGCAGCACAAACACAATTCGCAACATTTTTCCAAACGGATAATGACAAACATTTTAATCACAAAATGAAACTGAAACCGAAACCGAAACCCACCACCGAACCGCAAAAGGAGTGCACTTCAGGCCCGAGCGAGACAACAACAGAGGCGCACAGCAACAGCACACACACACACACGCACGCACGAATACGCACACACACAAACATACTCACCACTCGATGCTGGCCTTTACGGTTAAAAGTCTCAGTCGCAAGTCAAGTGCGTTGGCTCTTTGCTGTTGTTGTTGCTGTGCTTCTTCTTCCCCTTCTTCTCTGATATGACATAATCTGTCGCATTTTGTCTGCCGCACAAAGGCCACAAATGAGCTTAACAAACGGTATTTATGAAGCGCAGGAACTTTACACATATTTTTTTTTTTTTTTTTTTTTTTTGTTTTTTGTTTGTATGTATGTATGTATGTATGTATATATACAAAATAAGTATAAACTGAATGCATATAATGGCATATTATTTGATAATTATCAAATAGAAAATTTGGTATTTGTTGAGAACCATAGATGAAATAGTCCGAAGGATTGATTGCCTTATAGACATTTGCCTTTGGCTTTTCCAGATATGTGTTGGCTATTATATTAACTTGTAGAAAACATTGCTTAACAATTCTTTTAAAAACACTAAAAAAAAACGATTCGAATACTTCGAATAGGGGCCCGATTATTTGCCAGCAGAAAGTTGAATTTCCAAATTTACCCAAATGTCGTATGATTGCATAAATTTAATATTGGAAACCAAAGAAGCTTTGTCGCTGAGTCTTCTGAGTTCTACTCAAAGTAATGAAATATACATCTATAAATGCATAAAATATGATTTGATTTTCAAATCGAAGAAAATGCGAGAGAGTATTAAGTGCGAACCTCTTTGGCGTTAGGTTGCAACGATCTGTCGAGCCTGAAGTCGAGCTGCGAACGCGAACTTGTTCGATGTTGGCTTCAGACCCGATTCGCATAGCCGGCCAGTTGTTCGTCGGGCATTGCAGGGATCGCAGCTTGATTGTGCTTTGGGGCAGGGTATCGGATAACAGTTAAATGATGGAACCGTAAGTTGGATTTGCATATTGAACATGTATTCTTGGAATTGAACATGAAATTGATTGCTTTCAAAGCGAGTCGTTGGCTTAATACTGCGTGTAGGCATAGGGGGGCATAGATCAGTCGTCCAGATCCGAGTAGGTATCGATGGGCGCCTGCCACATCTTCGGCTGCTCCTCCTCTTCGACAAGCTCCGGTATTTCCAGCTTGATGCGATTCAATATGCTCACCATAGCGCTGACCTGAGAGCCAATCTGTTCAGCAGAGAAAACGATATCGTATCAAATGCATATAATATTACAGTTATGGATAATAATGCTATCAAATTGGATGGCCAACCTGTCCGAGCCAGCGACAGTTCATGTGGATCTGATAGAGTATGGTTGTGGCCCAGTTGAGCATGGACTCGAGATCGTTGCGCCGCATTTGAAAGAAATGATCCGGATAGCCGGCCAGCTTGAGGTCGTCGTTGTTGGTGAGCATCACCAGCTCCATGATGCGATTCATTGTCTCCAGCAGCAGACCCAGCTCGCTTAGCTGGCTGTTGCCCATTTCGGCCAGACTGAAGCGGGCCACCGGACCGAGGGCCTGGGCCAGCTCCTTGAACTCGCGATACCGATGCATTGTTATGTCCAGATTCAAGATTTGGCCAATTATCGACCAGAGCATGCAGACGCCAATGGGCAGGCCGCGTGCATTGGCACGCACCAGCCCGAGCGCCAAATGGAGCAGTATTGTGTCCTGGTCCACATCCACCTTGTGCAGCTCGCCCAGCAGATACTCGACATGACCGTGAACCTGTTGATGTTGTTGTTGATGCCACCGATTATCATGTGCAGCCCAGCCCCAATGGGCATGCTAAGACCTACGCTCATCGGATCCTTGGTATCCATCAGGCCCAGCACACGGAACAGCAGGCTGCGCATATTCTTCTGCGGCTCCAGCGGACCGTGGATGAGGAAGAGCATACAGACGGCCACCAGCAGGGGACGCTGCATATCCTCATCCCAGTTGCGCGCCAATTTGCGCACCGTCTCGAATCCATTTATGATCTATTCCAGAAATTGTCGGGATTAGCGATTAAAGCGTATTGGCCGGGCAATGCTGCTGCCGTTGGCTAACCTGATCCAGGTCGTTGGTCATGTGGATGATGAGGCACTTGTGGGCCAGGGGACTGCACTCGACCCAGGCCCGCAGCTGGTCCAGCGAGCAGAACTGACTGCAATTCGCATAGCTCATCTTGTACGATCTCCAAAATGAAAGCTTCTCGATTCACTCGAGGATCGAATCCGCCTATTCCGCTTGTTATCCTTTGAACCGGACTCTCTTTTCCTGAAACGATATGCAAGCCACAACAAACCAGTTACAGGCATTTATGTGTGTTAGAGATGGGCGCGATTCGATATTTATCGCAGGCTGCAACGTTTCGTTTCCATTCGTTTCCATTGAATCGCATCGAATTGTTGCCGTGAAACGTCTTAAAAGCTGATCTCAAATTGAGAAACTTGGCAAAGATTCCATTTGAAATTACATGTGTTTCTCAGAGTCTCCTGGATCTAGTCATTATTTATGGTAGATGCATACTTTATCCAAGACTTAATTTCATGATGTTTCCAAGCAAATCGAGCCTTATCTCAGCTATATCTTAAGGCTTCTAAAGAAACAATTGGCTGGGAAAATGACTTTACTTTAGGAAGACTCCATTCTCATTTAAGATACACCCTGAAAAAAGGAGAAACTATTTGGTTTCCCCTTTTCGCTTGTAAAATATGATATTCAAGGTGCCGGAGCTCTCTAAAAATTGTATCTGATGCAAATTTGCTTCAGTAAAATATATTTTATATTCAAAAATGTTAACTATATAAGAGTTTAGAGCAGAACGGAAAATCCGGGATAGCAGAAATGAGCAAAAGTTTTCAAAGTTTTTCCTGTTCTACTAAGATCTGAGCAAACTTTACCAGCCTTTACCCTACACCAACCCTAACCCGCCCTTTACACCGTATAAAAATAATTTCGAAAAGGTTAAACAAGAGCTCAAGACCATTGAAGAATTAAACAAATGATTTCTTGAAGGCGTAAATAAGTATTCTCGGAGTGAAATTCTCATTTCAAATGCTTAAAAAGATCCTTAATTATTTTGAAATACGCATATTCAAATATCTGGCAACCTTCGCCTAGATATGGAACTTGCTTCATTTTCGATATGTTATCGATAAATATGAAATATCGTCAGCCCGATCTTTGCAGCTTGAAGCGATTGTCTTACAGATTTGTCACTTCAAAATGAAGTTTTGAATGACAGAGTCGACGAGACATAAACAAAGCAAAATGTGCTTTTGTTATGAAATGTTCGTCTATGTTTATGGCAAGTGTAAATCAATATGTAGATGGCAACAAAATTTGTTTATGCCACAAAAACGTAGAAGGCGGCGCGCGGGCCAAAGTGCACAGCTTGTCAGCTAATTGCCAATTTAAGAAATTTCAAATGAATTCAAATTGAACTTGACAGTTTTTTGTATTTTGTTTTTTTTTTCGGCCAGTTGCTGGCCAAATGCTATCCTGCGGTTCGCCTCGGCCTGCCTTTCTGTCTGTCCTTGCCGCAGCTGTATTATTTACAACTTCGTTAGCAAAAGCAAAAATCGCCTGCGGCATTGACAAAAAAAACCGTCGAAACAGTGGCAAACCCAACAAATTAACGCATAATGATATGAAAATCTGTTGGCTTTTGTGCCCAGACCTACGCATATATATATATATATATATATATATAAACCCACCCCTCCTTAACCCCGCACTGAAAGTGGCGAGTGTATGTCAACAATTTGTCCTAAATTAGGCGTAAAATTTACAGATTGCTCGGCTAAACAATAACAACGACCCACCCCATGCAAAACATGTGGGCGTGTCCCGTGCCGGGCGTGCTCGACTAGGCAATACCCTTAAATAACTTGGCTCGAAAACAGAATACAGAAAACCGAATACAGAACCAAAGCGCAAGGTTCTATCTTTAGAATTGCAATTATTTACGAGGTATTCAATAAGTGAAATACTGAAAAAAAAACCTAAATAACTATAAATTTCAGTTAATGCTCGATCTTATACAAATCGAAGTAGATATCGCGAGATATCCTTCTACATGTTACATAAGCATGCTCGAAATGATGATACCCCTTTTGGGCATTTCCTATGAGTACAGGGTATCAAAAAAAGCTAGCTAATAAAAGGGTAGTTGCTACTTATCATTCTCATCAGCATCAGCATCATATCGTCGTTATGATTGTCATTTCCCTTACCGCTCTTCTTCTTCTTTATACTTTCGGGCCACACTTGACACTCTTCAATTGCACTGGCTGTACCAGGCGGCGGGTGGAAGGGGGGGGGGGGGGGGGGGTTGAACCCCTCCGCTAATTTGAGGCTTTTATATGCCAACTAATTGAAGTGAAAATACAGTTGGCATTGATTGCGACTTTGTGGTCCTGTGCAAGGGCGTGCTCTCTAATGCCGGACTTATGCGAAGCTCTGAGATTGCGATCGGTTGCCTTCTGTTAACTGCCTAAGCTGATTTGCATAATTGGCTCTGCTTTCAGGCTAAACGTGAGAGACATACGCATAATGCAGCCCTGCAGCCCGAATTCAACCCTGTGCACCTTGCACTCTCTTGAATATATCATCATTCGAGATAAAATCAATCTAGATAGCCTGATTTAGTTTTTACTGAGCTGGGGTAGCTAGAAATATGCTTAGAGCACTTTGGCAACAAGTCAAAAGTGGACAGAATTTCGACAGATAAATAGCGCTCTTCAGTAATTGTTTGTTTTTGAATGTTTTTAATGTTTTTAAGGTTAGTTTTTTGTCTAAGTTTTGAGTACAAATTTGATACTTCTTGTAGGATTTCCTTCCAAAAACTGCCAAAAGCTGTAAAGAGCAAATATTAAAAGACATTTAAGCGCGATTTGAATGTGTTTTGAATTCAATTTGAGGTTAGGTTAGATGCTAGCACTTACACACACATACATACATGCATACATTTGTATGTGCATGTGCACCTATTTATGCATTTAATACAAGAAGTTTGTGCGTTCCTTGGCCCCTTGGCTGCCTTTGTAGAATATGCATAATTAAAATATAAAATGCACAATACGGTGTTGGCCGTTGCTTTCGTCTTTGGGCAAAAGTTGTTAATCTTTTCATGCAGCTGCATAATTAAAATCTGAATATGGAAATTCTATGAAAAAAGTGCGCCTCCTGCTCGCACGCAAATGGGCCAAATGGCAAATAACAAAAAAAGGAACAAGCAAAAAGGCAAGAAAAAAAAAATGGACACACACACACACATACATATATAGATATTTGCAGACAGCAACTTAACAGTTGCCGCTGCTCGTTAACAGTCAGCTTTTGGCCTCCCCCGCGCTGCTGCTGCTGCTGCTGCTGTTGTCTCTTTCCCACTCTCGCACATTTGCGCTTTTAGCTGTCGCTGCGCTGTGCGGATGTGTATGTGTGTGTGCTTGTTTGTGTGGAAGGCAAGTAATTGCAAAATATGAATGCATAATGAGCAGATATTTCCAAGTGTGCAAAGAAACTTCAAGCAGCAACATGGGGGCGGCAACTTTCATGCTAAAATGTGCGAGTCGCGCGTGCACTTGCATTTTGCCAGTCACTTGCAAGGACACACATACACATGCACACCCGTGTGTATGCATGTACGTGCAAGCATGCAAATGTGCAGCTGGTTGCATGTATGCACAAATGTTCATACATATGTATGTGTGTGTGTGCTGCTGCTCTTGTCACCCGGCCCCAAGATACTTAGCAAATCTTCGCCAAGTATCACTAGCACACATTTCACAAACAAACATGGCGGCCACTGAGCGCTTGCGAAAATGGTGCACTGCTCATTAAAACTGCTGCACCATTCGAATTGTAAACAGTGTTAAGTTGGCTGCACAAGCTGCCCATTAACAGCGGCCAACCCAATGTTGAGCAACACCTATTAAGTGCATACGCACACACACATATGTACACATATATATATGAATATACAGTACGCATGCATAGACATTCCCAGAAAAAGTTTCGCCATCAAAACTAATAACAACAAATTGAAACCTTTTTAATGCCTTCTACAAAATAAAATTTCGTAATTTCTCTGCTCGCTTATCCGAAAATTGCTGCTAACTAAATGTCAAGCATATTTTGAATTTTATATATTGCTTTTTCTTGAAAAAAATTGTTACAAAAATAAAATGATTAAAAAAGCAATTTGAATTTTCGATTTTCCCTCATATATTCTTCTTTCTACGTAAGAGCTCAATTCGAATAGAGAGATTTGATCTCCGATAAATGACTTAACTTGCCAACGTTGCCACATTGTGAAAAGAGAATGATATGGCAGCACAGATTTAGGGGAAAATGTCGATTTAATTTGTATGAATTTACAGGCACCTGGCCATACGCCCGCAGGGCTTCGATATTGAGCAACTGCGTCAGATTGTGTCCCAATCATGCCTGAAGGAAAAAACCCAATTTATCCACACCAGCGACAATGTGCTAGAGGTGAGTGCGGGAGTCCAGGATATGCCAGCATGAATGTTATTTTATGTGAGTCTATCATTTTGTTGGCCAGCTAATTGAGGCCTTTGGCCAGCTGATGTCGCGGGAGGAGATCGAATTCGGCGCCGAGCCGCTGGCCGCACTGCACGTGGCCGGCATGATGCTCTACATGCTGCATCACAACGATCTGAGCAGCACCCAGGTGCAGCGCACCTTGTTCATGCAGCGCTGCTTCGACTACATGGCCTGCACCGAGGAGACGCATGTAGGTGGACCGCGCCGGCGGACGAGCAGTTCAAGCTATATACATACATACATGAATATCCTTCTCTATGGCAGGTGCATGAGCTGTGCACCCAGATCCTGTCGCTGCTGGATATCAACGAGTCGGACAATATGCTCAATATGATCACCTGCTGCCGCAATGCCAGCCCGTTGGGCACCATGGCCCAGATCGTGAGCACCTGCCTCCTCTGGGCTATGCTCGACAAGCTGACCGATCTGGGCTTCGATACATATCGGCTGCGCGCCTATCCCGAACTGATGATGGCCATTGCCATGGTCAATCCGCTGGTCTATTTGCAAAACTATCTACACTCCCTGAATCTGATTGTGCGCGTGATTGCCGCTCTGCTCGTTGCCGGACCCTATGGCTCCACGGAGAAGCTGCGCAACGAGGTGGGCGTGCCGCAGGATATGCTCGAGTTTCCCAATGCCGATGCTGCCGTGCTCTTTCGCTGGCTCAACACCATTGTCGAGGAGCTGCGCGATGAGCTGCAGCTGCGCGACGGTCATGTGCAGGAGCGCATGATTGTCCTGGAGACATCCTGTGAGCTCATGAAGCTGGTCCATGTGCATCTCGCCGAGTTCTATCAGCGCCTCTACAGCATTGCTGACTTTGAGGATGATGGCTTTGTGTCGGATCATCAGTGCGACAACGATGAGGATTTCGAATGGTTGTTATAATTTTCCACAAAAATTGAGGTTATGTGCACGCCCTTGCAATAAATGAGCATTAATATAATTAATTACCTGCAGTTTGGCTACACCTGGCCACAATTGTCAAAATAACACTTGAAAATAATTATTTTAAATTTGATTTTTTATATTCTTTCAACTGTACACTTGCGCTCTTTCGGAAAACTTCTTGCACAGTGCTCGAAACGCAAATGTGCCAGAAGAGTTGCCCAATTATCAAGAATTGCATATTTTACAATACTAGAAATACTAAAAAAAAAGTTATGCAAAAAGCAACAAAACTTTTGAATAGTTCGCTTCATTTATTACAAAATTTGGCTACAAAAGTGAAAAACAAGCATGAAATTATTTAAGGGGCACAGCAAAAGTCATATTTCTTAAAAGAAATACATTTGCTTTCATTTAACCTATTCTACGACCAACAAGGATACATTCGATAATTCTGTTAATGACAGTTGCCGGAGCTTCTGCCGTTACTTTCAGTGTTGAGCAACACGCGTTTTACGCTGCGTTTGCAGCTTGAACCGGCGCACATGCGTAATGCCTGCGACAGTTGATGGAACGAAATGGCAAATGGAACGAACACAATTCAAGCAATTTGTATTATTAAAGCGTTAATATTAAAGCTTAACAAAAAACTATTCAAGCAGCGCTTTAAGCATATATCATATATCATATCGATTGGATTGGATAGGAAATGCGTTTGGAGTTTATCTCTCGTTGCCCTTGGCAGCTCACTCGTCCAGCACGCTGTCCAGCCACTGCTCCACATCGTTTTTGCTGGCGCTCGTTGGCGTCGCCGTCTGCACCTGCAGCGGCGAGGCAATTGGCAGTGTTTGGCCCGTGGCGATGGTGGTCTGCGCCAGCTGCGTATCGGTCAGCGCCAGCAGCTCGTCCAGTTCATCGGGCGCATCTGTTGCGGCGCCCGTTGCCGGCGGCAGCTCCTTTGTGGACTTGGCAGAGGGCGCACGTGATTTGCCGGCGCTGCCAATGCCATTGGATTCGCGCAGCACACGCTCCTGGTATATGCGCTCGGCGCGCTCAGCTGCTTCGTTCTGGGCAACGATCTGCTGGCGCGTGAACATGCTGGTCGAGTAGTCCATGCGCTTGTAGAACGGTATCGTTTGCAGGCCACAGTTGAGCATGCCGAGATTCAGCGTAAAGTAGCTGCTGGCCGCCTTGGTGTGCAGCTGGGTCTGGCCCTCGGCTATGTTATTCCATTCCTTCTCGGCGCCAAAGCTGAAATGGCCGCCGCCCATACTGGGAAACTGGGACATCTGCTTGTAGTCGCCGGCCCGCAGCTGGGCGCGCGCATTCTCATCAATGGGCGTGCCATCGACCAGCTGCTCCACATCGTCCGTGTCCGTTGGCGGCAGTGTGTCGAGCATATCGCGGTTCTTCTGCGGCGCCAGCGAGCGGGTGCCGCTCGACCAGCCCTTGCGTGCGAAGCGCGGCTCATCGCTGGAATCGGCCACATCCACAATGCTGCGCACCGCTGTCGTTTGTGGCGAGCTGGAGGATGTGTTGCCGCCACGCTGCGGCTGTTGTTGCTGTTGCTGTTGTTGTTGTTGTTGCTTGTGATAGTATTTATGCTGCTTCATATTCTTGCGATTGCTAAAATATATAATTTTTTTCCTTGTCTTAGCAGAGAGAGATGCAGCGCTTGCGGTTACGTATTACTTACTCCTTGGATCGATCGTCCTTGCCGTACATTTTGGCCTACTTGTGGTATGTGTGCGCGTGTTGGGCAATAAAATAAAAATTCAAAAAGCTTTTGTTTACGTTTTCAATGTACTGTTGCCTGTGGCAGCGCGCACAGCTGTGCCCGGGGCCTGCCTGTAAGTGCGAGTGAAACGGCTGCTACGAACAGCTGTTAACACTGGCCGATGTTGCCAACTTTCGATAACGACTGTTAACACACATGTAATCGAATTGGAATTTTGCAGCTGTTATTAATCACAGGTTGAAATTTGGCAAAATAATATTAATCAGCACATTTAATTATGCAAACAATGGCTGACTACTATTATACAAATTAAAAGCACTCTATTGTTAAGCTTCAATTTTTGCCACCGTACCTAATATTTAATTAGATGTTTTAAGTATGCCGAAAATACCAAGCAGTGAATTTATTTGCGCAAAAATCGATAGTTGGGTGCAAAACAGCGTAACAGAATAATCGATAGAATATTAAACATTTCCATTCACAACGGCAACTATTATTTATTTTTTTTTTTTCATATTTGATATTTGAAAGGCGACGTAGCAGTCAGATTGCGTTTGGAGCAGATGTTGCGTTTCGTTCAGAGTTTGCGGCTCAGCAACAGTTTGAAAGCGCCGGAACTGTCAGCGGCTGCCGCTGAGATTTATCGGCAATGTTTCGCTGAGCTGGCTTCCACAGCCGGTCTGCTCGAGCGGCACACGTCCAACGGGGAGCGGTCCGCTTTGCTGCACTGCTTCGATACACAGCCGAGTAATCAATTGGAGAGCATAGCGCCCAGCGCCGATGATGTCTGGATCTTTGGCTACGGCTCGCTGGTGTGGAAGGCGGACTTTCCGTATATCGATCGCCGGCGCGGATTTGTCTGCGGCTATAAGCGTCGCTTCTATCAGCACAGCATCGATCATCGCGGCGTGCCCGAGAAACCAGGACGTGTGGTCACCTTGCTGCCGGGCGACATGGCCGCGGACCGTGTCTATGGTGTCGCATATCGCATAGCGGCCACCCAAAAGTCCCAGGTGCTGGATCATCTGGATTACCGCGAGAAGAACGGCTACGAGCGCTGCAATCTGGAGTTCCATGAGTATCCGGCCGCCACAATGCCCATCGAGGTCATTATGTATGTGGCCAGGCAGGCAAACGATTCGTATGCGGGCCACGTTTGGCAGGTGCCATGCATTGCCAAGCAGATCTTTACCTCAGCCGGTCCCAGCGGTCCGAATCGCGAGTATTTATTCAATTTGTCCATAGCCATGCGCGAACTGTTCCCAGATGCTGTCGACGAGCATCTCACCGAGCTCGTCGATTGCGTACAGCGCTACATCGAGAGCGAGGAGCCGGTGCTGTTGGAGCGGGCACTGAGCGCCGAGATCGCGAGCATATTGAGCGAATGCTTGGCCAAAGATGCACCCGTGCCGCTGGAGGAGATTGCGCAGCGCTTGGAGGCGTTGCGGGCATGTTGCCAACGGCCTGGCTGGCGTGAAAGGTTGCTTAACCAGGAATTGCAGGGTCAGAGCTCCTGACCGACAGACTGCAATTCCATGGGACGAGCTCCTTCTGATTTGCTTCTGTTTTCTTCAGTATCAATCCTTTAGTGTACATGATTTGTAAAATATTTAAATATACATATACATAGAAAATGGGGGTACAGATTGTTAATCAAATCTTAACTTCTTAATCGATGGGTAAATGGGAAGTGTATTATAAATTTTTATTTTTTTTTCTTTTTGATAGCACATTATTTACAACCGTAGTAACATCTTTGATTTATGGCGATGTATCGATGGCAGCTCGTTCGATAGGTCGATTCGGCAAATTTGAATTCATAAAAGTATTCCGATAACAAGTTATATATATTTGATAATAATATTATTTTTACAAATGTTGACAATGTATGTTTTGTGTTGGAAGTGCGAGAAAGATAATTAGGTATTTTGCATAAACAGCAAAGCAACATTATTGAAATAAAATTTATCGTTTTGTTTCCCATCGCATTTAAATTGGCGCCAAATAAATTAACGATATCTACAATAAAGTGCCATCAATAAGTAGCTCTCATCTCGAACCAGTGGCGATATTTATAACAATTATTAAGAATTCATCGTTAAGTTGCCGCACAACACTCAGGCATTTTGCTGAAACTGAATTAGCACTTGAAGGCTAAAGTGACTGTACATTATAGAATTCGTAACAAATGTAAGACCCACTGCCTTAAAATAGGCCCAAGCCTGACTCAAATGGATATTTATTACCTACTGTGACTTAAAAAAATAGCCACCCTTTTCTTAACGATTAATCGATAGCAAATATCGCATTGAATGTGTAACATATCAGAATCCACGATATATCAACAATTTCAATAGCAAGTGCCATTTTGGCCTACAGGTAATTAATATTATTTAAGTCTTAGATAATTTGCATAATTGATACAGTTGTAGGCGCAATTTCGCATAATTAGCTTGCGCCGCTAAGCGTAAGTATTAAGGAATTAACTACGCCACGACGTCGCAAACAAAACATAACTTTCTCAGTTTGCACTGTTGCCGGCTATGTCGAGTTTATTTAAATTACAGATTAAGAAGTAAAGATTAAAGATTTAAGATAGTGACGCCGGGAGCAACAGCTGTGGTTAACACGTTCCTTTTTGTTTTTTTGTTTCTTGCTTTTGACTTAATGATTTCCCCTTGCATTTGGGCTAATTGGGTGCCGGCTTCCTTGGCCGCAAAACGTCTGACGTGTTCCATTTAATTGTCAAAATGTCGGCTTTAAATGAAAACTAAAACGGTATTTAAACTTGAATATTATTTATGATTGTTTCAGTTAAGACTAGCCAAAGAATTTCTGTGCTGTTATAAAATCAACAAACACACAACACATCCGGAAGGGAGGATCATCTGTACGCCTGCGGAGCTGTCTGGGGCAGTAAAAATGCGGTTCACATTATTCGTTTGCCTCATCATCGGGGCCCTGATCAACTATGCTGCTGGCGTTGATCCAACTAATTTCAAGACCTGCGAGCAGAGCAGCTTCTGCAGGTATGTCACAACAGGCCAACCATTGCCAGCTGACCTTTCATTCACACACACACACACACACACACGCACACAGAGTTGGTTTGTAAAGCAAAACGCAAACATTTACTAATCCATGCACATTTGCTTATTAACCCTACATACTCTTGCGTAGGGCATTTGAATTCTGTCAGGGAATGTGTAACGCCAAGAACTACATATCGCACAACACGCGATTCTGAAGTTAAATATGCATAATTCCTCGTTATATTCTAGCTCATATTCATATCTTGTACTCGTTACGTAAAAACGAGGGTATTCATCATTCTACCTTCAATTGTAATTTTGTCTTCTGCGCTTTGTCAGTCTTCAAGCGTTATATATCTGATCACATTCAACAGACGGCCAATCTGTTGGTCTGTTTAGAAGCTGTCGTCATGAAACTTGGCAGAGATCTGCATCAGCCAATATCATATATGCAGCTGCTGTAGGACTTGCTGCTTAAACCCAATATTGTTGTTCAAGATATCTTGCAAGGCTTGGCATCTTGGGCTTCATTCGCTTTATATACTTCCATATATCGAAGCTCTCGGGTATCAAGGATTGAATACATTTGCCTAACCATTTGTATATGTGCAAGGGTATTCAATCCTCGGCTTCCCGAAGATAGCGCTTTCATTATCGCTTGTTTGTAATTCCTTTTCTTCTGCTGCAGACGCTCGCGCAAGGTGCAGAGCTCGGGCAGCAAATATGCGCTCATACGGGGCACACTGAACACGTACACGGATTCGGTGACCGCCGACTTGATCAACAAGGAGAATCATCATCAGTTCACCATGAAGCTGGAGGCTCTGGTCGGCAGCACCTTCCGTTTGCAGATCGATGAGAAGCAGCCGTTGCGTCCGCGCTATCGCGTTGAGCATGCGCTAAAGGGCAAGCCGGAGACAGCACAGATACGTGTGCTGGAATCGGATGAGCTGACTATTACGTCTGGCAGCGCCAAGGCTGTCATACAAGGTGATCCGTTTCGCATTGATTTCTATGAGAACGATGTGCATGTCGTGTCGGTGAATGCCAAGAACTGGCTATACTTCGAGCATCTGCGGCAGAAGGCGCAAGCGCCAGCCGGCGAGGCAGCCGAGGGCGGCGATGGGGCACAGCAGGAGCAGCAGGAACAGAACTCGGATGCCGTACAGTCGCCCAGTGAACCAGTTGATGAGCCCGGCACATGGGAGGAGAACTTTAAGTCGCATCACGACACCAAGCCATACGGACCACAGGCCGTTGCGCTCGATTTCTCGTTCCCCGCCTCGGAGATGCTCTTTGGCATACCCGAGCATGCCGATAGCTTTGCGCTCAAGTCCACCTCCGGCACGGATCCCTATCGTCTATACAATTTGGATGTCTTCGAGTATATTGTGGACAGTAAAATGGCGCTTTATGGCTCGGTGCCAGTGCTCTATGGTCATGGGTAGGTTGTGTGCTTCTATCCAATTCTTCTTTTGTCCCACTGAACACCGTTAATTGCAGTCCTCAACGCACCGCCGGCGTCTACTGGCAGAATGCCGCCGAGACCTGGGTGGATATCTATACGACTGAAACGAATGTGGTCTCTTCGCTGGTTAACTTTGTGTCGGGCTCACGCAAATCGACGCCACCAGCGGCTCATTTCATATCCGAGTCGGGCATTGTGGATGTCTTCATAATGCTGGGTCCCAAGCCGATTGATGTCTTCAAGCAATATGCTGCACTGACCGGCACACATGAGTTGCCGCAGTTGTTTTCGCTGGGCTATCATCAGTGCCGCTGGAATTACAATGATGAGCGTGATGTGACCTCCGTTTCGGCCAAGTTCGATGAGTATAATATGCCAATGGATACCATGTGGCTGGATATTGAGTATACGGATGGCAAACGCTATTTCACATGGGACAAATTCAAGTTCCCCGAACCGCTGACCATGATTAAGAACCTAACCGAACTGGGCCGTCATCTGGTGGTCATCATTGATCCGCACATTAAGCGCGACAATGCCTACTTCTTCCATCAGGATTGCACCGAGAACGGCTACTATGTGAAGACGCGTGAGGGCAATGACTACGAGGGCTGGTGCTGGCCCGGCTCGGCCAGCTATCCGGACTTTTTCAATCCGGTTGTGCGCGACTATTATGCCAGCCAATATCAGTTGTCCAAGTTCAAGACTGTCACAGAGGATGTCATGATCTGGAACGATATGAATGAGCCGTCTGTGTTTAATGGACCCGAAATTACCGCGCCCAAGGATCTGGTGCACTATGGCAATTGGGAGCATCGCGATGTACACAATCTCTACGGTCATATGCATCTAATGGGCACCTTTGCTGGCCTGCAGCAACGCGATCCTAACCAGCGTCCATTCATTTTGACGCGCGCACATTTTGCGGGCTCGCAGCGTTATGCTGCCATTTGGACGGGCGATAATATGGCCGATTGGACGCATTTGCAGCATTCGATCAAGATGTGTCTGACCGAGGCCGTCGCTGGTTTCTCCTTTTGCGGCGCCGACATTGGCGGCTTCTTTGGCAATCCAGATGCTGAGCTGCTTGAGCGCTGGTATCAAACTGCCGCCTTTTTACCCTTCTTCCGTGCTCACGCTCACATCGATACCAAGCGCCGTGAGCCGTGGCTCTTCCCCGAACGCACTCGGCAAATCATCAAGAGCGCTCTGCTCAAGCGCTATAGTTACTTGCCGTTGTGGTATACCGGCTTCTATGAGCTGGAGCAGACTGGCGAGCCAGTGATACGACCCATGTTGACCCACTATCCACTGGACAAGGAGGCCTTTGCCATTGATAATCAGCTGCTGGTGCAGCAGCGTTTGCTGGTGCGTCCTGTGATGCAGCAGGGCGTCAGCAAGGTGGATGTATATTTCCCGGCCATTGACGATAAGAAGAACGGCGACTATTGGTACGATGTGGATACCTATCAGCGGCAGGAGCGCGCCGGCTACGAGAGCATACCAGTCGACGATAACAAGGTGAGTACTTGCATTCTCAAATCTTCACCAGCTCTGGCCCTGTACCAACCACATGGAATTTCATTTATTTTGCAGATACCCGTTTGGCAGCGCGGCGGCAGCATTGTGCCCAAGAAGGAACGTCAGCGTCGCTCCTCCAAGCTGATGCTCAACGATCCTTATACATTGGTCATTTGCCTGGATCGTCAGGGCAAGGCTGCCGGCACACTTTTCCTGGATGATGAGAAATCGTATGCGTATCGCGATGGTAAACACATCTATGTCAGCTATGAGTTTGCCGACAATCAACTGACCAATCGCTTCATTGGCAAGCCCCAATACAAATCGGACGCCTGGATTGAGCGCATTATCATTGCCGGCCTGGGCCATGTGCCGAGCTCTGCCACGATCACAGTGAATGGCATCAGCCAGCAGCTGGAGGTGGAGCAGCGCAATGGGGCAATTGTTGTGCGCAAGCCGGCTGTCAAAATGAATGTTGACTTTGCTCTCAAGCTCAACGTTTGATTGTGGTATTAACTAAAAGTGTCCTGCACAACAAATAGCTTCAGCCCCGCCAACTAGCAGGATCTGACATTATTCTTAGATATATACATGAATTTTTTTTATATTCCATGTATGCTTCTAGTTGATAGTTACACGTTTTTTTTTTTTGTATGGCATCGATTAACTATTCGTAGCTGGGTGCGTGCAGCTCCAGATGAAAGTAAATTCCAATTCCAATAAATGAATTTAATGCGAGTTTCCCTAAGGCTTTCAAAAGCTTCTATCTAATCTGACTTTCGGACTTTGTTTATTTCCCGTAGCATTTTACTTATAACGAACTTTCTATACTGTTAAAATTAATTAGATTTTTCCATCCAATTAAATTTAAATACATTTGTCCTGAAATTTGTAAAGTGACAGCAGTATTCACGTATGTATATATGTATGTATGTATGTATGTATGTATGTGTGTATGTGTGTATATATGTATGTATGTATATATGTATGTATATATGTATGCATGTAGCAAAAATGTAGACAAAGTTAAATTCAAGCTGCGCTGTAAATTTAAAATCAACGTATTTTAAAGTGGTGCCTTACTCCTCGATTCTCAAAAATTCAAGTAAGCCAGGCAGGTTTCCTTGCTTTGGCTCTAGTTTTTTTTTCGTGTTGTGTTTATTTTTTATTTTTGGTAATGTTTGTATGTAGGTATGTATGTTTGTATGTAAGTTTGTATGTATGTTTGTATGTATGTTTGTATGTATGTATGTTTGTATGTATGTATGTATGCATGCATGCATGTATGTATGTATGCATGTATGTATGCATGTATGTATGTATGCATGTATGTATGTATGCATGTATGTATGTATGCATGTATGTATGTATGTATGTACCCATGTATGCATGCCAGTATGCATGCATGCATGCCAGTATGTATGCATGCATGCCAGTATGTATGCATGCATGCCAGTATGTATGCATGCATGCCAGTATGTATGCATGCATGTCAGTATGTATGCATGCATGCCAGCTTGTATGCATGCATGCCAGTATGTATGCATGCATGCCAGTATGTATGCATGCATGCCAGCTTGTATGCATGCATGCATGTCAGCTTGTATGCATGCATGCATGTATGTATGCAGGTCAGCGTGCATGCACACATGCAGTTATGCATGTATACATGTACGCACGAATGCCTGTATGTATACTTGTATGTATAGAAGAATGAATGCAATCAAGTTCCCGGTGACCAGCAAGATTTTAGAGCACATTTTTAAGATCTCATGGTTAGTACGTGTTAAATTAACATATACAATTTGATTATATAATTTTTGTTCATTTTGGTAAATTACATTAAGGCACGTACGCTGATGTAGATAAATACCAGTCGAAAAATAATTTGTTGGAACAAAATGGGAAAGTAGGAACTTGGGAGAAATTTAGAATTTTTTTTTGGTTGTATTTATCGCCCGTCATGAAGGCGAATGCTAGAGAACCTGCTCGCTGAACTAATATCTAACGCCAATAAATGATTAGAGTAACTATTTTGGGGAGTTGCAGGCAACTTTAAGCTTGAAGAACTAATCCAAGCAGTACACCAAATGCTTCAAGAACTATAAAAATATATATGCACATGTAAATCATCGGGCGATTGCTATTGCATTTAATGGTCGTCCAGCCGCAGGCTCAGGCAAAGCTCACCCACCGCATCAGGGCGCTCTTGATATTCGTCCAGAATCTCCGGCGACAACCCTGCGAACATATCATCCAGTTGAGCATCTATCTTATGGATTGTTACTGCACCTACCTCTTGCTTGCGTGCCTGGACAGCATCTGTCTCAGCCTTCTCCTCGTCTTCCTCCGTTGACGACATTTCGGTTTCGGCCTCGTCATCCAAATCGCTCAGATCGCCATCGGCATTCACGGCGGAGGCAGCGACCGGCGTTGCCTGCCTGTCCAGGGCGTTGAGTGCGGCCAATGTGGCTGCAGCTCGTCCAACAAGCTCGGCGTCCGTCAAGCCTGGAGTGGCTCCAACGATTGTAATGACGTCAAGGATTTCAATGTATTGAACGACTCTAGTACCTGTTGCGGCTCGTCTGACCAGCTGACCGCCTGGCACGTCCATCTCGGCTGCTTGGAGTTCCGCCTCCGGCATTGAATCGCTATCCGTTCCGGCCGCCTGGGACAGCTGCACCTCAACAACCTGACCCATATCGATCAGTGGGCCCATATCGACCTGCTGGCCCACATCGACGACTCGATAATCGCAGAGATTGCCCATCTCACCCAGCTGAGTCCGGAGCTCAGCGATTCGCCCCGGGCGCCGTGGTCGACCCAATTTGGCGGCACCTTTGGCAGCAGGCGCGGCTTGCCTGGCCTTGAGGTTGCGGCTGGCCCGGCTCGGCCGACTGGGTCGACTGGTACCCGCCTCGCACAGTATATCCTCCAGATCGTCGGTGTACGTGATCAGGGATTTCACCTGTTGTGCCGTTATTGTATTGGCGTTTGGCTTCCTGACGCCCCGCATCGGATTGCGTCTCACTCCAGATCTCAAGACTAGACCGCTGCGCAGCTTCATATTGTTGTTGGAAACGTATTTGTTTTTTGTTTGTTTGTCTGATTGTTTTGGTCAAACAAAAAAAGATATATATGATTATGAAATTGTATGTCTTACTGGAAAGAGGGATTTTTTGTATTTGTTTATTGTACGAGTTGTTTTAGGCGAATGAGCTCCGATTTTTTCTGCTTCTACTGCCTGAAATTGTTTCCTCTCCCATGTGAACTACGTTCCGGAAGTTTTTACTTTCTTGAAACAGGAATCCAGCTAAAAAGCTAATCAAACGATATCCACAGCACATTCAAATACTATTTGCAGACTCTATTGTTTTCGACTTTCTTAAGAATAATAACTTTTAGAGACTTGAATAGTCTCTGTCTTAAGTCTTATCTCGGTGAAGGGTATGCCCGCTATTATCCCATATAGATATATGTCGAAATTTCCCAGAACTCGCATAACTCAATCAAAACGCAACCGATTTTCACGAGGTTAAGCTCTTTGCTCATGGTTTGGCCTCTAAATCTATAAAGCATCTCAATCTAGCAATATTATACTTGATCGAAATTCATGTTAAAATCGTTTACTCACATATTCTTTATAGACGTAGGTCAAAATTTCCCACAATACGTGTTGGCAACAGTGCTAAATTGGTTTTCGATGGATTTCAAATATGCTTTATACATGCCAAGGGCAAGGCTGGGATATACCCGCTAGTAAACAATTTTGAAATATTATCTGACTGAGAATCAAAACGAGAAAAAGCTGCTATTAAAAGGCCGTTCAATTTGGTATTACCAATTCGCACGGTTATGTGCTATAAACGCGCGCTGAAAATTCGATAACGATCGGACTCCAGGCACCGAGCGCATTGTGCATAGGGAGAGGCAAAGGTAAGAAGAAGCACAGACGCTGTGTATTAAGTAAGGCTCGAATGCCCGTGACTTCAGCTCGCCAGCAAGTACAGGGTATTCAGCGGTCGGGTACTGTCGACCAGCTGGCTTTTACTACTGCGCGCACGAGTGACCGACCGATGAGTCGAGCCTGGAATATGTTTTTATATGGAATTTGGTTGCCAGTGCCACAAGCTATCAATTTGTGGACTTTCATTAAAATAATTACAATTCAACTGCGGTTAGGCGGACGCAGAAACTAATTCATTAGCCGGCAGCCCGAAAGCCCGAAGATGAGAAAAAAAAAGAAGAAGGAAAATGAAACCAAAATTGATTGCGTGCTGAAAATCAAATGGAAAACGCGAGCCTCAGCGTTGATTGTCCTTGATGAATTATGGCCTGACTAGCTGATGGACTGCCTGATTGACGGAATGACAAACTGACAAACGGAATGAATGACGGACTGACGGACTGCTAATGGTGGTGGCTGAAAGCAGCAAAAGCATTTAGCAAAAAGGCAAGAAGCAAAGTTTAAAATCTAAAAAAAAAAAAGAAAAAAAAAGATATAATGTAAAAATGGAAGCGACACAGGCGACGGGCGGCACATTGCAATTTATATGCAAACAAACAAATAAGCCCGACAAAGCAACAACATACCAACCACCCATCGAACCGCCCAACCACCCAAACCTAACAAAAGCCCCATCCCCCTCAAGCACAGCCCATTGCGCTGCCACTGCGGCCAGCTTTAGCTCTAAAAGCGGCTAAAAACGGCTGATTTAGCTTGCTGAGCACAAGTTGGCAATAAAAAAAACAAGTAAGAGGTTCTAGTCGGGAGCTCCCGACTAGGGGATACCCTGAACCCTCTTCTTCCAACATCAAATGCATATATATATTCTATTTTAGAAGCTATTTGTCAAGTTTGGTGATTCTAGCTCTTATTATTTACCAAAATTGCCCAAAAAACAGGATATCGATATCGATTTTTATCGATTGCTTGGAAACGGAGTAAGTTATCGATTATCGGAAACAAACTCGATCTGCGCGGGAACTAGGAGCATCTACATCAGGTCTCTAGCCCCTATAGGTTCTGAGATCCTTGCTTTCATGCATACGGACGGACAGACGGACATGGCTAGATCGACTCGGCTATTGATGCTGATCAAGAATATATATACTTTATGGGGTCTGAGATGCTTCCTTCTGCCTGTTCAGGGTATAAAAATAGAATGTTTTGCCTAGAATAGACTTATAACTTAATAGACTTTTATTTTTGAAATTAATCACTTTCTAAACGAATTTAGAAATAGGAGTTTTAGGATCTGCTTCGGTCGCAAAAATATACGCTTTCCAAAGTTTCAGAGCAGGAATTTCGGGATAAGCTTCGACATAAGAATGGGAATATAGGGAACTGCTTTGATGGGGCATATAATATTTTAAAATTATTCGTTTCTCAGAAAAATTTAAAATTGGGAAAATTCGTCTAACTATTTTTTCAATTATGGAATCTTAGATTTAAATTTAGATAAGGGATATTCGCTTCTTCCCGTTGAATTCAAGTACATTTCGGGAAATACTTTTTTTGATTCTTTGCGAAATTTGGGAATGCGAGTTTCGGTATCTGGCCCGCTGCATCCTTGGAGAATGCTTCGTCTTAAGATTTAAGAATAGGAATTACGAAATTAACTTTTCTTAAATATAGTATTTTGTTGTTCAACTATTTTCTAGCTCAATATCTATATCCGTGCAACTGTCTTGTTTCATTTCTCTTTCGACTGGGCTAAGATTTTTAGAGCTTTCGATTTTGTAGCTTTAACCAAACATTCTGTTTCGTA